GTTCAAGTCCTCATAGTAAAAAAAAATCCCCAAGGATGCTCAGGGTGGCAGGTGAGGCCCAGAGCCTGAGCCCCTCCTCCCTGGGAGGCGGCAGGGCTGATCTATCCCCTTGTGCCTCAGGGCGGTGCTTCTGGGGGAAACGGGTTCGCTGTCTGTCTGTCTGTCCTTGGCTCATGGGCTGCAGTTGCTGGCTGTCCCCTCTGTGCTCTCACGACTGATTGGGACCAGTGGCACATTTCATCTGCCAAGTGGAGGGAGACGGGCAACTAAGTCACAGGAGGATGGTTTGTGTGCCCTGGACGCCAGGCCGACCTTGGCAAGTCGTGTCCCCCTCCCTCCATTTCCATAAGGCGCAGCTGGGAGCGGAGGGGCTGCAGCTGTGCTGTGCGGTGGTGCTATTGAGATGGGGTCCCTTTGCCCCCCATCACCTCCCACTGGAGGCAGAGCACCCTGCCCTGGGACTGAGGTTAAACTAAGCAAGGACTCCACACAGCTGCTCAGACAGAATTGGAATTGCTTGGGCATGAGGGTGTTCTGAGCTTCTTGATCATCATTGGGGGTTTTCAAATCCAAATTAGGGGCCAGGTATGTGGAACCCAGCTTTGGGACTGAGGAAGGGCTACCTTTTCTGCACTCTGAAAACGTCCCCGCTTCTGCCCATGTGTTACCTCTGCTTCAGCCCAGCTCTGGGCCAGTCTTCCCACAGAGTCTCTTGGGCAGCTGAGGAGGTGAAGGATGCTATCCCCAAAGTGGTGCACCCCAAGCCTCTGCTTTACAGACCCTGGGGGTCAGTCCTTGGACCCATCCCACTTAGTGACTTTGGGTGGCACACTCCTGCAGCCCTGCCGGGGCTACATCTGGCCTCTTCCTGTCTCTCTGCCCTCCAGGCTCAGCCCAGGGTCCTGCAGAGGAGGCTTTCATTTCAGGAGATGGAAAGCAGGGCAACGCCACCTCCTGCCTCATGCCATTTCTTGTGCAACTTATAGGCAGCATTCCTTAGGTCAAGTTCACAGGCGGTTTTCCTTGGGTCAAGTTCATAGGCCATGTTCCTTGGGTCAAGTTTGCAGGTGGTATTCCTTGGGTCAAGTTTGTAGGCCATGTTCCTTGGCTCCACTGATGGCCCTGCTTTTCTTCAGGAAGGGGTCAACATAGTTTTTGCTGGAACACAGCTGGAATTTTAGGCCATGTGCAGCCTCAGGACCCTTGTTCCTGGTCCTTGGGGCCATGGGAAACGGAATCCTAGTGCCACAGTGGAAGTGCTGTGAATATGTTGTGTGCTCCTACTGGGCGCACACGAGGCAAGTATATGGTGCTGGGAGAAAAAGAGCCATGGAAAGCAATGCTTCTCAGTCTTAGCCAAATACCTGGTGTGTGATTTGGTAGCCAGAATCCAGGTATTCCAGAGCCTGAGGAATGGGTACACAGATGGGTGGGTTCTTGCATGGTTGAATGGGTGAATGGATGGCATGGGTGGACAATAGAAGAATGAGTGGTTGGCTTCTGTGGGTGGTTGGAAGGAGGGAAGATGGTTGGCGTATGTAAATGGATGGAAGATTGAATAGGTAGATGGACAGTGTGGGTGGATGCATGGATGGATGAAGAGACAGATGGACAGCATGGATGGATGGATAGATGGATGGACAGATGGATGGCATGTATGTATGTATGAGTGGCAGGAATGGATGGATGCATGGATGGATGGAGAGACAGGTGGAAGGCACGGATGGATGGCAGATGGACAGATGGATGGCATGTATGGATGGATGGTTGAATGGATGAATGGATGGGTGAGTGGAGGGATGGATGGATGGATGAGGAGGTAGATGAGAAAGAGCTGGGTGCTTCACCCGTAGTAATCACAGAATCGTGTCCACCCATTTCTCCCCTTCATGGATACTAAGCCATTTCCTGTTGAGTCTCCTCTGAACCCCTGTCCCAGGCTCTCTGCTGGCTGTGGCAAGTGTGCCTGCTCTCTGCCCATCTTCCAGAAATGTCCTGGTTGCTGCGGTCCTCCCCGCTACTCATTTACCTGCTCTCGAGTTTCTGCTCCTCATCCTGCCTGGGTCCTCCACCGCCTCCCAGCAACTCCATGCCCAACCGCCCCTCCAGGAATATTCTGGAGCGCATTCTCTCATTGATCTCAGAAGGCAGAGTTGACCAGGAGGACTTGTAACTTCCACAACCCCTTGAGATGGCTATTACTTATTTTATGCCCATTTTTCACCCAGGGGAAGCAGGACTCAGAGAGGTGAACACACCTACCCCAGGTCAGATAGCCTGGAAGTGGCAGAGCTGAGTTACCCACTCTGCTCCAGCTCTAAGATGGCAGCAGAGTCTGGGCAGTGTACCCCATTCTACTCTGATCTTTGAAAGAAAATTCCCACCTGGGGCTTGGGGTGCTCACTCTGAGTGACTTGCCAGGGTCACAGGTACACAGCACAGGGGCACTTTGGAGCTACTGGTGTCCTGGTCTACAGGAGCCTTGGTAGCTGGGACAGGGGACCTCTGCCTGGGTAGAGTGACAGCTTGTTCAGAATAAACAGCAGCTAGCGTGCTGCTTGCCAGGGGCCTGGTCCCTGGCTGCGCAGCGCACAAGGCAAAGGCTTCACAGCAGACTTAGGGCCTGTCCGTAACTGTCACGCTGGTGTATTCCCAGCAGTGCACCGTGGGAATGCGGTATGGCAGGCTGACCTCCCCGCCCAGAGAACTGGTCACCCTTGCCTGCCACGTGCTTTCAGATTGCACTGAACCTGCTGGTCTCACCTGTCATGTTCTTTCCTGTCCCCTGAGCCCACCGGGTCCGAGAGGTGTGGGAACCTTGCACTGTCTCAGTGCTTCCTGCTGTGTGGTTCTGGTCAGGTGGCCGGCAGAGCCTCGGCTTCCTTCTCCGTGGAACGGAGATTAATAAAACAGGATTCACAGTTGTCTGTGAAGGGCACGCATGCAGTTGTGTGCAGGTTCTTTGCTGTGTGCCTAATCCGTGGAAAACCCTCTCCAAATCCCAGTCAGTGCCACCAGCAAGGCCCTGGCTACACGAGTCAGCGTGTGTCTGGCTGATTGTTCACTCAGTGTCACTAGGATGGCGTCTGGCACCTCCGCGTATCTGCAGACAAGTTCATCTGTCCCACTTCCTATTCCTAATAAATTGTCTCTGTGTCTGGGTGAGAGGAAAATGAGGTATGGTTGGGTACTCTGCGTGCATGCATGCGTGTGTGTGTGTGTGTGTGTGTGTGTGTGTGAGAGAGAGAGAGAGAGAGAGAGAGAGAGGGAGAGGGAGAGGGAGAGAGAGTGTGTGCGTGCGCACCAGTACTGGGGCTTGAGCTCAACGCCTCACTCTCACTTGGCTTTTTCACTCATGGCTGTGCTCTACCAGTTGAACCACACCTCCACTTCAGGCCTTTTGAAGTTTTTTTGGAGATAAGCGTCTCATGGATTTACCTGTCTGGTCTGGCTTTGAATCTTGATCTTCAGATCTCAGCCTCCTGAGTAACCAGGATTACAGCATCTGGTGGGTGCGTACCCTTAACTGCGAGATCTCATGGCTCTGGTAGTTTGTATGCCTCAGTGAGCCAGGGAGTCCTGTGCTGAGCAGTGTGCTAAGCAGCGTGCGTTCGTCCATGTGGATCAGTCATTGTTCCCTTTTCTGGCTGAACGACACCTCCTTGGGTATGTGTGTGTGCCCTGTCACTGGGTGGGTATACCCACCCATCCTGCCAATACATTCATCTGGGGCTGAACGACACCTCCTTGGGTATGTGTGTGTGCCCTGTCACTGGGTGGGTATACCCACCCATCCTGCCAATACATTCATCTGGGGCTGGATGTTGGGTTCCTTCATGTGGCAATTGGTGCACAGAATCTTGCTACAAGGGCATTTGTACCTTACCTGAGTCCTTGTTCTCACTCGTGTGTGTGTGTGTGTGTGTGTGTGTGTGTGTGTGTACTGTGAACTGATGGGCACGAATGGTTTGTGTTCTCTTTTAATTCTTAGCATTGGAATGGTCGGGGCATATAGTAATTCTGTGTTTGGTTTGTTGAAAGACTGCGCATTGCCCTGTGGTTGGGGTGCTGGGGAAGGAGGCGGAGTGTTTCCCGGCCCTCAGGCTAGGGTGGATGTGTTCTCTGACTGGTTTTGTGTTAGTCACTTTTCCATGATCATGACCAAGAATCTGACAGAACCACTTACTGGAGGAAGGCCTTATTTTGCTTACGCCTCCGGAGAGGTCAGCCCCTGGCTGCTTGGCCCCGTGCCCTTGGGCAGAACATGATGGTTGTGGGATTGTGACCAAGGCTGTCCTCCACTTCTTGACCGATAAGAAGCACAGAGTACGACAGGAAGGGGCTGGAAACGTGATATCCCCAAGGACCCATCCCTGGTAACCTGCTTCTTCCAGCTCCCACTTCCTAAAGTTTCCAACCCTCCCCCCCAAATAGTGCTGCCAGCTGGGGACCTATGTTGCAAAGTGTAAGTCTGTAAGACTGTTACAGCTTCTTAATCATAATGGCTGTGAGCATTGGGCTGGCAGCTGGTAGATGCTCAGTAGGTGTTGGGTGGATGGATGGGTTGGTGGAGCGATGGGTGGATGGAGAGATAGTAGTTGGATAGGCCGTATAGATGGATGGGTGGAGAAAGGGATAGATTGGTAGAGAGATGGCTAGATATGTGGGTGGATAGGTGGTGGGTGATAGATGAATAGATAGATGGTGGATGGGTGGATGGTTGGCTGGATGGTAGATGAGTGGATGGGTGATGGATGGATGAAGACATGGGTGGGTGGATGATGGATGATGGGTGGATGGATAGGTGGCCATGATGAATGGATGACGGATGACTAGATGTGCAGCTCAGCCTGAGTGGCTTTCAGGAGCAGCATCCTCCTGGGAGGTAGCAGCTCCTCTGGCTGTCCTCTGCGCCAAGGCCCCCGTGTGTGTCTCTCAGGTCTCCTGGGCCTGCCTGTGAGTGTCCACACTGCTCTTCAAGAGCCTCTGTCCTTTCCTAGGGTGACATCCAGCAGCTGCTGTTCGTGTCCGACCACCGGGCTGCTTACGACTACTGCGAGCACTACAGCCCCGACTGCGACACTGCTGTCCCCGACACCCCTCAGTCTCAGGACCCCAACCCAGATGACTACGTGAGTGGGCGCTGGTGGGACTCACGGCGGGGGTGAGGGGCACGGGCAGACCCTCCGTCTGTGGAGGGAGGCAGGAGCCCTGGACCCGGTTCTAAATGAACCCGTGGGGTGAGGAGATGAGCTGTGGGACTGGCTTTACCCAGCAGTGTTTCCCAGGCCTCGGCAGGGGGCGGCATCTGCACCGTCCCCCTCCCCCTCTCATCATGACTCTGGATGCATGGAGCTGGGTGCATCTTCCCAGGGCCAGGAGCGCTGTGGGCTTTATGGGCAGAGGGTGCAGGTACACTTTGGGCCCTGCCCATGGGTGGGGCCGTCGGGAGCTCGGCGGGCCCGGCATGCTTAGGACTGTGTGTGCTGAGCACAATGGCCATGATTCCTAGAGAGCCAGTGACTCAGAGCGTGTGCTGGGTTGTGCCCGGGACTTCTTCCCTCTTACCATGGTGCACTCTGGTCCAGGGCCGGCCTGCCTCCCAGACCCGCCTCCGTGTGCTTTGGGTATTTTATCTGTAATTCTTTTGTCACGATCCTTTCTCAAGCTCTGGTCAAACTTGACTTCTTTTTTTCAAGTCCTGCTGCGTCCTGCTTTGAATTTCTTCCCAGACCTCCCTTCTTCTACTACCATCCAGAGAGGGAAGGCAGGCTTTATGAAGTTGTAATGCCCTCTGGTCAAGACCACGCCACACAACTCCCGAGAGTGGGGCTGGACGGAGCTCCCAGCCGAGCTCCTGAGGCCGAGCCCGGCCCTTCCTGACTCCCGGTGCTGATGTGTCTCTGGGCAGACAGAACTGTTCCTGTCACTCCTGTTGGGTCTCTGGGGCTCGGTGGGGGGTGGGACTAAAGTCAAGGAGCTTGCTGGCCAGTGACTAATGCCTGAGCCGCAGCCGGTGGTCCTGGCTCTGGTCTTATACCTCAGATGTCACTAACTTGCTTAGGTTTGGCTTCCTCTGGCTTGTTCAAGGGGACCTGTCCCCCAATCCCTCCATCTGGGGGCCATCAGGCAGCTGTGTGTCCACTTGCCCTGCCAGATGAGGGTGGAGCATTGTACCCTGTCCTCATGTGCCTTCCATTGACTTTCAGTACCCAGAAGGAGAGGGTGAAGGCGGCGAGGCGTACTACTACGAATACCCCTACTATGAAGACCCCGAAGACCCGGGGAAGGAGCTCACGCCCACCAAGAAGCCAGTGGAAGCCGCGAGGGAGACTACGGAGATTCCTGAGGTCTGGGCTGGGCTGGCTCCTGGTGCCTCAAGGCCACAGTGCAGCCAGGGCCGGTGTGAAGCCGAGGGTGGCAGCTGGGCAGGGAGGGGCTAGCCCCGACTGTAACCTTGACCGTGACCTTGACAACCACTGGCTGTGCTGTGTGCTCGCTGTAGTACTGGGTGAAGGTTGTCCACCACGAGGAGCGAGGCCTGGAGATGGGCGTGCCACGGAACCTAGCACTGGCTTCTGGTCCCCGCACCCTCAGAAGCAGCCTCCCAGTAGTAGACAGGGTGGGCTCTATGCCAGCACTCATGGGCGGGCGTGTGTCATCCAGCTCCCGGGCCCAGTGTGTCCCGGGGCTCCTCCGTGTGTGCGCACAGTGCCCTTGGTGGAGGGACTGCCTTTCTCCTCCCGTTGTTCTACCTTCCTCCCATTGACCAAGGCTCCGGACCCCGAGTCCACTGTCCTTGGGGGAACCCTATGTCTCAGACTTGTCTCACGACTGTGTCATAGAGCTGCTGGAACTCCCAGCCCTGGCCCTGACTTGCCTTCCTCTGTCCACGGCCCCAGGAGCTGACCCAGCCCCCCACGGAAGCCCCGACTGTGCCCGAGATGAGCAACAGGGCTGGGAAGGAGGAAGACCCCGGCATCGGGGATTATGACTACGTGCCCATCGATGACTACTACACCCCTTCCCCATATGAGGACCTCAACTACGGCGAGGGCGTGGAGAGCCCCGAGGGGCCCCTCGACCCCGACGCAGGGCCCGAGGTCCCCACCAGCACCACCGTCGCCTCCAATGGCTCCAACGTAATGTCCTTTCTTCCATCCAGGGCTCCGAGGGGTTGAGGGCCTCACGGCTCAGTTCAAGGCATGGGATCAGGGCCACGGCTAGGTTTGAGGACCTCTGGGCCCCCTTCCTTTCTCTGCTTCTGGATGCCTTGGGTAGCTCCCATGCTCTGCAGGGCTGTGTCCCGCTTTTCCTGTGGGTGACATTGCTCAGTGTGACTTACGGTCTCCGACTCACTGAGCTCTCCCGGTGCGGTCACTTCTAAACCTGTGAAAAGGGTAGAATGGCCTCCAGCCCTTCAGTTCTGCTGGGGTTCAGGTGGATAAAGAGATCCCTGTTGATAGAGAGAGTCCTCTCTGTGGGCAAGGAATGGGATCCAGACGAGGACAGATCAGCCCCGCACTGGGCAGCACCGATTTAATACAGCAGAGCTGACTGGCTTGGAATCTCTCCCTGCTCCCGCCTTCCCACGAGCTCCGCTGTCCTTTGCAGTACCGCACTAGCAGTGCAGCCTCTTGGGCTTGCTGTGGATTTTAGCTTAGGAAAGACTTCCATCCAGCACATGGCCCAGAATAGGTGTTCAAAATAGCCCTGTGGTGCAGAACTCATGACTGTGAGTGAGGTTCCAGTGGGGCCAGACGCCTGTGTCCCCCAGCTGAGCCCGGAACCCCCCAGGAGGCCGTCACAGCTGGTGTTCTAGGTCTGCCCTAGTTTGTTATAGTTCCTCTGCCAGCTTAGGGCACAGCCCTCCGTGGGGATTGGGAACAAGGTGGAAAGATTCCAAGGGGCTCCGGGCTGCAAAGTCCTGGAAGTGCCAGGCACGTGCCTGTGGGACAGAGCTGGTGTGTCCACAAAGCTGTCCTCCTCGGCTGACCACGCTGCATCTGCCCCTCCTTCCACAGCCAGCCCCACCTCCTGGGGAAGGGAAGGATGACCAGGAGGGCGAGTTTACCGAGGAAACCATCAAGAATCTAGATGAGAACTACTATGACCCTTACTATGACCCTGACCATGACTCCAGCACCAACCCATCAGAGATCGGGCCGGGCATGCCAGCGAACCAGGACACCATCTTCGAAGGGGTGAGGCCCAGGCTGGGGTTGGTTCTGCTATGGTAGCCTGGCGGCAGTTGGGGGCGGGGAGGAGGTGGCATCAGGGCAGATCCACTCTCCTAGAGCACTGCAGAGGGTAAGAGATGCAGCCACCTCTGAAACTTTACTTTTGAAAAGGCGCTCGGGTGGTTGTGGTCAATTGTGCCCAGTGGCATGCCTGTCCTGGGTACGGGCACCCCCTCCGGTCAGTCCAGCCGTGCCTCCATCGGAACCCGATGGGCCCTGGGGGCGCCCCCTCCTCTCCGACTGGTCATTCCCTTCTGGATCTGGGGGAGATACCCGGATGTCCGAAGCACCCTTGTTTTGCGTGTTCATGTGGGCTTTGCATAACTGGAATTTCCTGTCCTCTCTTCCCTCTCCCCTGTCCTCTCCCTCATCCCTCTACAACCCCTAGATTGGAGGACCACGAGGTGAGAAAGGCCAAAAGGGAGAACCGGCGATCATCGAGCCAGTAAGGACATTTTTCGTGTTTCTCTGTAACCAGGGGGTCTGTGGCTCTGGCACATGCAGATTCCATGGGGCGTGGCCCGGTCGCAGCTCCACGCACTTCTGCACCAGGCCGCCTGGGGAGCGACTGCCGCCACAGTGTCACCAACCGCAGTGTCACAGGGACGTGGGGGAACATTCCAGAACTTTCTCGAGGGCCTGGGAAGTGCTAGATCAAGACCCTTAGAAAGGCCATGGAAGATCTGAGCCCTTTGTGTATCTCTCTGTATCCCTGGAGGCAAAAGGACTCCCACCTTGAGGAAGATAACGGTGTTTTGGGGGATGCTCAGGCACAGGCTGTGGATGTTGTGGTCAGCATCTGGTGGGCATGGTCAGGCGTTTATGTGAAATTGAGCAAAAGAGCTCTGCAGAAATGCAGGCTGAGCGGTGGGTTCCTGGGTTAGTGTGTTGAGAATGTCCTAGAGTGTGGAGAGGAGGCTCAGAGCCTCTCCTGGGATGCTAGGCTTGGAGGGTGCCCCAGTCTGGGAGCACCTCACCTCGGGGGGCTGGGGCCTGTTTGGGAGCTCCAGGGCCCTTCCTGGGGCCTCAGATATGCCAAAGTCATGGCCTTGACCCTGGAGGGCAGAGCTGTGCGATTGGTGGAGCTGTGTGATTTGTGGAGCTGGGTAGCACCTTGCAGCTGCGCTCAGGAGGGCAGAGCTGTGTGATTGGTGGAGCTGTGTGATTGGTAGAGCTATGTGATTGGTGGAGCTGGCTGGCACCCTGCAGCCGTGCTGAGGAGAGTAGAGCTATGTGATTGGTGGAGCTGTGTGATTGGTGGAACTGTGTGATTGGTGGAGCTGTGTGATGATTGGTGGAGCCAGCTGGCACCCTGCAGCCGTGCTCAGGAGGGCAGAGTTGTGTGATTGGTGGAGCTGTGTGATTGGTGGAGCTGGGTGGATTTGTGCAGCCTCACTTGGGGAAGAGGGCAGTGTGGGCTCTGAAGTAGCTCTGCCCCCAGGCCAGCCCTGCTATGTCACCACGTGCCAGGGAGCAGCCAGGGAGGAGACGCATGTCTTGTGCTATGGCCAGTCACGAGGCTGGGCCAGACTGTCAGTTCTGCCGCTAAAACCCAGCTCGTGAGGGCTGAACTCAGAACACTGCCCCCGGCTCCCTGGGATGGAGAACCCATGACTGTGGCCCTCTACCCTCTGCAGGGTCGGACGGCCGAGCAGCCCTGGCGGTGGTGCCTGGTAGGCCCTTACCTCCCCCAATCCCTGCAGAGCCAAGGCCCGGAGCAGGCTGGGACTCGCAGAGCTCTCTGGCTTGCTGGCCCCTCTGGCCTCTGGGAGCCTCTGGATGGCTCTGTGGGATTCTGCCTTCCCGCGAGGCCTCGGTGGGCTGGGACCTGTCAGTTCTTACCAGCTGGGCATGTTGGGTACCTACTTCCTCCCTGCCAGAGCTCTCCGCGTGTCGGTGGCAGACGGCTCATCAGGCTCAAAGGTCAGGTCACGCCAGGGCAAGGGGGAAGGTGTGAGGGGGGTGCCAACTCTACAAGTCCCTTGCTTGGCCCCACAAGAACTCTCAACCTGCAGCTGCAGGGTGGGGGAAGGAGGCCTTGGGGGGTGCCACAGGGTGTGTGGGATGGGTTGTCCTGAGCCTTCACTTAGGACATTGTTTGCTTGGGGGGGGGATTGGAGATGATCACAAAGCTGGTGGGCTTCTTCTGGGGGGGGGACCTTCCACAGCAGCTCCCAGATGGAAACAGCCACAGGCAGACTCAAGGGTGGCTTTGGGCTCCTTTTGGAATTTCCTCACACAAGGACGTCTTGCCTGGGAAGGAACTTGGACCCCAGGCTCAGGGGGCTCTACGGTTTGTCCCCTGGGCTAGCCTGGGCTGACACGTGGGCTGGCCGCTGGGTATGGTACCCCGACTGGGCAGTGAGAAGGCCAGGGTGAGGACCATGCTGCAGGGCCCCAGAGAAGCAGAAGGTGGACAGAGTGGACCAGAAGATAGGCTGAGAGGGGGCTGCCGTGCAACCCAAACACATCTCTAGAAACCCAGCCCCTCTTCAAGCCATCTGGAGACAGTTAAGGAAGGAAACCCTGCCCCTAGCCTGGTGCTCGCTTCTTCCCAGCCCCTTCGGCGTGTCCACGGGGGCCTTCGGCCAGCTCCCCCGGAGAGACCATGTAAACAGCCAGAGCTGTCAGCCAGAGCCTCGCCAGATGTCCTCAGAGTCTTGGCCTCACATGAGCTGATGCTGGGTCCAGGGAGGCTGCTCGGGGCATCCTGAGGAAAGGGGGAGGGGAAGAGGGGCGCTGAGGTCCCCTCTCCTCGCATACCCACCCCGCATGATCACCGTGGTTAGGGAGTTCACTGCAAATCAAATCAGAGCCAGGAAAGGAATGTGGCTGTCACCTCCTCAGTCCCAGCTCCCCAAATCTGTCAGCAGCCACGGGCTCCTTGAAAGGAGAGAATCCTGCTAGCTGTGGAGCTGACACACCAGTGTCCCGGTGCTCTGAGCCCTTCTGGGCCTGTGGCCCAGGGAGTCCCGGCTTGATGTCCACTGCGTGTTGTGGGCCTCCATCGGAACCGCCACACCACGGGTTCTCCCTTGCTACCCATCACAGAGGGATGGGCCTCCATGAAAAGCTGTTCCGCAGCCGGGGTTGGTTGGTACAGGCTGCATTACCACGATGAGAAGGTGGGCAGATGAGGCAGGAGATTCGGGAGTTCGAAGCCAGCCTAAGCTACATAGGAAGACCGAATCTCAAAAGAGAAACAAAGTTCAGCGGTCTAGCATCTTTTATCACGTTTTATTAAATTGTTCTCTCTCTCTTTTTTTGTACCCACACTGAGGTTTGAACTCAGAGCTTTGAGCTTTTGCTTGACTTTTATCCCTCATGGCTGCCGCTCTGCTACTTGAGCCACGCCTCCACTCCCGGCCTCTTCCTGGGTAATTGGAGATAAGAGTCTTTCAGATTTGTCTGCCCCTGCTGGCTTCAAATGGTGATCCTTCCATCTCAGCCTCTTGAGTCACTGGGATTACAGGTGTGAGCTGCTGGCACCTGGCTCAATAGTACATATTGAAAGTGACACACCATCATGTTGCTCTGATGTGCTTATCTTGATCTATATTAACACAGTGAAGTTATTACAGCCAAGCTAATTAATTACACTCTCCTCCTCTTCCCTCCCCTCCCTCCTCTCCTGTGCCTCTCTTTCCTTCCTTCCTTTTTTCTTCTTCCCCTTTGCCTTCTCAGCTTTCCCCTCACTCCCCCTCCCTTCTTTCTGTTTTTCCTTCTTCCGTCTCCCCCCCCTTCCTTCTGTGTATAGTAAATTTACCTAAAATCAGCTATAGAAAATTAGTAGTACAGTCTTAGTTACTAGCAATAGTGAGACTCCTGTAGTTTCCTGACCCCCATCTGCGGGTGGTGGTGGTGGAGGGGGTGTAGACAGGGCCCTCAGGTCTTAAGAGGGCCGTCGCTCAGGGCCTGGGAAAACTGGAGCCTTCCCGTGATGGTCTCCTTCGCTGCCACCCTGGTTTCCTTTCCCTGCCGACCCAGAATGCTCTGGGGTCGGCCTCCCACACAGCCCCAGCTCCCTAGAACAACAGTATGTGTGTCTGGGAAGACAGCTGCCCCCCCACAGCGCCCCCCAGCCTCCATTCACCCCCCGCTCGGTCGCTGAGCCCTCTCAGCTGCCTGTCAGAGAGGAAGCAGGAGGAAGCCGGATGCTGAGGCTGTTTGGATGAGCTCTGTGTCCATTGCATACACAGATAGTTCTCCAAGCACACATCTGTGTAAACATAGTGTGCATCTTCCCGGACGCTGGGAGGGCCGGAGGAGCTGGGGGTGGGATGGGGGTGGGGGCGCTTAGGGCTCTCTGCAGTCTCCTGTCTGTGTGTCTGTCTCCTGTCCACACCTCTGGCTGGCTGGTCTTGTCACTTGCCAGGAGCATGAGCCTTCCAAGACAAAGCCATGCCCAGGGCCCAGGGGCTGAGGTTGTCCTTGCAGGGACCCTCTTTCCTGGCCTTCTTTAGTGTGGAGGATCTGCCCCAGCTCCAAGGCCTCCAGCCCTCTCAACCCTGTTTCTGTGGCCTCAGCAATGGAAGGCAAGAAGATCATGTCTGCTCGCTGCCTGGGGAGGGGCTGGTGGGTGTGACAAGTCTGCCTGTTGCTCTCTGGCACAAGCCCCACCATGCACTTGCTGTAGGCACCCCTGCCCACACCTGCACAGCCCTTCTTCAGGGTGGGGGGGCTTGGTCCCCGATCCCTGGACCAGGCATGGGAGGAGGGACATTCAGGGTGGTGTGTAGGGGCTGAGGTACTGTTTCTGGATCAGAGGTGAAGTATAGCAAGGGGATGCTGGAGATTGAGGATCCCCAAGCAGGAAGCTCCCCCGCCCCCCGCAGGCAATCCCAGAGGAGGGGAAGGCCTAAAGGGCTAGAAGCAGGTCAGGCCTGGGCCCAGAGAGGTGAGGGGCATGGGAGGAAGGCAGCTGTGGAGCAGGTAGCTTTGGTACACTTCCCATTGCTCCGGGCAGCTGCTGGGAGAGACACTGTCCATCTGCAGAGGATGGGCCCTGATGGCAGTGCCAGTCCTGAGTGTTCTCTGTGGGCAGAAGCCCTGGGGGACCTCGGTCCAGGTACCTCCTTCCCCTTGTCCTCCCTGGAGTAACCTGGGTCCCTGGGTCTGGGTCTGCTCACCCTTTGAGGTACCTGTGGTATGCGGGGTGGGAGGGGGCGGTGGTGTCATCTTCCTCTCGTGCTGGCTTCTCGGGGGGCTTCTCTTGAAGCTCTGCTTGCCCTTTACCACTGGCCAAGCCTGTCTTGTGCCTTGGAATTGGAGGAGGACAGTCACTGTCCCTTCCCTACAGGGCCTGGGCGGGGCCCGAGGGGTCTGGGCGTTGGTTCCTGTGATCTCAGCTGCCTCTCTCTTCCTACAGGGCATGCTCATCGAGGGGCCGCCTGGCCCGGAAGGCCCTGCTGTGAGTGTCAGGTTTTATTTTGCCACGATGGGGTGGTGGTGTTCAGATGACTCCCTTCATATCCCCTGGGAGGAGAAGACCCCTCTACAGACCCCTGGGCCCAGTCAGTCCTCGCTGAGGGGTCGGGGAACAAGCCCTCCACTCGTGGCCATGTCCTTAACTCTCTATTGGTTTTATTCTAAATTCTAGGGCCTTCCGGGACCTCCAGGAACCACGGGTCCCACTGGCCAAGTGGGTGACCCAGGAGAAAGGGTAAGAGGTGGACTCCGTTTCCTGAGAGCACCTGCTCCGCTCAGGCTGTTTGTGCATGCTCCGTGCTGAGCTTGTCTGTGTATCCTTCCTGCTCTGGCTCCTGCCTCCTTCAAAGTGGAGATGTCAGCAGGGACACGATTCCTCTGTCCCTGTCCCCAGGTTCCTCTGACCCCCCTCCCCCCCACTGTCCCCTTCACATCTTGACTCTTGCTCAGCCTTGTTCTGGGGGCTCTGGCAGGATCAGGCAGTGAAGCCAGGTCTGAGCCCAGAGTAGCCATGGCTGCTGTCAGCCATGGCTGTGTTGGTGGCGCATAAGACTTCTGGGTGTAGCCATGTGAGACCTGCCTTCTTCTCCCCTCCGGTTGGAAATCCAGCCCCAGGATGGAGAGGCTGGTCCTGGGTGTGTCACAGGCCGGTGCCTGCTAGCTCCTTCTGACACCTGGTGGTGATTTGGAGTACTGCAGCCTTGTGGAGATTCGGATCTGTTTTCGTTGTCTTTTTTTGGTTTTGTTTTGCTTTTCCTCTGGTCTAATGGTTATCCTTATGCAAGCAATCGGATTAGGAGCTAGTAAGTCTCTGGCTGAGTTGCAGATTAGGGAAACAAAGGGCCTGGCAAGTGTTTATTCCCAGAGCCAGACAGTGGGTATGTCTGTCTCAGTCTGGCCATGTGGAAGAGTGACTTGTAATGTCAGAGTGCCCGTGGCTAGGCTCTCTTCAGAGGCAGCTCTGGGGGGAGTCTTTGGGGGTGTCATGGTGGTTTGGAGTAGTGCTTGGTGAGGCGGGGGGTGGGTTCCAGGGAGTCAGTGGTGCCTGTGGATGGACCGCATAAGAAGGAGGGAAGGAACAAGGTGGGTGGTTTTTGTTTTTTTTGTTTTTGGAATTGAACTCAGGGCCTTGTGCTTGCTAGGTCAGCGTTGTGCCATTTGAACCACACCTTCGGACACTCTTATATTGCTTATTTTCAAGATAGGCTCTCAACTTATGTCTAGCACAGTGTGAGCCATGAGCCCCCAGTCTGTGCATCCCCATGGCTGGGACAACAGGCGCATACAACTGCCATGGGTTGAGATGGAGCTTTGCCGTGTGTGTGTGTGTGTGTGTGTGTGTGTGTGTGTGTGTGTGTGTGTGTGCGCGCGCACGTGCGTGCGTGTGCGTGTGCGTGCGCACGCTATTGCCAACCTCCAATTGTAATCCCCCGATCTCTGCATCCAAAGTGGCTGGTATTACAGGAGCCACAGAACCCGGCTCAGCACTAGTCTTTGTGGCGCACTGTGGGCTGATAATCTGTTGGGCAGATCAGGGAGTGCTGGGGTGGACCCTCGCTTGGCACTGGGGGCTCTGCTCTCTGTGGCTGGGTGCCTTCTGAGAGCAGTGGGGAAGACAGGGCCGGGCAGGCAGATTCTCCCTTGCATTGGTCCTCGTGGCTGGGGCTTGCTCTGTGGAAGGACGCACAGGAGGCAAGGCCGTTGGGCTTTTGGAGTCTCTGGGCCTGTGGGCATCTGGAGTCTGTGCTCTCATGTTTTGAGGCAGCCCCAGGGATGAGTCTGCTACTGTGTAGATTGGATTGCACTTCCCTGGATATGATGCCAAGATCCGCCCACAGCTCAGCGTGCTGGAGAGTCGAAGCCTTCCCTCGGAACTCCACACTCTTACTTCCCACTTAATTGACTCCTAGAGCTTGCTCCGGCACCGGCTGGCTCTGCTGCCCAGGCTCCCCAGGGACTCTTTGCACTGATTTTCCATTTGCAGCATATTTATTTGTTTTGGTTAAAGCTGATCTGTTTTCATGGGTCTGGGAGCAGGTGGGAATGCAGCCTCTGTGGAGTCTGGATTCGCCGCTGGAAAGCTCCGGGTTTAAAATGGCGGTTTTCATCCTGCCAGGCCACAGCAGAAGGAAGACTTGTGTCCCAATCTCTTCACACTGGGCACCAGACACCTCTCTTTCTGAGTACTGGGATGCACTGAGTGCCCTCAGACCAAGTCTGCACCTGCCCAGGACCCCTCCAGGGCGGAAGGGGCCTGGCTGTCCTGCCCTGCCCTTGCCCAGCAGGTGTCCAACCTGGGCAAGAGCACATTAACAAGGGCTCAGTCCCTCTCATTTGTTTCTAGGACTAGGATTTCCTATTTGATTTGGTTTGAGCACATTCTTTTTTTTTTTTTTTGCATTAAAAATACTTGTAGGTGGCTGGGTGCCAGGCTTTGGGTATAATCCTAGCTACTTGGTAGATGGAGATCAAGGGATTGCAGTTTGAGGCCAGCCAGGGCAATAGAAGTTCCCAAGACCCTGTCCTGTTTAGTGGCTGGGCACCATGATGCGCACTGTCAGGGAAGGCAAACGGGATGATCATAGGCAGGCTGGCCTCTACAGAAGGGCCCTATCTCAAAATAGCCAACGCTGTAAAGGTTGGCTCAAATGCTCGCCTAACAAATGCAAGGCCCTGAGTTCAAACCCTGGTACCCTCAAAACTGGGTAAGCCAGGCCCTAAGCAGGAGCAGTTAGCACTCTCCATGCTAGAATGTGTGTTTAGCAGGTGCCTTGTGGGTGCCAGCTAGGGCAGCAGGCTGGGTGCCATCACAGTCCCTGGTCTGCTGGCTTGTGTCTAGCAGGGGTGCAGACACAGGCCAGATTGCTGTCCCCTGATGGAAGACAAGTCTGTGAGTGGGGCTGACGCCCAGCACTGTAGGGTTAGCACACGGAGGCATGTGGCTTCATCTCCCAGTCTCCTGTGATGTGTGGGCCGTGCCCCCAGTGTGACATACCCTCACATGAACTCACACATGCGTATAAAGACACACCACACGCACACACGTGCACACACACATAACACATGCACATACGTGCACATGATTTTGGTTCGTCCCAGCATGTAGAACCTGCAGAGAGACTGGGTTTCTCTGTCACCTTTCCCAGCGGGCTGGCCTCCATCACGTTCATCATCAGAACTGTCCCTTGAGGTCACTGGGGGACATGTCCAGGCTTTGGGTGCTCTTTCAGAACAGGTAAACTTCCTCTGTGTATACATCAGAGTCCATTTGAATGTACAAATTTGGTATATAAAGAAACCCCACAGAGTGTGGTAGCTCACACCTGTAATCCCAGCTACTCAGGAGGTGAATATCTGAAGAGTTATGGTTTAAGACCAGACCAGGCAAAACAAGAAAAAAAAAACAAAAACAAAAACGAGGCCACATTTTATGTTTATAATTACAGATAAGCAGAAGGCCATTAAATGGGATGTAAAAACTGACCTTGGGCCCATCCTGAGGACTCCACCTGATAACTAACTAAAAGCAAAAGGGGGTTGGAGGCATGGTTCAAGTGTTAAAACCCCTTTCTAGCAAGTGCAGGTGCAGGAGCTTAAACCCCAGTACCACAAGAAAAAGGAAAGGAAGGAGGAAGGGAGGAAACTCAACGATCTGTGGTGAGAGGTGGAAGAGAGAGAACTCCTACTGTATCTAGAGCAGAGAAACAGTGAACCTTCCAGGTCAGGGCCGGGGCCACGGGCACTGCCAGTCGGTTGTGTGGCATGTTCTGCACATTAGCAGGTGGAAATGGCCGAGCACGTCATATGTCATCCTCACATGCCCAGGTCTGCAGGGGCTTCGGAGGGTTTTGTCCTTAGCTGTCTGCAGGTGGAGACCTGCCTGTGGACCTCCTTGCTGCTGGTCCTGGCTGGTGGTGTGGCTGAAAGCCTCCTGTGGTGGCCCAACTTCACACCATGGGCCTTTGGGAAGGAGCTGGGGGTGGGGGAGGGTCTAGGACTCGGAAGGGGCTCAGGTAATGCTCACTGAGGGAACCAAGGCTGGACCCATTTTTCGGGACCTCTGCTCGAATAACTACAACCTCGGTTCTTAAAACACAGAAATTCATTCTCTCTGAGTTCCAGAGGCCAGAGCTGGACCTGTGATGTCCAGGTCGCTTCCCGTGTGGCCCCAGCTTCTAAGGGGTGCCAATGCCCTGGGCTTCCGTGGAGGTGACTGTGTGGCTCTGTCTCTGCCTCTCTCCCCTGTGACTCTGTGTTCGTCTTCCTGTTTCCTCTCTTCTGCATTCTTGTCTCTAGACTGGGGGTTTATCTTAACCCATGATGAATTCCCTTCAAGCTACTTAAATTATATCTACTTCAACCCAGTAAGGTCACAATCCCAGGTTCTGAGAAAGGGAATTTGGGGATTTGGTTTTTTTGTGTGTGTGTGTGTATGTGTGTGTGTGTTTAATGCTGGTTGTGGGGCTTGAACTCAAGGCCTTGGTGCGGCCCTTGAGCTTCTTTTTGCTCATACCACTGAGCCACAGCTCCGCTTTTGGATTTTATTAGAGACAAGAGTCTCATGGACTTTGCTGCCTGGTCTGGCTTTGAACTGCAGTCCTCAGATCTCAGCCTTCCGATTCGCTGGGATGACAGGCGTGAGCCACGGGTGCCCAGCTGGGAATGTGCACTTTTTATAGAGGCCTCGTTCTGCACAGCCGGCAACACGGAGCTGCAGGGGACATCGAAGAGCATTGCTGTCCCTGGGGACGTGCAGCGGGCCTTACCGGAAGGCCTCATGCGGCGCACTGGGAAGCTGGGCGCTCACCCTGACACCCCTCCTCTGAGTCTGGGCCTCAGCAGACTACACCATGTGTCCATGTCCATATGTGTCTGCTCAGGATGAGTTAAACTCACATAGGCAATGACGAGAATGGGGGTGGGGGAGGAGGGCCCGCACAGGCTGCGCTCCAGGGTGCCAACCAAGAGCCAGTGGCACACCGCTCTCCGAGGACAATCCTGTTAGACAGCTTAACAAGCCACACTGTGGAGCCGCAGGTGTGCTGGTAGTATGTGTGTGTGTGCATATGTATGTGCATATGTGTGTACATGTGCATGCGTGATTTCAGCCCTTTCTCTGGGTACCTATGGGACTTCGGCCCTGGTCACTTCCTCGGGGGGAAGGCCTCTCCGTGGCTACTTCCTGTATAGTACCGTGTGGATGTGTGTCACAAACGGTAGCTGCCACCGCAAGGCGGCCACGGTTCACTTTCAGGCTGTTCCACGCCCTTCTCATAGCTCCGCAGGGCCCCGGGGGACGCAGAGCTCCGGGCTGCCATTCAGGAGCCTACCTCCTGTCCTCCTGTTTCCCACTTGGAGCCTCTGGTTGAGCTGAGGGATTGCCGCCCCAAGGAGCTGTGGCTGGCAGATGTGGCTGTGTCCACTGTGAGGCCAGACTGAGGTGGACGGGGATATTCTCACAGGGAGTCAGAGACCTCCCTGCCTCAGCCCACAGGAGCGGGCTTGTGCTGGCCAGAAAGCCGAGTGATGGGCAGGGTTGGCAGGGGAGATAAAGCTTCCTAGTGATTCTGCTCTCCTGTGATGCCCAGTCTGGCCAGGATCACCAGAGAGGGCGGCGGCTGAGGGTGTCTGGCCAGCCCCGGGCCCTTGTCCAAATTGGTTTGCAGTAGCTGTGCCCTGCCCTCCCGGCCACCCCTGCTCTGCCTCTGCAGGGGAGTGTGTGCCCCGCCTGCCCTCTCGCAGCCCTGAACCCCATGCGGGGCTGGTGGGGTGGAGGATGGGACCTCACTGATGGCCTCCCTCAGAATTGGGCCTGGGAGCCTGGGGGTCTCAGGTCCTGTTTCATCCGAAGTCCAAAGGGGTGCAAGCATGGGAGCCCCGTGGGGCCTCTGCCCCCTCCCGGCCCCCAGTCCCAGCCCCTTCCCCCTCCAGGCTCCAGCTGGACACAATCTCCCCTTTCTGATCTCCCCTTTCCTCTCCACGTGCCTTGGGAATCCACTCAGACCCTCCTCCATCCCCTTCAGCCCTTCCTGATCCTCAATTCACTTTCCCGCCTCTCCTTTCTCTGGGCTTTCTGGAACATTCCTTGCCAGGAGATCCTGCCTTTCTCTGTGCTTCTTGGCCTATTTCCTTGGTGGGTGGTGTTGTTGTCATGAGGCCTAGCTCCATGCTGAGCTGTGTTCTCTCCTTGCAGGGTCCCCCAGGACGTCCAGGTCTCCCCGGGGCTGACGGCCTGCCTGGCCCTCCTGGGACCATGCTCATGCTGCCGGTGAGGACCCCACCAGAGGGACGGGGAGGGGAGGGTGGACGCTGGGTCTTGGGAGGGGCAGGTATTCTGGAATATTCCTCAGCCTGGGAGGCATGGCCCGCTCGAGTTCCGCCTCATGGGAAAACTCAGGACCCCTTCCCTGGGGTGGGTCATCCCTGGGGCAGGGGCTGCTGCCTGGGGACCCTGGATCCTGGGAAATCAGAGGCACTTGTGGGCAGGGCTGCTTCAGAAGCCACGTAACTCTACCCTGGCATGTCACTGTTTGCAGCGTGGTGGCTTATTCCAGAACTCTCTGGATTGAGATTCTGTCTTCCTCTAGCACTGGTATTTAAACCTGAGCAGTGTGTCCTCAGGACACCCAGATCCACATTTTCCTGTCTGTGGTGCGAGGGTGTAGCCCTCAGATTCGCCGTCCCCGACGGGGCCTCGTCCTCACTGAAGTCCCAGGATGCCTGTCATTCATGCCGTGGCCCAGGGAGGGGTCAGGGTGCCCTTCCCAGACTGCTGGACACAGCCATGTGTGTGCCTGGCTGTTCTGTGCAGTATCCGGGGGCTGTGTGCTTTCAGGGAGACAAGTACAGAGGCCTGCAGGGCATTGCAGACCCGAGGGCTCCAGGGTATCCCCACAGGTGGCATTTACAGGGCAGCTTCCACTGGGGCGCAGAGCCGTGTGTTGGGGGTCTGCCGCTGTGGCTGACCTGAGGCCCCGGGTGACCGCTCTTCTTGCTCCCGCAGTTCCGGTTTGGAGGAGGCGGCGATGCGGGCTCCAAGGGCCCCATGGTTTCTGCTCAGGAGTCACAGGCCCAGGCCATCCTCCAGCAGGCCAGGGTAAGTGCGCCGGTCCCCGTGGGGAGGGGCCGGGTGCTCCGATCCCCCCGTGCCTGCCTGTCAGGGGCTCAGGGCCCACTAGGGGAGCTTGGGCCATTTGGGGGGTGATTCCTCAGGGGTTCCACATGCACACTGAGCATCCGGAGGCCTCCGGGCCCTGCCAGACTGTCTGACCCGCTGGATGGGCAAATGCCCACCCCGTGGGGATCCAGGGGTGGAGACGGGGGCACTGGGCTGTGAGGCGGTGGCTCTCAGAGGGAGCCCTTGGCCCGGGTCCTGGGAAGCGGGCCATAGAGGAGGGTTTGCCTCTGCGGGGAATGAGCTCGTTAGTGACCTGTGTCTTTCAAAGGCCCTGGGGTAAGGATGACGATGCCCCTCCTGCAGGGTGGGCGGCCTGGGGAGCCCCACACTGGACTGTGCGAGGAGATGTCTCGATAGCCCCTCGTTTGCGATGTATTTATGCGGCTGTAGTGCAGCCCTGATGTTAATAGCCAGCAAGCGCACAGATAATTACAGCCCGGTTTAAGTATTGAGTAGTTGCTGTGGAACAAATTGCACAAATGATGGGGTACAGTGCCTGACAAGCCCGCTCCCTGATTGACTTGCTCCTGCTGGCCTGTTAATCCACCTGTATTCTAATGGAGCCGGAGCGGATGATGGGCTTAGAAGATGATTTTGTAATGTGAAAGAGTCTTCCAAGAGTGTGCTGGCTGGTGTGTGTGTGTGTGTGTGTGTGTGTGTGTGTGTGTGTGTCTGCATGCGCACACACACACACACACACACACACACGCGCACACAGTTGTGCCATTGAGCCCTTCTTGGAGAGGGTGATGTTGACGCCACAGTGCAGGATGGATTGCTCCGGGCAGCGTGGGTTCCCCGCTCACCAAAGGCCTCTGCACTTGACGGGCCTTCCGTGGGAAATATCTGTTTTGTGACTCAGCCACAGTCAGTGTGGAAATCGTAGTCTCCCGGCCCCAGCCGGTGGGGGATGCTGCGTTTCTCATTAGTCCAAGGGAAAAGGGGCTGGGCATAGGGCCAGAGAGGAGGATGGGGAGGAGGACAGGGAGGAGGATAGGGAGGATGATGTAGAAGACGGGATAGAAGGGGGGGGAAGGGAAGGTCTCTGTTCACTGGAGAAAGTGGGTACCTCCGCTCCCTCTTCCCCTCCCCTGCTTCGTGTGGGGGAGCCAGTGTGCCCTGCAGGTCGAGTCAGACCTCTGTCTGGAGCAAGCCGGGATGCGCTGCCCTTGGCCTTGTCTTAGCGTGTTTCCCCTTCCCTTGCAGTTGGCGCTGAGAGGACCAGCCGGCCCGATGGGGCTCACAGGGAGACCCGGCCCCATGGTGAGTGGTTGGCATGTTCGCTGTCCGTTGTCTCTGTTCCCAGCCAGCCAGCTGGGACCGTGGTCTCTTGGTGCTGTTCCAGCCTTTTATGTGGGGATGAGGGGGGGATTGTGGCTCAAGGCCGCGGGGGCGTCTGGAGGCTCCTGGGAAGCAGCCCCCGGCCCTGTCATGAGTGGGAGGGTCCTGGAGGGCGGGGAGACCCCTCCCACGCTCTCTGCCGCATCTATACTCTGTAGCTGCCCTCACCTCTGCATCCCGGGACTCTTGGCATGTGGGTGAAGGTGGCTCACTGGAGGGATGGGGCCTGTGGGGTGTCCCCGCCACACCTGCGCCTGCACCAGCCCGGCACCAGCTGTGCCTCGTGAATGGGATCCCAAGTGGGGTCTCCCTCTTCCAAGCAGCCCTGTCTCTGGACTCAGTCCTCCCATAGGCTGGCCTCCCACAGTCAGCTCTTCCCACAGAGCGAAGCCTCTCTCTGCCTTCACGGCTCTCGAGGACCAGCCCCACCCCTTGGGACTTATTCAGCCCCAGGAGGAGATCTGAGGTCTGGTCTCTGCCTCTTGGGTATTACCGTTCTCCCCTCTGGTCACTTGGAAGCCATGAGCCAGTCTGTGGCCAGGCCTGGCCTGCTCCACCAGCCCCTTCCACGGTCACCTGCCCACTGTCCTTCTCTGAGTGCACACTAATCCAGAGTTGTCTCCCTAGGGTCCTCCTGGGAGTGGAGGTTTGAAGGGCGAGCCCGGAGACATGGGGCCGCAGGTAGGTGGGGGCCTCGTCTTTGCTCTGGGGAGGTTACTGGTGGTGAGGAAGGCTGGGGTGGCGGGGGCCCAAATTCCGCGTGTCTTCAAGGAAACCAGTGGGGATTGCCGCTTGGTGCAACAGGATCAGAGATAGCTGACTGCTGTGGCCATGGAGGGGCCTGGCCCTCTCACCGGACAGGGTGGCCACGGGCCATGGGGGGAGTCCCACCCTCACACGGTGGCCATGGGCCATGGGGGGAGTCCCACCCTCACACGGTGGCCATGGGCCATGGGGGGAGTCCCACCCTCACACGGGGCGGGCGTCTGGCAGCCAGGACTGTGCCGACCAGCACAGAGACCAAGCTCTGCTCCTAGTTGGACATGCCCCTGATGCTTTGTCCTCTGAATCCGCAACAGGGTCCCCGAGGTGTGCAAGGTCCGCCTGGCCCAGCAGGGAAGCCCGGAAGACGGGTGAGTGTTTGGGTCTCGGTGCTCGTGAGCGGGGACGCAGCACCGTCTCTGGTGGAGCTCTGGGATGGGCTTGTCCTGGTACCACCTCGGCGGAAGCGAGGCCGTGTCCCTCTGTCTGAAGGGCACCCAGCCTCCAAGGCTGTGTCTGAGCTGCTTCTCAGGATGGACATGCACTGTCCCAGGACAGAGAGCCTCAGCACTGAATAATCATCGGTCCACACCAAATGAGAGTCATTTTCCAGGCGATAGGAGCTGTGCAGACAACAGGGTTGGCGGGCCTGGTGTCTTTGGGGTGCCTCATGGCTCCAGCAATGGCCCCAGTTTGGGAGAATTATCTAGGTACCTGCTCATATCTTCCCACCATGCACCAATCTCCTCATCTCCTGGGGTTTTGTTCCTGGACAGAGCAAGCTTGCTTCCTCAGGGCCACAGCCGTGGGGTGTCCCCACAGCACAGTGTCCTCCAGGGGAGCCGGGGGGGGGTCCTGCGGAACCCCTCCTGCTCATCACCCGGCTTTCCTGCCACAGGGAATGGGGCAGTGCGTGGAGCTCCGCTGTATCAGGCTGCCCTGATTTCTGAGCCTTTGGGGCAGACGGGGGATTCCCTGACTAGGAAGGGAACTGTGGGTAGGAAGTGAAAAGGCCACACTTCCTCTCACAGCCCGTCCAGGAGCAAGTGTGAAGATCTGCACAGGCACAAGGAGAGGGCTGGGCGCGATGCCCAGGGTCACTCACTCCACGTCTGTAGTGCTCAGTAGACAACTGGGAAGTTACCAGACAGGGCTGCGCAGAAACTGAGGAGGGGAGGCAGGGGACCAGGTCACAGTGAAACGGCCTGGGAACCCAAACACCTCCTTTGGAGGAAGTCGGCGTGCTCCCAAAGAGATGGCCCTGCTGGGGTGGTGAGAGGGGGCGGGACAGGGACTCTGTGCTGGTGGCCACCACTGAGTGGCTCCAGCCACCTCTGGAGATATGAGCTAGCTCAGCCTGTGAGGGGCGTGACCCTCACAGACATCTAGCTTTGAGCAGTATCATGCTGCAAAATCCAAGAGCTTTTCTGATGAGCTTCCCCTGGGTGTTTTAGGGGAAGCTCCTGGTCGGCCATGCATCTGCTGGCCTCAGTACTGGCATCCTGCCCTGTGCTCTCCTGAGAAGTTTTTGTCCCTGGTTTGCAGCTCTCCTTCCTGTTGCCCTTCCCTAGAACTCTGTGGGTGTGCATGTGTATGTGTGTGAATATGAGTGTGCATGTACGTGTGTGTATGTGTATGTATTGTGTATATGAGTGTGCATGTGCTTGCATATGTGTGTACGTGTGTGTGAATGTGCATGTATGCATGTGTACGTGTGTGTGCGCGCGTGCGTGTGTGTTTGTGTGTGTGTGTGTGTGTGTAGCCCAGCTCCTTGTGGCCCTTTTGGGTCCCTCTCTTCTTTCTCGTCTCTCATCTCTGGCTCTGCCTCCACTGCCTGTTGCGTGTGGATATTCAAAGCTGCCACTGTCCAGATGTTTTCTCTGCCTGGCCATGAGTCCTCAGACAATGGACCCATTTGATAAGGGCCCACAGGAAGAGGAAAGAGCCGGCCATTGAGCCTTGTGAGGGAGCGGAGGTTTGGCTGGGTCTTGGTGGGTTCTCCCTGTCCGCTCCAGGGTCTGGAGTTCTCCATGCTGTCCTCTGTCCGTGCCTGGTGGGTGGGTATCCTGGGCTCGTCCTTGGCTGCATCTGTGGCTGTGGAGTGGCTGGTGGGGTGGTCTGAATAGGACCTGTCTTCCACAGTCGGATGGACTGAACAGGCGTCCCTTCCTCTTCCCTCCATGTGGGTGGCTGCTCTGTGGTTTCCTTTCTGTGTGGTGGCACGGAGCAGTGCCACGTTGGAATGTCAGCCGTGTGCCACCTGAGTCATGAACTGGCTGGGCGCCTGGGCGGGTCTGGCACGGCGTGTCACCCTCCCAGATGGCAGAGGCAGGATGGTGAGGCTCTGCAACACCCACCACGCGTTTTCAGTTGAGTGGCTGCGTGGCCCACCCCAGGCCTGTGGGTCAGGGTCTCCTGGGGGCGTGGCCCTATGGGGGCTTGGCCCGTGGGGGCATGGCCCGTGGGAATGTGGCCCGTGGCAGGCCTCGCTGCAGTGGAAGTCCCAATTGGTTTGGTAGACACTACTTTTTGAAGTCCTGGCCAGCCACCTGTCCTTTTCCTATCGACAGTTTGTCTCCTCTCTTCCAGGGTCGTGCTGGGAGTGATGGAGCCAGAGGCATGCCTGGACAGACGGGTCCCAAGGTAGCTGCTCCCACCCTTCCTGATGCCGGGCTCTGAGGCACTGTGCTGCTGGTGCAGCCTGCGAGTGGGCTGTGTGACGGGAGGGTGGGGAGGGGGGAAGTCCCATCATAAGAGCTGCCTGGCGGTGTGCACAGAGCCACGGAGACGTACGCGGGAGCCCGGAGACCTCGAGGCCCCCGGTGGGTGTCTGCCCGCCCAGTCCAGGGGTGTCAGGGCTCCAGGCACTGTGGGTCCGGTAGGTGTCATCTAGGGGCAGGCATGTGCTGTGATGGAGCAAGGCCTGCCCCCGTTGGTGCCCCCCCTGTGCCGTGGCTCCGTGCTCATACCCCTGCCCCTTGACCTGGTCCGCACCAGCTCCCCCTGCCGCTCTGCCCTCCTTCCCAGCTCCCAGGGCGGCTGGTCCCAGGCCTGGGAGAGGTCCCTGGGGTAACACCAGCTTTCTCCAGTGTGGGGTCCCCTGGAACATGCATGGCCTGTGAACGGCTCTTCCCTCAGCCCTGAGCTGATGAGCCTGAGACCTTTGGTGGACAGGGTGACAGAAGGATGTCTCATGAGTCTGTCTCGGGGTCTAGGCACAAGGATTTCACCGTGCGTGTTGTCTGACAGAGCCCTCTGCTGTTCTTACAGGGTGACCGTGGCTTTGACGGCCTGGCGGGGTTGCCAGGAGAAAAGGGCCACAGGGTGAGTATTTCCGTGGGAGGTCAGGAGGGTCTTGTCCCTGGAGGCCCCCCTCTGGCCTTGGGTTCCTTATGGGTTAGAGAAAGGAACCCGGGGACGGTTTGTGTTGAGGGAGAGTCCAGTTCTGACCCCCTGCTCAGGAGCGAGCCTGGTGAGCTGTCCCTTGAGGCTGCTGAATTGGCTGAGGGGGGTGCTGTGCTCTCCTCCTATAACTCAGTTTCTGGCCAAGGGAGCCAATCATATTCTTGAGAAATCCAAGAAGCGTCCGAACCAGGACACAGGGCACGTCAAAGCAGCAGTTGGGGGTGATGAGACAATCTCGAGGCTGCTCCGTAAGGAGGCCCGGGGCTCAGTGCTCAGTGCTGCCCACCTGCCTGCTGCGGAGGGGGGGGGCTCCTCTCCCCCTTTGGGGTGTGCCAGATGCGATGGGTCCTCACAGCTCATCAGATGTTTTCTCCCTGCTGGTTTCCTCCTAAGCAGACTTTTTGGTGCCTTTTTTAGACTTTGGCACATTAGGGTCACACTGGCACACGTGTGTGTACTCACCCTTTCGCAGACACACGCACGGGGGCGCACACACAGAGCACACATACCTGCTAGTGAGCAGTACTACTGCTCTGTGTGCCTTAGGGCGGGGACGCCGGGGTTTATGAAAAGCTGTTGTGTTGATTGTTTCTGATAATCAATAGAGAGCTGGAACGTACAGCTGCCAGCAGCCCCTGGTGAACGCCTGTCCTTTTCACCGATGTGCACATGTTGAGCACCATCTGTGTGCCAGGCTGAAGCTGCAGGCCTGCACAAGGGGGACCAGCCCCCCTCCAATGGGCTTTCAGCCCAGGGAGTGGTGGGGATTGAGGATGCCCTGTCTCATACAGAGTGACCAGACTCCCCTGTGTGTGTGTGTGTGTGTGTGTGTGTGTGTGTGTGTGTGTGTGTGTGTGTGTGAATGTGTGAGAACTAGCGTGGCCTTCTGAGCACCCAGTCAGGTGACCCTACGCCTCCTAGGCCATTCAGATGGGTTTGTGGCCACCCACTAGCCCTTCCCCCACCCCAGCTCCATATTGAGAAGGTCAAGGTCAGAGAATGGGAGGTGGGGGCTTGGCCAGCTTGTGTTTGGCCTGCTCAGGAATGGCTAACGTTGACCTTGATTGACTTCCTAGGGTGACCCTGGCCCCTCCGGTCCTCCAGGACCTCCAGGAGATGATGGAGAAAGGGTATGTATCCCAGGGACCTCTGTAGGCTGGGGCTGGTGGGGAGGGAGGAGGACTGAGTCAGGGCCTCACTCTGGGAGGCAGCACGGGCTTTGGAGATAAAAGCATTTACTGCTTGCTTCTTCTCTCCTGCCGAGAGGAGAGGACGGCCGGGAGTGGTTTTCAGCGATGCCAGGTCTGTGAAGGGGCTTCTCTGACGGGCACAGGAGGCCTCATAGAGGCCCTGGCATCCCACGGGGAGACCGGTGAGGGATGCATCAAGGGGAGGATACTGGGAGGTGTGGAGAGGTGGAGGCACATAGGAAGTGATTATCTTCCACCTTGGGAGCTGGAGGACAAAGCAACTCAGCACATGACTAGAGGGTGGGAGTTGAGCTGTTACTCAAGCTTGGGGTAGGGGCTGAGAGAGGTGCTTAGCCAGAGGTCTCAGTGTCTGCCACACATCTCTGTGGGGTCTGGAGGCCAAGGGTCACCTCCAGGGCACAGCACAGCGGTGCTGTGATAAGATGGGGGTGACTGGATCTGTGCACCCCTTTCTGTGTGCATCCATCACTTTCCTTTTGAGCTTCATGCTCATTTTGTGACTTGACCTCGGGGCCAGGACACTAGCCTTAACTTTTTCACGAAAGGCTGGTGTTTTACCACTTGAGCCACAGTTACACTTCCAGCTTTTTGTTGGCTCATTGGAGATAAGAGTCTCATGGACTTTTCTACCCAGACTGGCTTCAAACTGAGCTTCTCAGATCTCAGCCTCCTGAGTGTCAGCTACGGTTACAGGCGAGTCACCAGTGTCCGTCACTTTCTTTAGGCACTGGGGATGTTTTAGGGAACCAAGGAGCAGGCTCCAGTGGCCTTTCTCTTCTCAGCAACTTCCACATTGGCCTTTTGAGGGAGCCTCTATGCAGGCCCCAGCCCAGTCTGCTGTGAGATCAGGAAGGAGAGATGGACCCTCGACAGATTCCCATGTTTGATTCTCAGGAAATACGTGTGTGCTGGTGCACATGCGTATACTTGTGTGCATGGCTGTTTGTGTATGTAGATTTGCCCTTTGTGTGAAGGAGTGTGTTCACAGGTTATGTGCACACATGCATACGGTGCACACTCTGTACTATGTGTGCACACACATGATGTATATGGCCGTGCAGTTGTGGGTGGTGTATACATGCAGGGTGCACATGTTCATGTGTGAGCATGCATGTGGCAGGCTGTGTGCGCACACATGCTTGAGGTGAAGAGCAGGTGCTGGCCAGCAGCCACAGCTGCGACGTCCTGTAAGCAGGAAGCATTCCTGGGTGGAGTAGGAGGACGAAGCTCTCCTTTCTCTGTAATGGGTTATTTGGGACCCTGGCGGACACTGGGCTCCCAGGGTACTGCCCGAAGGCTCACATGCTTCTTCCTTGTGCCCTCCCTTCCCAGTTTCTATCACTCCTGAGGGTGACCAAGCAAGGCTTGGAATTGAGTGGGTTTCCTGCCTGCCTGCCCCTTACCGCAGCCGTGGCCGGGGAGCTGAGACATCTGTAAGCCTGCAGCTTCCCGGGGCCACCCAGCAGCCCTTCCTCCTGGCACAGGCCGAGAAAATCTGCGTCTGCTGTGGGCCAGCCGAAGAATCCTGCTGTGTGGCTGATGGACGTGGTCTCTGGGCGTCCAGACCTCACAGCCTATTCCTAAAATCCTGTGTCTTTTTTTCCTGCACAGGGTGATGATGGAGAAGTCGGGCCCAGGGGGCTGCCTGGGGAGCCGGTAAGTCCCTGCACGGGCAGGCGGGCAGGGTTCTGGTCCTCCTGAGCAGCACTGGCTTTGACACCCAGCTCAGATTACAAGTGACTTGTCCCCAAGAGCAGACAAACCCTACCGCTTCCCCGGGAAAGAAAAGTGGGGGCCAGTGACTGCAGGGAGTGCAAACCAGCCTTCCTTGTGGGAGGAAATGGGTTTCTGGAGGTTGGGGGGTGAGTCCCAGGGGCAGCATGGAGACTCCCAGGGGACCTTGTAGTGAACACCCAGGGGACAGCTCTGTGGGCATTCAGGGGATCACACCGGGCAGCCATGTGCAGCATGCAAGCATCTGGGGGAAAACGCCAGCTGTGGCAGGCACTGGGGGTAGTTGCAGGCCCAGATCAGTCTGAGTTTGCCCCAAGTTCTGACAACTGCACTTTCCCAAAGCAGACCCCTCTGGCTCCGTGCCCTGGGCTCGGGCTTATATTTAGGCCCACAATAACTTTTCTGAAAGAAAAAAAAAAAAGGACATTAATTACTCTCCACCTACGGTTGCTCCAAGGCTTCTTTCCTCCTCACCCAAGTCGGGCAGCTGTTCTGTGTGCATCTGGCAATGTTAATGGATGAGAGAGAGGCAAACGCTGCTGCACAGGGGCCTGTGTGGGGTCGGTGCGCGTGCGATTCATTTGGGGCTGAATTACACCCTCCATGTCTGATTGGCCACTCAGAAAGAGTTACCCACACCACTCTCCTTAACACTCCTCTAAGCAGTGCCTTCTGGGTTATTAGCTCTGGAAAAACATTTATAGGACTAGGTATTAAAGTAACGAAGGAAGCGCTGAAGGAGCAGTGCACATAGAAAGGGTTTTTCTACGGCTGGATATGCGAAGGTTCTGCTAACATGCCAGGCCCTCTGGGTCCATGCGTCCCGGGGACAGGCTGCTGGATTTCCTCAGGGCAGGCTGGGTGGGGTGGAGCCATCCCGCAGGGCAGTGCATACCCCCCTTGAAGCCTGGCACAGAGCCCCAGGCGGCAGGGGTGCCCCAATTCTGTGCCATTTCTGTGGTACTTGTGGCCGATTCTCACCAGGCCCTGGGGTTCTTGTTGGAGACCCTGCTTCAGCTTTCCCTTGTGCCCATCTGTCCTGAGCAGGTGACACACGAGAAAGCTCCCCCTTTCCTGGAGGGGCCCTGCATGTCCTGTGTGTGTCCCAATCATTTCCAGTCACCCCTAACTGTGATTCTCAATGCAAGTGTGGAACCCAGGGATGGTAGAAGAACTCCTGAGAGGGTATTTAGTTCAGGCTCCCTGGGGAGCCCAGGTCACCTGGCTCAGTGTGTGCTGGGGTCAGGGCACAGGCAGCACTGGATTGCGTGGAGTCTGACCCTTTCTTGTTCTTGGCTTTTGTAGGGGCCACGAGGTCTGCTTGGGCCAAAGGGGCCCCCGGGGCCACCTGGACCTCCAGTAAGTATTGTCACCTGCTGGCACGTGTGTGTCCCCATACAGCCCCCCGAGACCCTCTGCTGGCTCAGGCAGGAGACAGTGTGTCTACACCTAGCACTGCATGCACCAGCCTGTTGTGGGCGGGTAGGGCTGTGGGTCCTTAATCCTCATGTACAAAAAAGCCAGTGTGGAGGAGTGCTGTGTCTCACGTCTGTACTCCTAACTATTCAGGCGGCTGAGGGCTGAGGATCAAGGTTTGAAGCCAACCCAGGCAGAAAAGTCTGTGAGACTCTATGTCCAATTAACCACCAAAAAGCTGGAAATAGAGCTGTGACTCAAGTGGTATAGCACCAGCCTTGAGCAAAAAAGTTCAGGGATAGTGCCAAGGCCCTGAGTTAAAACCACAGGACTGGCGTGCGTGTGTGCGCACGTGCGCACACACACACACACACACACAAGATCTAGGAGGGCAGATGTGGGATTTCAAGTGGGGGTGGAGGGGTGGAGGTGGTCTGGTCTAGTAGCTCTTCCTCCTGTGTTTCTGCCTTCCTTTCTGGCTGTTCCTGTTATACTATGGTCCCAGAATGCTGTGTCTCCATTGTGCTTGACAGAGCCTCCAGAAACTTCTGTGAAGGTTCTAGAAGGAAGCAGAGCCCCTTGGGTTGCCTAAGGTTTTGTCCTAGTGGGCCTGACTGTCGGCCATGCTCCTCCACCCTTCTGACTACCTTTGTAAGAGTCAGAGCCTTCCTAGGGGGCTTTGGGCATGGCCACTCAGCCTGCCCTAGCTGAGGGATTCTGGGGTCTGATCAGTGGACCCCAGAGAAGGGATCAAAAATCCCCTCCTTCCTTTTGCCCCAGAGAATTACTGCAATGTGCCTCAGCTTCGTGTTGAGTAGGATTTTCAGTCCTCTGCATTCAGCCTTTGACTTTTATTTTCAAAATCTCCTGCAGGGAGTGACGGGAATGGATGGTCAACCAGGTCCCAAAGGAAACGTGGTGAGTCCAGGGGTCCCAAATCCTAGCTGCATGGGGCCAGCCCATGCACACGCCTCTACGGGCTGGGGAGGCCCATCCCTGCTTTGTGTCAGCTGGGGATGGGGCACGAGGCTGGCCCGCAGACCTCTGCCACAGCACTGCGCTGGAGGCTCCAAACTGGTCACTGGGGGGGGGGGGGAGCGGCTCACTTCCTGTGCCCAGGAGCTGGCCATAAATGTCCACTAGGAGATACATCTGTTTCCACGGCTCTGGGAGATTACAAGAAATCTGGAATTTTCCAGTGTGTGAAACATCTCCAGCTGCTTTGTGTGCACACCTGTCTGGGTGGATGAAGGGTGTGGCTGTGAGCATCAGTGTTGGGAGCCAGGCCTGGGCCTGGTGCTGCCTCTGCTGTCTCTGCTGCCCTCTGGGTGGTCAGCACACACTGATGTGCCAGATCTGGCAGTGAAGCGCAGATGGAGGGGGTGGGCAGCTGGGATCAGGGGACGAGGTCCCCAGAGCAGGGGACCCCACGCTCAGAACCCCTTTCAGGGCCTTTGCTTTGTTTCCTGTAGGGTCCCCAGGGTGAGCCCGGCCCCCCAGGACAGCAGGGCAATCCTGGTGCCCAGGTAAGTGACCTGAGCAAGGCTGCCGAGGGGCAGTAGGCCTGGGAAGCCTAGGGCTCTGAGCTCTGCACCCTCAAGGTCGCTGCCCTGAGGGAACAGAACCCAGAGTGGTGTGTAATGAGGCAGCCCGTGATCAGGAAGGTGGTAGGGGGTGGGGAGAGGTTCCGGGTCATTCTCACCTCCTCTGCCCTTCTTCCCCCAGGGTTTGCCAGGGCCCCAGGGTGCCATCGGTCCTCCAGGAGAAAAGGTAGGTGGGCATGAGCTACGTGTGTAAGCTGCACTTACTGCCCAGGCCGGGGAGGTGCACTGGCTGCTGCCAGCCTGGCGCACGTAGCCTAAGTCCAGTTCACTCCACACTCAGTCTGCTGGCCATGAGGGAGATCTCATTCATTCATTCACTCACTCATTCAGTCACTTGTTCATGCATTCAGTCATCCATTCAGTCACTTCATCATTCATTCATTCATGCTTTAGTATATGGGGGGGGGTTGCTTAGAAGGCAGACTCTAATGTGTTCTTTATCTGAAATTAACATTGAACTAGGCATCTGGTTTTGTGGTCGTGGTTTAATTTTGTTAAACTCAGCCACCCTAAGTTCACCTCCAGAAGCCCCATGTCCTGGGGAAGGGGTGGGGGGGGGAGCATGGAGGGAGCATTTGCCTCCCACAGCTCCTGATTTTCTTTTGTTCTGGGTGTGCCGGTGTCACCAGGCACCTGCCAGGACCAGCAGCAGTACTGGGGGCTCTGAGGACATTGGAGTCTGCCTGGCTGTCCTCGGGGTGGGGCTGGGCCTGGAGTCCATGACAATTGTGGGGAGTGCAGTGCAGGGAGAGGAGAGACCCTCATTCCCTCTTGACTGTTTGCACTAGGGTCCTTTGGGCAAACCAGGCCTCCCAGGCATGCCCGGTGCCGACGGACCTCCGGTGAGTAGCCCTGCCCTCTCCAGCTCTCCCAGACCACCGTCCCCATCCAGGCAAGAGTGCTGGGCCCCTGGTCCTAGACGGGTGAAGGTCATTGACTCTGCTTCCTTTGGTGATGGAGACCATGGAGTCTGGGAAGTGGCTTGGCCATCCCTGGGGCTCTGTCTGTCCTGGGAGTGGATGTGCTCAAACTCTCACCATTACCCAATGAGTTGATTATTTGCTGGGATATGTTGACTTGCCACCTGGGCTGGGCTTTCTCCCAGACTTCGTGCGCCTCCCTGGCAGAGGAAGTGTATTTTTAGTGTTCACGTGCTAAGTGGGGAGGGCGTGAAACAGGTGTGCATAGGTCGTGTGGGCACACAGCTGTGGGGCCAGATCAGAGACTGGCTGGAAATAGTGACACCAGTCTGTGGCCAAGCTGCAAGTAGAGGGGGGGGTATGCGGGATGGAGCTGCTCAGGTGTGTGCACGCGCGTGTTCTCGGGTCTGCATGTGTGTAAGCTCAGGTGCGTGCGCACACGTGTGGATATATGCACACCTACCCTCCAGCTGTATGGCGATACTGGTTTGGGATTTCGCGGGAGTGTTTACTTGCTGCTGAAAGAGGCTATTTCAGAAAACAAGATGAGCTGAATTAATTATTTAAGACAGTGAGTGTGTTTTATTGTTTTAATAACACCGTTAAAAACTAAACAAGAAGTTAAATGTGTTGGCGGTTAGCTGGTGACTGTTTACCACACAGCTGTCAACTCTCATTCTGTGGCTGAGAGCCATTGGTCTAGCTCCAAGCCCCACGTTTCCCTCCCTTGCTCTGAGCAGACAAATCGCTGTACCTCACCTGCACAGGTACTAAGCAAGGACGTGAGGGCCGCGCCTCCCCTGTGCGGGCGCTGGAGGGAGGATGCATGGGCCTTGGAGGAGTTTGGAAGCTAAATGATTCATCTTTCCCAAGGCATCGTTTCTGCCCTTAATTTACATTCTCCCTGCCCCCCCTCCTCTGTTTGTAGGGCTTGAAATCAGGGCCTGGGCACTGTCCCTGAGTTCTTTGGGGGGGAGTCCGGTCATGGGGCCTGAACTCTGGGCCTGGGCGCTGCCCCTCAGCTCTTCAGCTCAAGGCTGGCGGTCTACCACATGAGCCACAGCTCCACTTCCGGCTTTTTTCTTATGTGGTGCTGAGGAATCGAACCCAGGGCCTCATGCATGCAAGGCAAGCGCTCTACCACTGAGCCACCTTCCCAGCCCCGTGTTCCTGAGTTCTTTTGCTCAATGTTAGCTCACTTTGAGCCACAGCGCCACTTTGATTTTCTGGTGGTTAATTAGAGATGAGTCTCACGGACTTTTCTGCCCAGGCTGGCGTTGAACAGTGATCCTCTGATCTCAGCCTTCTGAGTAGCTAGGATTACGGGCATGAGCCACCAGAAGCAGGCTTAACTGACATATTTATTGACTTTCATCACGTAACACTTTGTGTCTATGTGTGTTTGTCAGTCCTAGGGCTTGAACTCAGGGCATGGACACTGTCCCTTAGCTTTTTTGCTCAAGACTAATGCTCTACTATTTGACCCATATCCCCACTTCTGACTTTTTGCTGGTTAACTGCAGATAAGAGTCTGTGAGCTTTATTGCCTAGGCTGGCTTTGGACTGAAATCCTCAGATCTCAGCCTCAGGAGTGGTTAGGATTACAGGCGTGAGCCACCAGTGCTCAGCTCCCACTCCTCTGCCTTATTTTTATTTTAAATAACCAGGGAGGTCTGTGAGATGGCAGCCTCTGCGTCGTCTCCACAGTGTCGTACGGGCCCGGCCTGGGCGTTGCCTCTCTCACTTGGAGTAGACAAAGTGCCCCAAGTACCCATGACTGTGTGCCAGGCTGACAGCCCTGCAGGGAGGAGGAAGCCTCTTCTTCCCCACCAACATCTCACTCTGGGCTCGGCACACCTGGCTTGATCTGCCCCAGGATCCCCCTCCTCACACAGAAACCTCTACAGAGTCAGGTCCCTGGAGAGGGGTGGGTGCCTTTCACACATCCTGTGGTGGCGTGGGGCTGGTGGTGCCAACAGCCGCTGTAGACTGTCTTTAAATAGCCAGCCATGAAGCTTTAAAATGTACGTGAAGGTGGCCATAGCTGTGCGGGTCCATCTGAAGGGACTGAGAGCAGAAGGGAAGGGAAGGCAGGGCAAAGAAAAGGAAGGGCAAGGCAAAGCATGGGGACCCAGAAAATAAAGAGCTGCCTCTGCCCTCAGAGAGGGAACTGATTTTAAACCATCTTCACCCAAGATGGCGCCTTGCAGCTAAACTTTTAAGTCAGAGCTGGGGGAAGAGAGGGGAGTGGGAGGGAATTCCGAGCAGACGCCAAGCCCTGAAATACACGGTGAAGTAGCCAGCAGTATTCAAACAGGGAAGTGTTAGGTAAATGAATTACAGGTTGATGGAATATTATGGAGTCAGTAAAAACAGAATTTCAGTGAGTATTCTGCGATATGAGAAAATGCTCGTATCTTAATATTAAATTTAAAACATATTACGCCCTGCTTGCTGGGCCTGCATGTGAGCATGGAAAATGGATCGGAAGCGCTTGTCACACAATTAGCCCTGCCGCCGCTCCGAGGGGTGAGGTCCCGAAGAAGTTTAATTTCCTCTTCCCCTGGCCTAATTGTCTACAATGAACATAGATCACTTTTTTAATCAGAAAAATATCAAATACAAGTAATTTAAGCTTTGTTATCTTACCATTATGGAAGGAATGCTTATTATAGAATATTAAAAAATGCAAATGAGCAGGAATGCACAGGCTAGCCTTTCCCACAGAAAAATCTTCCATTGTCAGCCACGCTCTGTGAGTGTGTGGCTAGCAAGTGAGTTTGGGGTCTCCTGCTCCACGTAGACACTCCCCAATAAATAGAATTTGAAACCCATCTGCTGGGCGTTGGTGGCTCACGCCTGCCATCCTAGCTACGCAGGGGGCTGAGATCTAGAGGATCATAGTTCAAAAGCAGCCTGGGAAGAAAAGCCCATAAGATTCCCATCTCCAAAATGACCATCAAAATGCAGGGCTGGAGACAAAGCTCAAGTGGTGGAAGACCAGCTGAGCAAGCAAGCTGAGCAAATGGGAGCTCCGACTCTGGTCCTGAAAACTCAGTCAAATGAAGACGCATCTGAGGGAGTAACTGATAACCACAGGTGTGGCGTGTGTCTGGGCTCGCTGTGGGGGTTGCTGATCCTGATACAGGGCTGGGAAAGCCACCAGTCCCCCTGGTGTCCCTGCATCTGGGTGGCACTGCCCCTTGCTCAGAGCCTGGCCGGACCCCCCTCAGATGCCCATCCACGCCAGTTCCTTCCTAATCAGGAGCTGTGCTAAAGGCCTGCAGAGAACCCTCCCAGCCAGCTGAGCAAAATGTCCTCCCTGGGCGCTGTCTGGGTGCAGCCTCTGGGCCTGTGAGCACACATGGTTTCTGGAAGGCACTGCAGGGTCTAGCGGTGGAGAGCTCCAGATCCCCAGATTGCACACGCGTCGTCGTCACACTGGAGGAGGGGTAGGCCCAGAGAGGAAGAGTGACTTGTCCAAGGCTGCAGAGAAATAAAATCCAGACACGGTGCCAACCTCCTCACCCCACTACAGCCTCTTGTGGGTCTTGCTGCTCTTAGCATCTACATTTGGGTTATGAATCCCGGGCATTAAGCCTGAAGACCAACTTGGGCCTGAGAGAAAGCAGAGAGTGTTGTGTTCCTGCAAATGCAGTGGGTCCAGACCCACGTGGGCAGGTGGGAATGGAGACGCAGGCTGGCTCTCCCCTTTGCTCAGCCTACATGCCTCTGGGAGCCTCTGGGTGTAGCTGAGGTTCTTGAATGAAGACTGGGGTACTAGGTTCCTCCGTCAGGTGACAGGAGACCCTCTCTGCCTGTGCTGTTTCCCCAGCAGTCAGGCGCTGTGTTTGGCACATGGTGAGGTGCTTGCTTGCTTGTGCGTCCTGGGGGCCGTTGCTTGCCGTCTGTCCCAGTCCATGGTTCAGAGGGTCCATTTGGCTAGATGACCTTGAGCAGTGCCCTTGTCATCCTTGCCCATGTCTGTGGTCTGTGGACTCAGCCCTGGAGGGCGCATGGGCTCTGATGTGGCAGCACGCATGCCCCAGCATCTGCTCGGATGGCACTGTCACCTGACCAGGGCCAGGCCTTGCTTCGTGCTCCCAGTTTGTAGAAAAAGCCGCCGAGAGAGCCCCAGTGTGCTGGGTGGCCTGCTGGCTCTCCTGTTCCCCTGGGAGGGGACCCTGGGGGTGGGTTGGCTATTACTGTCACCTGTTACAAATGCTGTGGTGGAGGGGATCTTCAGAGGCTGCTTTCTGGCTAACAAATGTCCTTTCTTTTGTGACAGGGACACCCTGGCAAAGAAGGCCCTCCAGGAGAGAAAGGAGGACAGGTGGGGACTCCCTGCCCCCTGTCCCCAGCAGCCAGCTGCTGCACGGCTCCCTGGGCGGGGTGGGGGTAGACGCCCTGTCCGGTGAGCTCTCACCCCTGGCCTTTGGACTGTTGAAGGACACCAGTTCCCTGGACAAGAGGCCCTTGTCTCCTCCCAGCTGGATGCTGTCTTCATCCCAAGGCCCCTAGGCTGGGATTCATCTCTCCCTCTCTCTCTCTCTCTCTCTTTCTCTCTTCCTCCCTCCCTTCCTCCCTCCCTCCCTCCCTTCCTTCCTTTCTTCCTTCCTTCCCTGAGCTCTTTTGCTCAAGGCTAGTGCTCTGCTTCTTGAGCCACAGCTCCACTTCCAGCTTTTTGGGGGTTTATTGGGGATAAGAGGCTCACTGACTTCAAGCTTCTATCCTTGGTTCTCAGCCTCTGCCTAGCTAGGATATGGGCCTGAGCCCCTGGCGGGGCTGGGATGCATCTCTCTAATGGCAGCTCCGGCCCTCTAGGCCCCTTATCCTGCAGCGCTCCACTGCTGCCCCCTTCCTTTGGCAGCTGTGTGGGGGACTCACCCAGGGGCTCTTGGTGGGGGTTGATGGGCTGCCCAGGCTAATGGTCTTTTTCTCTGCTTCTAGGGTCCTCCTGGCCCTCAGGGCCCCATAGGCTACCCAGGCCCTCGTGGAGTCAAGGTGAGAGGAATTTACGTGGCCTGGGATCTTCTGGGGTGTCTTGAGTGGGTTGGAGAAGGCAGCTTGGCCCTTTCTAGTGAGTTCTTTGGAGGCTCAACCTGTCACCCTGGCGTGGCCTGGCCCTTCTAATCAGGCATGTGGACACTAGGGCCCTGGACGGTGTGGCCGAGCCAGTGAGAGTGATTCACAGCCAGGGACCCCCTTGTCTGCCTGTGACGAGGCAGGTGCCCAGCACTGGCCATCTGTGAGGACAGGAGGACTCCCTTCAGCCCCTGGCAGCAGCGGGTCCTAGGGAGGCGGAGGGCCCGGCCTCTTCCCAGGGGTCCTGCAAGCCGCTTGCACTTGGGAGGAGTGTGAGTGAGAGCAAGACTCCGTCACCAGCACAGGCAGAGCAGAGCTTGCCAGACGGAGTCCAAGGGAGATGTTGAGTTGTTCGAAGTCGTGTTTCCGCCGGTGAGAAGGCCCACAACCTTGTTAAGCAGGGCCCAGAGCTCCAGAGCAATATCCACGCACCGTCCCCACCGTCCCACACGCTCTAACTGGGTTTGCTGCGCACCACAGGATTTAATCTCTGCCTCTCAGCTCCCTGGGCAGCAGTCCATGCATAAGTACAGGATGTGCATGGACAAGAGGTGTGCGGACCAGGTCTCTTCCTTCTCTAAGGACAGACAGGCCGCTGCACGTTAAAGCCCGTCTTCCCGTCAAAATGATTTTAACTTGGTGCACACCTGCTCACACCCCTTATTTGTCCCTGTGGCCTATGGAGCTTTATCCATGCCCAGTATGATTGCATATACAAGTGTGCCCTTGTGACTTGCTCCAAATTATACTAAGCGCAGCACCCCATCAGAACACACCCAGTCTTGATGTTCCCCCTGCAGATCCAGGGCCTGATCCCCTCCTGACCCAGGAGGCAGGACTTCCCAAGTTCAAGAGCCATGGATGAGAGCTCTACCCCCAGGGATTGGGAGCCTCCAGCGGTCAGGTTTCTCCTTGAAGTATGCTGTTCCCAGCCAAACGCCTCCTCGGTTTTCCAGGGGTGATAATTAGCAGCAATGAGGATTGTGTGAGCTCCGCGCATGTTTGTCTTACAAATTCCTGTTGCACAGTGGCTGCCTTTGGCGGCTCTTCTCCATGGCTAATTGCATAAAGCTGCTTCTGCACGCTAAAAGGTGTTTGCTTTAAAATGTTTGTGGAGAATGCTCTTCTCTGTCTGATTAAAATTCATTCGTGACCTAAGCAATCCAGTTAAGACTCAGAAAACCAAGGTTGAGATCAGTTTCCCTTGGGGAAGCAGAGGCTCCGTCTCCTGTTAGCGAGTGGGTAAGCGGCCATGGGCAGAGTGGACGTGGGGGCCACACAGGCTGGAGCTGGGGTCCAGCATTGGTTAGAAGTTCTAGATTTCTCCACCAGAGTTCCATCTTCTTCCTCAGTGCATTGGGCGCTGTGCAGAGATGCCATAAACGCCAGAAATGCATTTCTCCCTTAGAGGAGGGGAGTTCGAGGTCAAGGTGCTGGTGGGTTCGGTGTCTGCGGAAGGCTGCCCTGTGCTTGTGCCTCCTCGCCGTGTCCTCCATGGTAGAGGGCGGGGAGGCCATTTTACAGGGACACCTGACGCCCTTGCAGTGGCCCCACCTCCTGCTTCCTCCTTTCTCGTGCTAGGCCTGAATCCTGGTGTGTGCCGTGTGCTGTGTGCTGAGCCCCTCTTGTGATGCTGTGGTTATCTGGTTAACTTCCTGAGTTCTGGGGACACACACCAAGTTGGCCACAGCAGGTCTCCCTGTGTCCCTTTCTTTTCACGGGCCCTCCTCCTCCCTCTGGGTTTCTCTGCCTCGCCTTCTGAAGGTGTCCTTCTGGGTTTAACTCCCGAGGTCATGGGTGGGTTCCCAGGAGAGTCCAGATGAGAACCCCCTTGGGCAGGTGCGGCCTTGGGCAGGTGCCCCTCTGGGCTCGCTCCTGCAGGCCAGCGGTTCCTTTCTGATCACTGTTCTGTCTCTTCTGCTCCTTGCCCCAAGTGCTGGCCCACACAGGGTGTGACAGATGCTCTGGGCCAGCCATCCTCAGTCTACAGGAAATCTCACAGAAATCAGGGGGAGGGGTCCATTTCCACCCAGTACACAGGCCAGGGAAGCTGCCAAGCACCCGGGCATGGCTAGGTGGCCCATGACAGAAAATAACCCCACGCCGACTGCTGGGGCGCCACCCTAAGAACTACAGCTATAGAATGGTAGACATTAGTCTGTGTGTGTCTGGAGGAACCTGGGCTCACTTTGCTTTTTGTTTCTTGTTTTGTGCCAGTTCTGAGCCTTGAACTTAGGGCCTAGGCTATATCCCTGAGATTATTTCACTCAAGACTGGCACTCTACCACTTGAACCACAGCTCTATTTCTGGATTTTTGGTGGTTCATTGGAGATAAGAGCCTCACAGACTTTACTGCTCAGGCCGGCTTCAAACCATGATCCTCAGATCTCAGCCTCCTGAGTAGCTAAAATTATAGGCATGAGCCACCGGTGCCTGACTAGCTTTCTCGTTTTTAGTAAGGCATGACAGAGGGATGACAGTTGTGTCAGGAAGTTGAGAGCTACCAGAAGGAGGCCAACCCTCACACCCGTGTGTCCCGGACTCATGCCAGGGAGAGGAAAGCTGGAGCCAGGAGCTGGCTTCCGTCTCGGACTGAATTGTTGAATAGGGTAGACCTGGATGCCACGTTGCTCAAGTCCCCTTCATATCCGAGCTCACACCTGCTGTATGCACGAGTCTCGTGGGTGCTTGAAGTGGTCTTTTCTTATACAAGTCCCAGGAACTCAAGTTTCCCTCAAAAAGAAGCATCCACTTCCTGAGAGTCACCTTTGTGGGGCTTGGCAGCTTCTGTGGAGATGCCTGCAGGGTGCAGTACCCAGTGGGACTCCAAACCACAGAGCCCGCCGGAGAGAGTGCTGGCCACCAGGGGGCAGCTGGCAGCCCCTGCCTTCTCCCTGGGCCTGGCTCAGCCTGAAGGCCTAGGGAAGCCCGGCCTCTCCAGGCAGACGGCCTGAGGTAGCCTCCAGAGTCGGTAAAAGTAGAGTAGGTAAAAGTCACCTGGCTCAGAGTCCTGAGGCCCACTGGCCTTGCCAGCGAGGGGTGTGGCTCTGTAGTGCCAGGCCAGCCAATCCCCAGGGTGTTTGGCAGGAGAGAAGATGGCCACGGCCACTGTTAGCCATCAGTGGATGCTGTAAGGTGTCATGTCCAGGATGATACAGAATTAACACCACGGGGTGGCACGCACCTGCCTCTCCTGGTACCTGGTGTGTGCTGGCTCTGTCCTGAGGCCCTCACCACGGGTGCTCCCCTCCCTGAGCACAGTGAGGTCAGGGTCCTCATGACCTCACTACACTACATGATAAGGAGGCGGACACATGCAACACTCTGAGACATTGTCGGGGCCACAGAGCAGAACCACAGCTGGAACCTGTCCGTCCCGGCTCCTCCCCAAACCTTTGAGGATGGAGAGATAGGAGTTTCCCAAACAGGTGGATGTGAGCATGGGAGGGGTTAGCTGGGGGCTTGGATCCAGGTAGACCCAGAGCTCAGGGTGAAGGGTCATCTATTGTATGGTTAGGAGTCACGGCCATGGAAATCAGGACGCTGGGTCTCACGTGGGCCCAGCAGTTGGTATGAGGACAGGAGGGGCTATAGAGGGTTCTCCCGCAGCGGAGACATGGGAGGCCTGCTCGGGGAGATGGCTGGCGAGGACCTGCCAGGGCCCCGCCCTTCTGGGCCCTCCGAGTATTATATTGTCCAAGCATTTCTGACCATTCTTCTCTCCTTCCTGTCCACACAGGGAGCAGATGGCATCCGAGGTCTGAAGGGCACCAAGGGCGAGAAGGTGAGTGTCCCCTCCAGGGCGGACTGGCCCTGCCAGCAGCAGCGCCCAGCGTCACACAGAAACAGAGGAGGGGCCGGCTCTGATCATGGAAAGGAATGGCTGCTCCTGGGTGGGAAAATGTGTTGGTTTGCAAAAGGAAGAAGCTCACATTGAAGAGAGCAAGCCCCTGGGAACCACGGGGTGTCATCGGTCAGACCCAGTGCACCTGCCCAAGAGGGCCCTGGCCTAGAAACCCGGCAGGTGCACACTGCCCCCGCCCCTCCTGGCAGGCTCTCCTGGCAGGCATCAGCCAGCGTGCATTGCTTGTTAGCAGCCACACACTCCTGTACAAGGTTGGGCTGATTTGCGGCGCACGATTGCAGGGCACCGCCAGGACCTGGCTGCCCCATGTAGGCCAGGCTAGCTCTGTGACTGCCCGTGTTCATTAACAAGTGGCCATAGCTCGGCACATGCTGCCAAGACTAGCGGGGCACAAATCAGAACCCAGATGGACTCCTCTGGGTAACACGAAGCTAAGGTAGGTGCCAAATGTGCTGCCAGCCCGGGCGCTCAGGGACCCCGCTGCCCTGCCGTCCCCAGCCTGGCAGGGCTGCGTGGCCTCCGCTCTGGTCCCTCACGCTGGGTGGAAGGAGGCTTCTAGGTCAGAGGTGGCACCACTTCGGAGGGGGGCCCCGCCGCCCCCCTGCCCCGCTGTCCTGCTGCCCCACCGCCCGCTCTCCTTCGGGTCCTGTTGAGCACCTCCCTTGCCCTTCCTAGGGAGGACACGCTCTCAGCAGGGCACCCCCATCCCTCTGCGGCAGACTGAGGTGTCCAGGGACGCTGGGGCCCAAGGCCTGAGAGTGAAGAGCCTGCCAAGCAGGGGCGGGTGGAGCCTAGGGAGAGTGAACCCCTTCTCCTCACCGGGCACCGGTGGAAGGTGGAGCCCCAGAGTCCCAGCTCCACCACCCTTCCCCTCTCCGGGCTGTGCCCCCACCCCACCCCACCCCACCCGTATGGCTTCCTGGGTTGCACTTGGGGCCTGTCTCACCAGGACAGCTAACCAGGCAGTCCCACGGGGCCACAGCAGGAGCTTGAGCTGGTCCTGGGGACATTTCAGGGCAGTGGTGGGGACGCATGGCTCTGCGTTTAGATTTGTAGTCACAGCTGATAAGTGACCACACTTCCTGGACACTGGACAGGGGCCTTGGGGCTGGTCATTGTTGCTTGAGTAGGGGTTGCCAGCGGCTAGGGCCAAGCCCCCGGTGCCCTGCCCTCCATTTAAGATGCGGCTGTTGAATGGTGTGAGGGAAGCCTGGTCTAGACCCTCCTCCCCAGTGCCAGACGCCACACACACCAGTATTCCAGGGGCCTCTCCATGTTTCCCCAGGTGGAGGGAATCCAGACCAAGAGTGTGAAGGGGACATCATACCACTGGCATTTAACATTCTCACAAATGGCTCCCAAATAGCACACTGTGCCCACAAGCTGGCATTTCTCACGTGTCCAGTGCCAGAGGGATAGCTCCATTTCTTTGGGGGGACATCTCACCTGCTCCCCCTCCCCAGACATCAGCCTGCTTCCTGGGTCTCAGACTGCAGTGCTGAGCCAGCCACACTGTGCCCAGGGGCATGGTCACTCCTGCCCAGCTGTGTATCTGTTCACATTCAAGCTAGGCCTGGCTGATGTCTGGGAGGCATACAGCTTCTGGCTGTGGGGTGTGGGACCCGCTGAGCCTGGGTGAATGGGAGACCAGGCCTCACAATGGCGGGCACTCAAGACCATCTGTCCCTGGCTCCTGCTGCAGCCTGGGGACAGGGCCTCTGGGTGGGTCCACAGGAGTTGGGAGAGCGGGTTCTCTTCCCTGGACTGAGGTGTTCTCTCATCCACATTCAGGGTGAAGATGGCTTCCCTGGGTTCAAAGGCGACATGGGCATCAAGGGTGACCGAGTGAGTACTGGGGACATGGTGGGCTTGGGGCCCTGCAAAGCGTTCGGGGTGTCTGTGGCCACGGAGCAGCTTCTCAGGATGCAGGGACAACTGGTTGGCGAGCAGGGCCTTGGAGCCTGGCTCTCTCTGGCCCCCGTGTCACTCCCTCTTTGACTTCTTGCTCACAGGAGGGGTTAGGTCTCACCTGGTGACCGTGAGGCTGGGAGGAGCACGGGTCTCACCTGTCCCTCTGCTCGGGGTCCTGTATCAGTGGGGAGTGGGAACTTGTTTTTATAGCTGAGAGTGTAGATGGCAGGGTAGATGCGGGGAGGGGCCTGGAAAGGGGGGGGTGAGGAAAATGGTCCACTGAGCGGAAGCAGAACCCCTGCTCAGGCCACAGCCGGTCGCTGGCAAGCCCATCCTCTGCTGCGCTCCTAGACCAGCCTGGCCCCCAAAGAGCTCTGGTGCTGCTCATGGACCCCACTCAGGTACTGGGTGACTGCCTGAGCCGTTACTGGGGTGAACAGATCCCTTCTTGGCCAGTTCACAGACACATTAGAGTTCTAGTGTTAAGCAGGGTGTGCTGTAGTCTGTGTATTTGTGTGTGTGCGTGTGTGCATGTGAGCGTGTGTGCGTGTGTGCATGTGAGCGTGTGTGCATGTGAGCGTGCATGCGTGCGTGTGTGCGTGCGTGCGTGCGTGTGCCTGTGTGTTCGTCTTCTGACATGGAGTCGTTCAAGCATCTGCAGCTTCTTAGGAGGCAGATATCAGGGTAGATCAGTCTAGAGGCTGGTCGAGTTTGGGAATGAGCCAGGCATGTGATCCTGTGTGTTCAGGAGGCTAAAATCTGAGGATCACAGTTTGTGGCCAGCCTTAGTGTGTAAGTCCATGAGACACTCCTCTCCAATGGGCCAGCAAAAGCTAGAAGCTCAAGTGCTAGAGCACCAGCCTTGAGGGAGAAAGCTATAGGAAAAAAGGCGTGAGGATGGTGGTCACGTTACTGTCATGACCTGTGCGAGTTCCTGGAACCTGCTTGACCGAGCTCAGCAGCTCCCCTGAGCTGAGGGTGCTGATAGGCCAGTCTTAAGCCTGCCTGTCTCTGGTGTGTGTTCTGGAGCCTCCTGGCTGTGCCTAGCCAGGGCTGTGGTTGATTTTGATGCCACCTTGGGTTTCAGGAGGAGCCCCCCCCCCCAATCCTCGCGCTCTGAGAAGCAGTGATTTACTCCCTGGCTGTTCACCCATCATTTTAGCCAAGAGACAGGGGGCTAGGAAGCCGAACTGGCAGCCTGCGGACACGGTGCATGTGGGGGGGCGCTGTGGCCATCCAGCGGGAGGGGGGGCCCAGGACCTGCCCTGACAGATTCCTTTCAGTGGAGTCCCCAGGAGCAGCTCTGGCCCTGCAGTAAGGTCAGTCAGGGGTGCAGTTGTGGGGGTCCCTCTCACTTCTTTTCTTGTGATTGCAGGGCGAGATCGGCCCACCTGGTCCCAGGGGAGAAGATGGCCCTGAAGGCCCCAAGGGCCGTGGAGGTCCCAATGGTGATCCTGGTCCCTTGGGGCCCACCGGGGAAAAGGTTTGTGGTGCAGGACAGCAAGCCACGCTCCACAGGGGACCTGAGCTCTGCAGGCTCCAGATAGGAGCCTTGCCGGGACTGGGGCTCTGCGGCCGTGGCTGAGGCTGCCACAGGCCTGGGTACCTGAGCGGGTCCTCTTCCTTCTGAGCTCCCTGCAGCTTCTTCTTCCAAGTGTTGCAAAGCTCGGGGATCTGAGCCCCTCCGGCACAGGAGGACCCCATCTTTGTCAAGTCCTGTCTCCTCCCTATGGTCACAACAGTGTCCCCTCCTCTCCCTGGAGGTTCAGCTCATCTGGAGGGCTCTTGGTAGGCAGCTGTACCTCACTTGCACCTGCCAGCTTCTGTACGCTCTGTGCCAGCAGAGAATGCCTGCCCCATCTTGTCCCCACTACCCTGGCAGGAAGGGGCCACATGGAGTGTTTACACTTCCTGTCCCATCTCTCCATGCGGCTAGAGCTATGGGCTAGGTTCAGAGAAATCACAGAGCAGAATTTCTTCCTGTGGAGGTCTGTTGGACACACCCTACCTTGTGAGTGTTTAGAGTCCATTCCAGAGGACGGGCTGGGACCCCTGCCTGGGTGGACAGTGGCCTTCATCTTTGGACTCTACCTCCTGCTCCCTCCAAACCTCCCAGAACATGCTGGCTTGGTCTGCTTAATCGGGTAGCACAACACTGTGTTTACAGTCATGTGATTCTTGTCCTAGGGCAAGCTTGGAGTCCCAGGATTACCCGGATACCCAGGAAGACAGGGGCCAAAGGTAATTCAAACCCAGCTGACACTAGATACCCAGACATCCCACGATGCCCTCCACACCCACGCCGCCTCATCCGAGCTCCAGCCTCGGGGGGCTTCAGTGGCACAGCGAGTGACCCCTTACTGTGGCTTCACGCTCTGTATTTGTAGACACTTGTGCTACCTTCACCCACTTCAAGTTGGACAGAGATGAGCCTTTTAGCGATGGGGCTGGAGCCTGCCCAATGGGCAGCACTGGTGCCTGGGGGCCTGATGGGTGGCATGGGTCACAGAGAGCATCTCATTCTGTCACTGTCACCTTTCCATCTTCACAGCTCTTCCTTATTTGACTCCCCTCGTCTCATTGGACACCGGGTGTCAGTCTCAGAGTGTCCTGCTGTCCTTGGCTCTGTATCCCTGCCCTTATCCATGGCCTGCCTGCTAGCTTCAGTGCCTTTGGGGGGCTCTGGAGCCTGGGCCTGGTGATACCAGAGTCGGGGCTGGGTGGGGAAAGCCCCTATCACTAGAGCCCACCCCCTGTTACACACCCCAGCCTGCCGGAGAGGCAGCTGGCCACAAAGCTGTGTGTGCTGAGCTGTCCGCCACAGTGCTTCCTGTCCACCCAGTGCTGGGGAAAGGGGCCAATGGGCATGTTTATTTTCTTTTTAAATGCTTATCTACTGGGAAAGAAGAGGATCCCTGGAGTGTGATTCAAGGGCAGGCAGCATTTTGGGGAAGGGGAAGGCAGGATTCTGTGCATCCCTGTATGTCACTGAAACTATGTGAGGGGCCCCCTCTGGGCTGCTGTCACCTACAGCGACCCAGCTCCTTCACTGGGCTGTCACCCACACACTCCAGATCTCCCAGTCCTGACTCCTGCTTGGACGTGCAGGTGGGCGTAGGAGAAGGTTGGTGGAGCTTGGCTCCTGTGGGGGAAATGCAAGGTCTGGAAATGTGCAAACTCTTTCTAGAACAAATGCCCAAGTGCCTAGATCAGGGTGCCACACCACCAGAGAGGTGAGACTGCCAACGGCCCCAGCCAGCACTGGCCCTGGGGTGAGCGGCCATGTCTCCAGGTGTCCGCTGTGGCCTTCCTTCCCACACATAGTGGGTGACTGGACTTTTGCCAGATCAGAGCCTGTAAGTCCTCTGCTGACATGTGTCTAATAGCTGTCAGATGCCACAGTCCATGCATAAATTTGCATTCATTTCTGATTGCAAGCTCCCACACTTCAGCTGGGGCCACTATGGGACGATCAGAGAGTTCACATTCCCAGGAATGAAATGTCAGGGATGTGGGGGTATGCCTTACCTCCAGAGGGTCTCAGCAGTTCCCTGTCTTCCCAACATCAGCCAGCAGTCCAGAGCTGCAGGCGTGCCCGCAGGCAGGGACAAAGCAGAGCATGTGAAGATGCAGTTTCAGTCTTAGATTTGGAGCCTTGGAAGTGCTCAGGAAATATTTCTTGCATCGCTGAGTGGGTGCGTGTTGAGTAGGTGAAGATGGCTAGTGAAGTTGAGTAGGGAAGATGGGTGGTTGGGAGAACAGTAGGTTGGATGGGTGGGTGGGTGGGTGCTAAGTTGATGGGAAATTGCAGAAGTGGGTGGTGGGCAGATACATGGGCAGATGGTAGGGAGGATAGACTGGGGCGTGGGTGTGGACAGGCGAGTGGATGGATGTGTGGGTGCTAGGATGGTTAGGTGTTAGCTAAGTGCGTGGCTTGGAGAATGGTAGGGTGTATGGATTGGTGAGTGGCTGAATAGGTAGATAGGCAGATAAGATGGATAGATGGGCAGATGGAGAGTTGGGTATTGTATAGTAGATGGGTGGGTATTGTGTAGGTGGGTGGGTATTGTGTAGGTGAGAGTTGGGTATTGTATAGGTGGATGGGTATGGCCGTATAGATGGTCAGTGGGTTTTGTGTAGGTACATAGGTACTGTATAGATGGGTCAGTGGGTACTGTACATGTGGGTCAGTGGATACTGTATAGGTGGATGGGTATTGCTGTATAGACAGGTCAGTGGGCACTGTATAGGAGGCTGGGTATTGCTGTATAGACAGGTCAGTGGGCACTGTATAGGAGGCTGGGTATTGTGTATAGACAGGTCACTGGGCACTGTATAGGTGGTGTACTCGCGGGTATCACCAGGCCCTTCTCCCACACAGCACACACAGTGTAACCCAAGCTTCTGTCCTGACAGTCATGCTTTCTCCCCCTTAACTCTTCCAGGGCTCTATTGGATTCCCTGGATTTCCTGGTGCCAACGGAGAGAAGGGCGGCCGGGTAAGGACAGACCAGTCTTGGGTTAGGCGGCAACTGAGCGGCCGTGATGGCAGCCTGCCTCTGAGTGCTGTGGTTTCCTCAGGCCTGGGCCTGTAGCACTGTGGAGGGAGGACCTAGCAGGCGAAAGATAAGAGCATGCTGGGACCTGGACTCTCCTGATGAGCTGCACAGACCATCATTGAAACCAGGCTCTTCTCTGCACCCCTCTCCCCCGGGCTTTCCTCTAAGATACCACTGCCTCCTCCAGGCGAGGCCCAGGTCCCTTTAGGACCTAGTGCAGTGAGAGTTTCCAGCCTCCTCCTTCCCTCAGGCTCACAACCCGCAGCCATGATGGATCACATCTTTTGCTGTCACCTGTACAAAGGCCTCCTGGGAGCTGAGCTGGGGGAGCTGTGCACCCCCATCTTCTGTGGTGACACTGCTGGTCAAGGCCTTCCTGGCAGGAGCCTCCTTGAGCCTGGACACTTCTGTCAGAAGACAGAGATGGCCATCTTCGGCCTTGGACTCCGAGCTGGCCTTTCCTGCAGGCAGCAGGGGCTCCCTCAGTGTCAGCTTAGTTAGGGAAGCAGAGTTGTCACTGCAGAAGAATGTCTGAAACATTGAGTCATTTGGGGAGCAGAGAATGTGGTCCTCTGGCCTACCAGTGGGCTGCCCTTCCCAGATGTCTGCAAGAAGCCAGAGGCTTCGTCTTGTTCTCAACTGAAGCCCCAGGAGCCTCTGGGCTGGTTTGTCTTTTGAGCCTTGGTGACTGATGCTGTTTTCTGAGTGTCTTGATTATGGTTGACCTTGATTTGCCCTTGAGCTTTAGACCTCATGGCCACATGCAGTCCTATGTGGAGGCAGGCCATTTACCTTAGCAGCGCACATTTCTCGAGTCCTTGCTAAGCAAGGGAGCTTTGCCCAGTACTGGGACCAGATGAGGAGCTCCCAGCAGAGTGAACCAGGGGCTGTTGTGTCTGTCTACCTTGGGAGACCTGGGAGGTCTTCCAGGAGGCTGGGGAGGTCCTTCGATCTGCCATAGTTCAGGGTGGCTCTTCCCACCAAGGCAGCCATGGGTCACCCACTAAGCGGTCGAGTGAGGGGGTGACCGGGTCCCACAGTGAGGCAGGGATGTGGCACAAGAGAAACAAAGGGCCCTGATTCTGGGCCTTGCTGATGCTCTGGTCCGACAGCTGCCTGGACTGTGGGACTGCCCAGCAGACCGATGGCAGGTGTGTGCCTGCATCGCCCGACCAGTGCTCAGGAACCTCTCTATCCTCTACCTGCTGGCTTCTGCGAAGCCAGTGTCTTGCTTCTGGGATGGCTGGCAGAGTGTTAGTGCTGTGCCCTCCGGCCAGCTTCTGTACGAGAAGGAGCAGCACAGAAAGGTGATAGCCCCAGTAAGGGTCATGCGCCCTGTGCTCCTCCCAGGAGAGAGACTGGAATCCACTGGGCCATGCAAGGCTCCTCCTCTATGGGCCTGGCTGTCTCCGCTCTGCAAGAGAGCACCAGCGGGGCAATTCTGGGATGACCCAGTCCTCCCCAGCAGAGACAAGAGCACAGATGCCCAAGCAGTTTGTGATGGAGACCTAGGGGTGTGCTCTGTGCTCTGCTCCACAGCTTCAGTCACGGAGACCCCAAACTTGGCACGGGTGTCTTACCACAAATGGATAGAATGGAGATGGAAACTCTGCTTTGCTCCTTGCCAGGGCCAGTGGGCCTGGATGGTGGGCACAATGAGATCAGCTTGTCTCCCAGATCCATTTGCTCTGCAGAGTGAAATCCAGAGCCGGGCAGTGCTAGTTACGGAGGGTGGGTGGAAAAGAAGCTGGCAGCCGAGGCCCACCTCATATAGCTAGCTGGAATCAGGACTGACCATGCGTCTACCTTGGAATGGCATTAATCATGTAGAGATCACAGATATGTTGGTAATCTTCACATGCAAATATTGATTTGAAGTCAGAAGATCTTGCTGCAGAGTTAACACACTGGAAAGCAGGGTACATTGTTAAAAAGCAACACCACTAATGATGACTCTAAATGGTGTGTCAAAAGGGGGCAGAGTAGGGGTTGGAAGGCCGGGCACTGGGCCCTCACACCTGCAATCCTACGGGAGGCTGAGGACTGTGGTTTGAAGCCAGACTGAGGAAAGTCACAAGTAGTGCTGTGGCTCAAGTGGTAGAGCACTAACCTCGAGTCCCAAAGCTCAGGGACAATGCCAAGGCCCTGAGTTGAAGCCTTATGACCAGCGCGCACACACACACACACACACACACACACACACACACACACACAAAATAGCAGGGGGTGTGTGTGGATAGAAAGCATTCTCTCAGGGACAATGCCAAAGCCCTGAGTTGAAGCCCTATGATCAGCACACACACACACACACACACACACACACAATAGCAGAGGGTGTGTGTGGATAGAAAGCATTCTCTGCCCTGGCCAATGATGGAGAGAAGGCACTCAAATGGCAGACTTGGCATTCAGATTGGTCCTGGGCGCTGGCTCTATATGAGAGGCCAGACCAAAAGCAGGAAGTTGTTGGCGAGCAGGCGAAGACGCCACATCCCCTCCGTTGCTTCTGGGCACCGTAGGTAAAATGCACTTTGCCAGCCATTCTTTCTGCTGTGGCCAAAACAAATGTGCTACGTTCACATTTCCAAATGTGGGTTGGAAATTGCAGAATAACAATGGCAAAGGGAGTCTTGAGTTCTGTGAGTGGAGCCAGCGCCTCCCGATCGGTGGGCTCTGTGTTAAATTGCAGGTCCACTCTTCTGCACGGCCTGTTGAAAATTTAATGGCTAATATTCTTAACAGTAGCAGAAGTAAATTATGTATGAAAGAAGTTGACTTTCTTCTCCTTTCTTGTAATAATGTTTTTCCTCCTGGGAAGGGAGGCGGGGGAGGAGGAAGAGAGAAAAAGAACCCAGTGAACTGGGCTTAATCTGTGTTTAATCTGCCTGAGCAGCGCTAGGCCTGATGAGTGTGACTGACAATCCCTTTCCTCTGATTGTAGGGGACACCCGGAAAGCCTGGACCGCGGGGACAGCGAGGCCCGACGGTAACCCACCTTGTGGCCTGAGGGCTGCCCTGGAGAAACAGGAGAGCACGCGGGGGTGCGCGGCGGGACGCCATGATTCTGGGTGTCTGTGCTGACTGGCCTTTTCTCTGTCTGTCCAGGGTCCAAGGGGTGAAAGAGGCCCACGGGGCATTACAGGGAAGCCTGGCCCCAAGGTAATGTTCTGGGTCCCTCTGCAGCATGGTTTTGGGGGCATGTGGTGTTTGAGGGGCCTCCCTACCGCACCAAAGCGGGCAGTTTCCATGGAGATACTTTAGGAGGGGCCCTTCCTCGGTTGCCTCTGGGAAGCCGCGTGGAGCTGGGCCAGGTGCCGGAGGTGGCTGAGGCCAAGAGAAGCAGGACCTGCGGGGTCTCAGAGACCCCAGGCAGCCAGCCCTGACACCACCAAGTTCTGGCTGGCAGAATTTCTTTTCTAGAAATCTATCCAGGACCTACAGAGGGATCTTTACTAGAAAGTTCTTTCTTTCTGGCATGGTGGGAGCCAAGACTACCTCCCCCCTCACCCCAGCCCAGCCTCCCCCTGCTTGGAAGCTCCCCAGAGAGAGATGTGAAGGCAGCCCATTGGATGGTGATGCTGAGCTTGTTTCTAGGACAGTGGGCCTGCCTCCCATTGGCTGAGGGCAGAGCTAGCCCATCCCTTGGCTGACAAGGACACCAAGCATGCTCCCATGTGGAGCTCAGTGGGTATCTTGTGTTCCCAGAAGCAGACGCCAGGCTTTGGGCAAAAGTTTGTAGTGTGTTAGAGTCCCTGCCATCAGGTGGGGGGAGGGGGGCGGTAGCAAGATCCCCACGTGTGGCTTTTAGTGGCTTTTTGGTGGTATTTCTTGCCTGGGCCCAGCCTTTGTCAGGCTGCAGGGGTTCGCTGTGGAAATGTCACCGCCCTGCAGATGTCAGATAAGTGTCAGCTCCGCACAGAGGAGGGGACAGGTGAGCTCTAGGGGTTGCAGCTCAGTGCTGAGAGGCTATATTCCCTGCACAAGGTCAGGATGAACTTGAGTAGAGCTCAAAGGCAGTATCTTGCTGGTTTTCTTGGATGAGTCATGGCCAGAGCCCTTGGACTGTACTCACAGTGTGTTTTCCTCTCCTTCCTTCCCTTCCTCCCAGGGCAACTCTGGAGGCGATGGCCCGGCCGGACCTCCCGGGGAGCGGGTGAGCCACTACTGCTCTAGACGGCGGGAATGTCTCCAGGGGGCAGCTGGCTCCAAAGACCCTTATCTACACCTCAGTGGAGGGGGCCGGGGAGGGGAGGCATGCCTGGCCTCTGTAGGAGTGTCGTTCCCTGGGATCCTGGAGTGGCTTATTTGGGATATGTCAGCCACCCACTGGGCCTCATTTTGTGGGTCCGAGATGATAAGAAACTGGCCACTTAGCCCTGAGGGGCTGGGTGTGGCCCTGTGGCCCTGGCAGGGTGAAGCCTGGGCCAGAGAAAATGGGGGAAGGTGGTGGGGAGCAGGGAGTGAGAAGTGGCCTGCGCCCAGCGCCCGCTCGGGATGGGACAGCGCTGGGGGGTGCTGGGGACAGGACTTCTGCCCTCTAACCGACTGCTCTCTCCCCAGGGACCCAGCGGACCCCAAGGCCCCACAGGTTTCCCTGGCCCCAAAGGCCCCCCGGTGAGCAGTGCGTCCTCCTGCAGGGGTGGCTGGTCAGGTTCCCTGGTGTGGTCCCCTTTGTCCCCCTAAGAGCGCCCAGCGCAAGGATGGGATGATTCACTCTGGGGTGGGAGACCCAGGCCAGGGGGTTAACGACTTTGCCCTGGGTCTGGCGTAGCTGCTGTCCTTGGTGTTGCTTGGCTGTGGCTGTAGCGCCCTGGGTCTGGCGTAGCTGCCTGTCCTTGGTGTTGCTTGGCTGTGGCTGTAGCATGCTGAGCCCTGCCTCCATAGTCACTTACTACCTCCCCTCTGTGTCTTCAAGTCCCTGTTTTGCGGACACGGGTCACGGATCACCCCCATGCTAGCATGACCTCCATGTAGATGCATTGACCTGGCAAAGCCTGTGATTCAGATGAGGGCCTCGCTCACGGGCCCAGGGTCAGGACTTTGATAGATCTTTGGGGGGACACAGCTCGTCTTACGGACATCATCTTCCAACATATTTCTCCTCACCCCCTCTAAAGTGAAAAACTTTCCTGCCCAACAGTGGGGGGCAGGGGCAGAAGTTGGGAGTTTGGCTGCCCGCTACAGGGATAGGAGTCCCAGTGTGTCTAGGACATCACCCCTGGGTCTTGGGACGCTGGCTGGGATCCCAGCCTCCATTTCCCCTGAGAGAAGAGCGCGCTCACGGTGCACCCTTTGAGATGGCTCTGAGGATTCAGCCCCTTCGCATCTGGCAGGGGCTCCTCCAGGGCACCCAGTTGTGTGGTCACTGTTGGGTGGCCACCTTTCTCAAAGAGGATCGAGGATCAGGGTTACTGCAACAAAATGGTGATGTCTCTTGCCTGATGTGGCCCTGGGTCCCCCTAACTGTGGCGCTGCTCCGAGCTCAGCTTCACTTCTTTCCTTTGGCTGTTTCTTCAGGGCCCTCCCGGCAAGGATGGGCTCCCCGGACACCCTGGACAGAGAGGCGAGACGGTGAGCACTGTGGGTGCTGGGGGGCGTGGTTGGCCTGGCCCCTCCCTGGCTGGTTCTCCTGGCCAGGCATGCAGTCACTGTGAGGTGCAGTGTCTGGCTTGGGAGAGACCAGCCAGCCTGGGAAGGCTTCTGCAGGGGGGGTCACTTCCCTGGGGTCCACCTCCCCAGGCTGGACCATCTGTGGTTGACCGGAAGGCAGGCCAGCAGCTGCACGGGCATCTGTGGGGAGGAAGTAGCTACTAGCTTCTTGCTGATTTTATCAGCCTTGCCCAAAGGCCACGTTTTAAACCACCAGGACACAGAGTGTCACCGGCACACTGAAACCTTGTGCGTGTATTCTTTGTCCCCCCCCCACACGCTGAAGAATTGGGAGTGCATCCTAGCGTGATCTCTGTGGAACCGTAACTGGAACGCACATGGACAAGTCTACATTTGCAGTGTGCTGTGCAATAATTGGTGCAGCGAAACTTTAAGAAAAGGGCCATAGGTCTGGGGCCAGTCCAGGAGATTCCAGCCTGGGGGCTGATGGTGGAGGGTGAGGAAGGTGCCCTTACCCTGCTCCTGAGCTATGCTCAGATGAGGACTGCTTTTGAACTTGACTTTGTAATGGAGCCCACTGTTTCCCACTGAGAGAGGATGCATTTGCCAGAAGTCTGATCATTTCCTGGGCCCTTCTTCTGCCATTGGGGACAGTGATCGTGGTCACTTCTGGGGGCCTGGCTTGGAGCAGTGCCAAGTAGCCTCCCCATAGATGAGCTGTGTTTTTGCTCTGTGTACTCTCAGTCCATATTGAAGGACAGTTTGCACAGATGGACGCTTTTCCCCCAGTGGGGGCCACTCAGGGACCGGCAGACCCCTTTGTCTCTGCAGCCCGGTTCTTTGCACTTGGTCTCAAAAGGTTTCTGTCAGCCCCAGCGTCCCCTGGAATGGGTCTTTGAAGGCCTCATCTGTTAACATTCTGCCTCTTGCTTTTTGAAGAGTCCTTTTGCTTTTTTTTTTTTTTGGTGATGGTGCTGAGACCTCTTTTAATTACACCTCTGCCGGTATTCTAGGCAACATGCTGGCTGATAAATGGAGATTGCTTTGCTCTTTCGTTTATAGAGAAAAATTAAACCCTTTCTTCCGATCTTTGCACATTTTTCTCTAATGCCTTTCCAAGGAGACATGACAGAGTGTTTGCACATTGTGTGCAATTCTTTGGTCTTATTCTAGAAAGATGGTGGTAAAGCTCATTCAGCTACTCACCTCCCTCCTCAGTTTCAGTAGTACTGGTGGGCCGTCTCTGAGGCCCACCTGGGGTGCACAGTCCCCTTGGTCATCCAGTCCAGAAACCCCTGGCGGACAGTTTTCCTGGGGCCCAGAAGTTCTTTCTGTTTTTAATGAAGCACAAGTGCTCAGACGTGGTTCACATGGCCCAGTGGCTCTGTATGAGATCCCAGACGCTGGCGTAAGGCCTACCCTATAGTCCTAACTGTGGCCCTGAGGCCACCCCTGCCCTCTCCGAGCTGGAGCTTCCTCTCAGGCCTCGGGTGGGTCGTCCCATGTCCCTGTGGGTGGCTCCTTGTTCCACCTGTCCTGGGCCGCTGTCATTGCCCAGAAGTCACGCTCACAGGCCCTGGGAGAGCTCTCCCCACAACAGGAGCACTTAGGAAGCAGAGCCAGCCCTGGCCTGGTCACGCCTGACCTCCACATGAGCTCATGGAGCCGAGAGGAGATCTGAAGTGCAGGTTAAGAGAAGCCAGGCCTGGCTGTTTCCCGTGCTAAATACACGGATGGGAGCAGCCGGGCAGCTCACCCACCGAACATCAAGAGGCACAGAGGACAAAGGCTACAAAGTCTACTCAGTGACCCAGAGACATGAGAGACACTCCCAGGTTTAAAAATCCCCTTCTCGGCACAAAACTACGCCAGGACGCCAACTCCTCTGGCTCCATTACCTTCATGAGATTGCTATGGCAGTGGAGCCAGCGAAATGGCTGAAAATGAAGTCTGGCTTTTGGGCTATGTGGGGCTCTGATGAGGCTGCGGCAGGGCGGGGCGGCCACCAAAGTAACAGCGCGCATCGCACTCTCTCCACAGGGTTTCCAGGGCAAGACGGGCCCACCGGGTCCTCCAGGCGTGGTTGGCCCTCAGGTAAGACCTCCAACCTCACAGGGGAGACGGTCAGCATTGGGTTTTGGGTTCTGAAGATGTATACACGAACAGCTGCAAATCCGACAATGCCAGCCAACTGTAGGAGATAGGTCCCATGCAGGAGACCCTACAGGAAAGAAAGGGCCAGGGGCTGACTGAGCATTCGGCTTAGGCCCAGCCACTGGATTGAGGGTGGCCTGAGCCGGGGTCCGATGGGCCTGGGCACTGGCTCCGGCTTCTGGAGGACAGGGCCCGGCTGTGTCCACTTGTCCTTGCTGTGAGCAGCCAAGGCACCACGTTCTCCCACACTGGCTTCCTGCCGGCGCCACAGAGCTCCAGCCCCAGCCATGGTAGATCAACAAGAGCACTGACGCCTTTTAGAGCAACACACAGGGCAGTGGCCACCTTGCCTCTTAGCTTCTCAGAAACCACACACCTCATGTAGCAGGAAATAAGATATTGAGCCTCTCTCATCACAGAACTGAAGCTGAGGGACACATGGGCTTTTGTCCTTCCATCCTCAGTGGCTTACTTTCTGCACTCCCCATCCCCACCCCACCCCGCAAAAGAATGGTTCTCATTCTGTCCCAGAGAGGTGGTAGCCTTTGGGGGTGGGGCGCCAGCCACAGCACGGGGACCAGCAGTGTCCTCCCAGCTTGCCCAGAAAGCCAGTTGAAACTGACCGTAACCATGCTCGGTTTCCCCTCTAGGGTCCCACGGGAGAGACGGGTCCGATGGGCGAGCGTGGCCATCCGGGGCCTCCAGGTCCCCCTGGTGAACAGGGTCTCCCTGGCGTTGCTGGGAAAGAAGGGACAAAGGTGAGTCTCTAGGCGTGCTGGTCTCAGCTGACCTTTCCCTGGGGACCCTTGAGGACGTTGTACTTTGTCTTGAGTGGGTAATTTCTCAAGTGAATGCTTCTCATACTTGTTCGCTTGCCAAACCCACAAATTTAGCTGCACTCTTCCTTGATTTGGGCTGTGCTTTGGGCTGACCTGCTGCGGGGATGGAGCCCAAAGAGAACAAAACTCGGGGATCAAAACCATCCCAGGCGCCTGCTCGCTGAGGGCTCCTTCTCTCGCTGCCCGGCCTCCAGAATCATTGGACAAAAGCCCCTACACCTCCACGTCCAGTTCAGATTTAGTCAAAAGTGACTCTTTGAAAGTCTCTCGCCTCAGAAGGCTGAAAATAAATTCTGAAAGTGTTTCTATTCTCACTGTGATCCTCCAGCTGCCCTTCCCCCACCCCCCCACCTTCCTACCTAGCCAGGTTAGGAGGCCCTAACATAAAAATAGCTCCTCTCTCCGCCTTTTAGTAAGGGCTCAGGATACAAACTCTGAGGACTTTCCTATGACAGCATTCGTGGCAAAGCACTGAGAAGCACACATCTGTGTGTGCACGTACTAAGTAAATACGTATGTACTTGGGCATACACACCACACACATGTACATATGTGCATAAATCTGTCCACCCAGGTTCACAGAGCTTGCTGAGTTGGAAGGAGACCAAGGATAGTTGATCTTTTGGTCTGAGCCCAGGGAATTCTGGAAGATACCATAGCTTTTTACAGCCCATGGAGAGGGGAGGGTACAGGCCCAGATGGTGCCTCTTTTCAGCAAGTCCCTTGAGCAGTGAGACCTTGTAGGGTGATTTCAGCCCTGATTCCTTCATCTAGAGATGAACCCTAAATTCATAGTGCAGGTAGAAATCACCCCAAGTCACCCCAACCCCCGCTCAGGCCCTCAAGGGACTTCACGGGCTAGACCTCCATGAATGGCAGGGAGAAAGTTACAGGTCCTTCCCCCAGATCCACATGGCGCCAGGCTGGGGGAGAGGCTCACGGGTGTGCACCTGGGCCATGCACAGGTACGCACTGGGCCCTAGGTCTGTTCCCCAGCACTAAACCCTCAACCGACAAAACCCAATGATTCCTTTGAAAGTCAAGAGGCCCAGAGAGGCCCCAGAGCAACCGGATTCCTGGATGTAGAGGGCTGGGGAATCTGAACTGGCACTGACCCTGCAACCCCCCCAAGGCAGGTCCAGGTTGGGAGTCAGTCACTCCTGAACACGCTCACCTCTGCTCTGCCTCTGTTCTCAGGGTGACCCAGGCCCCGCCGGCCTCCCCGGGAAAGATGGCCCTCCAGGATTGCGTGGCTTCCCTGGGGACCGAGGGCTCCCTGGTCCTGTGGTGAGTGAGGGGCCTAGTGGTTGGGCGGGGCCATGGGAGGGGCCTGGAGGGTGGGGTGGGGTGGGGTGTGGTCCTGGGGGGCTTCTCACCTGACCCACATCTCACCACTTTGCAGGGAGCTCTGGGACTGAAAGGCAGCGAAGGCCCCCCGGGACCCCCAGGCCCTGCGGTGAGTCAAAGCTTTCATCCTGTCCTCTCCTTCAGACCAACTCCACAGGCAAGACAGATGGTTCCCGAGGCCGGGCGGGCATGATGCACCACCCCGTGTGTCCTGGGAGGACCGGGGAGCCCAGGGCCTTGGTGTACTGGAGCTTGTGTCCTGGGGGCACTGTGTGTGAATGGAGTAGGGTGTAAGTGGATGGAAGGGGGGATGCAGGGCTCACGGGTCCAAGGATGTGCTGTGGGACTGGGCGAGCTGCCCCCTGCTGGCCGGGGGTGGAGCCTCAACCTGTCAGTGCAGCGGCTCTCTTCTGTGGTCTCTTGAACTCATTGACCCTTCCACCCTCAAGACCCCAGTGGTGAGAGGCGTAAGGTCTTTGCTTCCCCAGACTCACAGCTGTGGTCAAGCTGAATAGGGGTCTGGGGGGCTCCCCCCACACTCCACGGCAGGACTGTAGGCTTCCCTCTCCCCTCTGATGTTGCTTGAGATACAGCATCTGCCTTACAAACAAATCTCTGCCATCCAGAAGGGGTTAGTGGCTCTGTGGGGGGAGAACTGAGGAGGTGGAATCGTGGGAGGGGAGGGGAGGAAGTGGGATCATGGGGGGGAGGGGAGGAGGTGGGATCATGGGGGGGAAGTGAAGAGGAGGGATGGTGGGAGAAGAGCTGAGGAGGCGGGTTTGTGGGAGGAGGGCCAAGAAGGCGGGATCATGGGAGGAGGGCCGAGGCGGTGGGATCGTGGGAGGGGAGGGGAGGAGGTGGAATTGTGGGAGGAGGGCCAAGGCTGTGGGATCGTGGGAGGGGAGGGGAGGAGGTGGAATTGTGGGAGGAGGTGAGGAGATGCCAGATGACATGGGGCCTCCAATCCTAGAGTAAATAGTGGGTGTTTGCCGAGAGTCTTAGGGAGCCACTGAGGGCTGTGGCGTAAGGGACATAACCGAGTGTTGCTCTAGCAAATCTTCTCCACGAGCCTTTGAAGCAAACTCTTTTCTTGCTACATCCAGGGATCTCCCGGGGAGAGGGGTCCGGCCGGTGCGGCTGGCCCCATCGGAATTCCAGGGAGACCCGGACCCCAGGGACCACCAGGGCCTGCTGGAGAGAAAGGAGCTCCTGTAAGTACTGCTTTTGACTTGAAGCGTCCTCTCCGGAGTACCAGGGCCCCCCCCATAGCTGGCATTGGCTCTCCCCCAGGGTGCCCCCCCATGGGCATGGGAAGAGCTGGTAAAGTGAGGTCACCCTTAGGGAGTGGAGTGGAGGAGCCGTGCCGAGGCCCTGGGCTCTCAGCTCCCCTGCACACAGTGTGGTGGGTCTCTGCCCTGCCCCACTCTCGGCCTGTCACCTGTGTGGATGGCCCCTCTGCTGGCCCCACCCACAGCTCGTCTTAGAAGAGTGGAGCTTGGGTTTGCTTGTTTCTTGTACAGGAGATTGAAACTATGTCCCCTCCCTTTTGTTTGGATTTTGAACTTAAGGCTTCATGCTTGCCTGGCCAGAGCTCTTCCTCTTGAGCGACACTCCCAAACCCCTGTTGCTTTAGTTTGTTTTTCAGATAAGGCTTCTCACTTTTTCCTGGGCTGACCTTGGATCTTAGTTCTCTTGCCACTGACTCCACAAGTAGCTTGGCTTACAGGCATAAGCCACCACAGCTGGCCCTGTATTTTTGGTTTTGAAATAGGATCTTGCTAACTTTACCCAGGCTGGTCTCAAACTGGAGATCCTCTCGCTTCTGCTTTCTAAGTAGGTAGGATTGTAGGCATGCAACACTATGCTCAGCTTACATTTGTTTGTTTGGTTATTGTTTGTGTCTTTCTTGTGTCTTTATTTATACTGGGGCTGGACTTTAGGGTCTTGGACATAGCGGTTGGCAAGTTCTCTACCTCTTGGCCATGCCCCTAAGCCCACAAGATGGGGCATGATGGTGCCTTTGCCAATCTGAGAACAGAGCAGATATGGAAAGAAGCACTCTAGCCAAGAAGGGCTAGGAGCTGGATCAGAGAATCAAGGTCTGCTCCTCTGTGAATCAGAGTCTGCAACATACTTTTGCCCTCTCCCGCCTGCCCTGCTTTTAGTCAGCCCTGTAGACAGATTCTAGTTGCAATGTCTCATAGTGGCTCAGGCTTGGAAGGGACCTGACAGGAGGGCAACCCAGCCAGCTCGGGGCTGGGCTTCTGTACCCACTGAGTTGTCTTTAGCAAGATATGATTTCCTGTGTCTTCTACTTCTGGGGGCCCCAAGTAGAAAGAACAGATTGGCTCATTCCCACTTAAACCGCCCTGGACCGTCTCTGCCATTAAAAGTCCAGCAACACGTTTTCCAAAGTCTGATGTGTGTACCGTCTCTAGAGAGGTTAAGGATGTGGGTCTAGCTGTGCTCTGCACCAGAAAACACAATCCTTCTGAGCACCCAGTACATGCACGCACCGAGCTCACACGTTTGGCTGCGAAGGTTTGACTGTTTCCAGAGAGTAAATGTGTTAGCCGGCGGTTTGCGAGAGCTGCCCTGTCCGGCAGCAAGTTCGAGATCTTCCTAAAGCTCTGGAGCAAAGGGATGGTCAGGAAAAGGTCAGAGCAGCCCAAAGGTCCCCCACTCTGGCTGGACATGTGGGTCAGAAGGCTGCTCTAAAGCCCCACGCATAGCCGAGGCATTTTCTGGCTTAGGTGAAGCAGATTTTGGTACCAACAGGAACCAGATGTGAGGAGTAGCGTGTGAAGGGTGGGTCAGGAAGGCCGGGTGGGTGGGTGGGGAAGCCTGGCCATCCCTGGCTGTGTTTGGAGACCAGCGTTGATTGTGCCTGTTCTCATTTGTGCCCTCTTCTCCCCCTTGTACTACGCCTACTTTCTTGTACCCTTGGAAGGGAGGGTTCTTGGCTGGGGTGAGAAAGTTTACATCTCTCACAGGGTGATGGGTTGGCAGGCAAAACTGAGCTAGCAAAAACTTAGTGAGAAGCTTCGGAGGTTACCAAGAGGTGGAGCAGGAGGAAAGTGAGTCAGTGATGAGGCTAGGAAATGTGTGTGTGTGTGTGTGTGTGTGTGTGTGTGTGTGCATGTGCCCATGTGTGTACCTGTGTGCCTATGTGTGCGTGTGGGTCCACATCTATCTCCCCAAGCACACACGCCCATGTCTGGGCATTTCTGTGTTTGTGTATATGTAAGTATGTACACCTGCATATCTGAGTATAGATGTCTGGATGCATGTGCACGTATGCTTCTCTGTGTGTGCAGGTATGTGCAATGCGTTTCTATATGTTCTTGTTTGTGCTTATGTGCACACACACAACACAAGTCCCATGTGCCTGTGTGTGCAGGCATGGCTGTATGCACATGCATTTGTGCAATATGTGCACTTAATTATATCTTTTATGCACATGAATATGTGCCAGTATGGGCTTGCACAATCAGGCTGACCACAGATTCACAAAGATAACATGGTGGGTGGAAGCTGGAGCTGGGGATGTCCTGAACACAGCTGGGCCCTGCACCCTCAGACTCAGGACTTTAGTGACTAGATCTGAATCCCTGCTGTACCCGGATTCACTTTGTTACTGTCTTACACCACGGTGACAAATACTTTAGAGAAGCCACGTAAGGGGGAAGATTGAGTTATAGGGGTTTCAGTCCGTGCTCAGCTGAGTCCACAGTTTCTGGTCTGTGGTAGGGCCAGGCATCATAGCAGAGGGGTGGGTCGGGCAGAGCTGCCCTCCCCTGGCAGCCAGGGAGCAGAGAGATGAAAAGCCCCAGGGTTCTGGTATCTATCCAGACATGCCCCCTTAGCCCACTTCTCCAGCCAACCTTTGCCTCCTACAATTCTACCATCTCCCCAAATAGCCTCACCAGCCGGGGACCCTTCTATTGAGGTCGTCATACTAACTGTGCCTCAGGTTCCCTATCTGTAAAGAACAGCTCTTCCTGGGATGAGGATGGGTGAGGTATAGTGACCCGCTGGACACTCAGGGTCCAGGCTGGGCTGAGTTGACCCATAGTGCATCCTGCTGAGAGCCCTTTGGCTGTGGTGGTGCCCAGCTCCCTCCCTGCCCCCTCTGTGGGGCACTGAGTGGGTGGTAGTGTGATCCCACACATCACCTGGGCTCTTCTGTCTTCTCTAGGGCGAGAAAGGCCCACAAGGCCCGGCTGGTCGCGATGGCCTCCAGGGTCCCGTGGGGCTTCCTGGTCCGGCTGGCCCTGTGGGTCCCCCCGGAGAGGACGGGGACAAGGTAAGGAGTGTGGGGAGCGATGGCGAGTGCGAGGGCATGGGACTCAGCCCACGGACTGGGCCGGGCTGACAGCCCTGGCCAGCTCAGTTCTGGAGTTAGCAGGTGTTGAAAGCCCTGGCCAGCTCAGTTCTGGAGTTAGCAGGTGCTGACAACCCTGGCCAGCTCAGTTCTGGAGTTAGCAGGTGCTGGCAACCCTGGCCAGCTCAGTTCTGGAGTTAGCAGGTGCTGGCAACCCTGGCCAGCTCAGTTCTGGAGTTAGCAGGTGCTGCGCAGTGGCCTGCTGGCCGCGGTTCCCACGGGCAGGTGTGTGCTGGGGCGTGGGCCCCTGCTCTCTGCTTGCCAGGGTTTGTTGGTGCCCAGGACTTGTGTCATCACTGGTCAGAGCAGAGGAGAAAGCCCCCTGCTCTCCTCTGAATCACCACAAATCTGGAGTCTGGATTTAACAAGGTTTTACTCAATATCTATTTTTAAACATCTTCCCCTTTCATTAAACGCGCGCTTCCTAATCTGATGCTATTACCGAGGCTCTCATATTTTAGACTTCATTTAGTGAAGACATTGAGACTTAGCTCTTTGGCCCAACTTTCCGTGTATGACAGCTCTCTGGTGACATTCCTGACTTTGTCACGTCTGCCTAGAGGACACCTCCCATCTGGGGTGGGAGGCAGTGGGGCCTGGACAGAAACCTGGAGAAGAGTTCCAGGCCTTCTTGAGAACTCCAGAATGGAGTCACCTCTCGCTGTGTTCTGTTCATGGTCCAGTTTGAAAGGGAAGCAAATCTCCAGAGACTCCCCACATCGCCACATCTGCAGCTGCTCTGCACAGTATCAACTCTGGGGGCCATCCCCCAGCCCTTGGTTAGAAGGGAAACCCCACTGAGAGTGCACGTGTGTCCCTCCCGGAAGTCGCGTGGTCACCACGGGGAGGACTCCAGTTAGTCTTCAAGAGCAGTGAATGGTGGGCAAGGAGGAAGGTGCCTGAGGTCTTGGGCTTTCTAATTGTGACTTTTCTTGTCTGCGCCCTAGGGAGAGATCGGGGAGCCGGGGCAGAAAGGAAGCAAAGGGGACAAGGGTGAGCAGGTAAGAGCCGTGCGGTGGCCGTGCGGTGGGTGTGGACAGTCCCAAGTGCGGGGAGCCATGTGCATGCTCACTGGTGTGCAGTCCGTAGGGACACACTGACTGTGTGTATGCGTATGACCCTGGCCGTGGATGGGATGTACTTTGTGAGCAGACAGAATGTTCCAATGTTAAAATACTTTTAAAAGAGGGGGAGGAGAGAGGAGAAAGTAATAGAAGGGTGAACGTGGTCCAAGTGCATTACATGCAGGTATGGAAATATCTCAGTTTAATCTCTTTGTATAGGTAATATATGATCATAAAAGTGAATCCCAAGGAAGTAGAGCAGATGGTGGGGATAGGGAGATGAATGGAGAGGGTGAAGGTGGGTGAGTTCTTTCTATGTTCATAGGAGCCTAGAACAATTAAACCTCGAAATTGTCTTAAGGAGGGGGGGCCGGGGAAGGAGAAGAGGGGGGTGACGGGGAGAGATGGCAGGGTGAGTCTGATCGGGGTACATTGTATATAAGGAAGTGTCACAGTGAACCCCCCTGCCTTGTGTACCACTAATACGTGCTAAAAAAGTTGTAAAGGGTAAAAAGAGGGCCGCCATGTGCACAGGTCTTGTGGCTGGGCCATCCTCTGCTCCAGGCCACTTTGCCCTCTAGCGTTGATCAGGGCAGGACCCTGCTCAGTTTTTCATCCCCGCCACCTCTCTTTTTGTTTTCCTATCCAGAATTACTAGTGTGTTCTTACCAAAGCTCTGTAGCCCTGGCCATAAGCCTCTTCTCGAGGCTACTAGGCCTCCTTTCCATTTGTATGGCCAGGATGGATGTCATCAGCTCCTGTGCGGGCCTGAGGCTCTCTGAGGATGGGGCCCAGTTCCCTGCTTGCTCTCCTGTCCCCTGGTCCCATTGGAGGACCCTGAAGGACAGCACGGGAGCAGGGCCGCAGTGGCATCCCGTCCCAGCCCACGGGGACGAGCTGGGTGGTTCTTGATCCCCGCTGTCCATCGGGCCTCGCGTGCCTGCCTGCTGAGGCTGAATGGGGAGCCACTCAGCCTGGCTCACGTTCCCCAGGCCAGACGCCACGTGTGGGACCTGATGTTGACCGGCCCCCACGTGGGACAGGACTCAGCCCTCCCTTGGTCCTGTCTGGGATTAGGAAGCAACCTGTTTGCCTCTGTTTGCTCCCCACAGGGTCCCCCCGGGCCTACAGGTCCTCAAGGCCCCATTGGACAGCCAGGCCCCTCGGTGAGTACCTGTGACTAGACCCCCTCGGTGAGACCCTGCCCTGCTGCTGCGTGGCCTCACCCCACCTCACTTATGTTCCTCCAGGGAGCCGACGGCGAGCCCGGCCCACGAGGCCAGCAAGGCCTCTTTGGGCAGAAGGGAGATGAAGGTTCCAGAGGCTTCCCCGGGCCACCAGGACCGGTGGGGCTACAGGTAACTGCATTGCCCAGACTGTGACGGTGGCTCCCAGGGTTCACGGGGCCCATCTCTCCTGTCTTTATAAGAATGGGGAAACTGAGGCTCAGTGGCAGGCATTGGAAGTAATCCCAGTGCCCAGGATGCCAGACACACTGCACATCCCCATAGAAACCTGAGAAGCACTGGTCAATTGTCAGAAGAGGAAACACGAGTCATCCTCCTCCCTCTCCTCTGCCTCTTCCTCTACTCCTCTGCCTCCTCCTCCTCCTCCTCCTGCTCCTTGGTATACTCCTGAGCTGTGATCACCTTAGGCTTCCTGTAGTTGCTGGGCTGACAGGCAAGCACCATTGTATCCAGCTCCCCGCTAAGCTGACAGGCAAGCACCATTGTACCCAGCTCCCCTCTGTTGAGAGGGAGTCTCCCAGGCTTTTCTTCCTGGGCTGGCCTTGAACCTTACTCCTCCCATTCTCAGCCTCCCAAGAATCCCACGGATGCTTGGCTTACACAAGTCCATTTCCAAGCACATGTCCTACAAATGGCAGCAGCTGGTGTGTTTCCAAGGCGTGTGTGTTCATAGCCACCCAGGTGCATAGGTTGTTTGGCATTTGCAAAATGCAAATCAGGGCTGTCATATAGTCTAGAGAGTGAGTTTGTACCCAGCTTTTGTTTCCTATTATGGGTGCTGAATGTCATTAAATATTCCGCTTTTATTTAGGAAAACACGGGTTTTAGTTACTGCGTAGTATTTCAGCATGTGCTGGGGACATAACTTATCCAGACGGCCCCTGCTGCCGGCTCATTAAGTTTATTGTTTTATGAGATGCTGCCATAAGTGCCTGTGTCCATAAATCTTTGCATCCTCCTCCAATTCTTTCCTCAACAAGCTTGGCGCCCTCGTACCATGGTGTGGCCTCACGTGGTAATAGACTGGTGGCAGTCTATTACCCTGCGGGGCTCCGGAGGTCTGTGGCAGTGTGTTGGTGCACAGTGAAGATAGTGGGTGTGCAGCATAGCTCATCATCTAACCTCCACGTGTCCTGTCCTCAGGGCTTGCCCGGGCCTCCAGGAGAAAAGGGTGAGACAGGAGACGTGGGCCAGATGGTAAGTGTGGCCAGGCCACCGAGACCTTGTTGAGGTGCCTGGTTTTCCTGTTGGGGGTTGTTTGTATTTTGTCTGGACTCAACGCCCTTTCCTCTCCAGGGCCCTCCCGGTCCCCCTGGCCCCCGAGGACCGTCCGGAGCCCCAGGTGCTGATGGGCCTCAGGGTCCTCCTGGCGGCGTGGGAAATCCTGGAGCAGTGGGAGAGAAGGTGATGTCTATTACTTGTTACAGAGGCAGCTTGGAGGCAGTGTGAGAATTGAGTGTGTGTGTGTGCATGCACATGTGTGCATTTGCATATATCTGCTCATACCTGCAGAGACATCCAAGGAGATGCAGCTGGGTTATTCCTGAAATGTATTTAGAAACTTAGATTGGTGAGCTGGAATTGGGAATTCTGACGCATTTATTTGTGACAGCCTTTTGCAGAAGTTCTGAATGATGCCTCCCTTGCCAGCCTTCACTAGTATCCTCAGTATCTCCCCAAGACTTAGCCCAGGCAGAAGGGACTGTCCCTCCCACCCCCAAAATGTGAGGCTGCTGAGCTCACATCTCCCCCTGAGTCCGGTCCCCAGGGCCCAGGCCTCATCATTGCTTCTTATTGACTTTAGGGCCCTCAGGGCAGTGAGTGAACACGATGAGCTCATGTGTGTGCTCATGTGGATGTGTGAATGCATGTGTGTGGATATATATATACTTCTAGGTGTGCGTGCACGTGAATGCATGTGTGCACATTGGCGGTCATACACGTGTACATGTGTGTGCACATGTGTGTGCACAAGTGGGTGAACATGTGTGTTTAAGCCTGAGTGCGTGTGCACCTATGTGTGCGAGTACCTGTGTTTACGCACATGTGTGCAGGTGTGGCCTGTGTGATCCAATGCTGCACGTTGCTCATGAGTTCAAGAAGTCAGACTTTAGGGAGTCACAACATGTGTTCGTGTCCCCTGGCCACTGTTTCCAGAACTTTCTTTCTGATGCAGCAGGTCACTCGGTTGGCTCAATTGTTGTGATAGGAGTGATGGAGAGAAGCACACCGCAGGGTAGAGGCCCAGCTTCCGTCCCCAGGGGCAGCGCCTTCCCTCCGTGCCCTGCCCCGTGCATGTCCCTGCTCTCTCTGTCTCCCCTCACAGACCCGCAGACCCTTCCTGCCCACCCGAGGGCTTGCCCTTGCCTTTGTCCTGCTGCCCACGCCTTCACAGTGTCACCTAGTTCTCCAGGGCCTCGGGCACCTGTTTGCCTTCACTGGTGTGGTCCCCTTGTGAATCTCCCCCTTCCCCCCATCCCCCTCCCCGGCCCCCACCTTCATCTGCCACGTGCCTCTGTCCTGTGCTGTGAGCCCTCACCAGGCCACGCTCCTCACAGGCCTCCCCACAGTCCTGAGCGCCACCACCTTTGAGTCTCCAGTGCCGGATGGCACACAGTCAAGATTGGCATGTGCAGGCCGCTGGACCCACAGCTGTCCTGGCCAGGCCTCGTCATGTGCTCCTTGTCTCCACAGGGGGAGCCCGGTGAAGGAGGAGAGCCCGGCCTTCCAGGGGAAGGAGGCCCCCCGGTGAGTGCCTGGCGCTGCGTGGGCACGGCCAGGATGGGAAGCCCCCATTTGCTCCATTTAACCTTTCATGTAATGGGAATCAAAGCTGGGTGTCAGTGGCTCATGCCTATAAATCCTAGCTACTCAGGAGGCTGAGATTTGAGGATTGCAGTTCAAGCTAGCCCAGACAAGAAAGTCCATGAGACTCTTTTGTACCTGGAAATAGAGCTATGGTCCAAGTGGTAGATCACTAACCTTGAGCACATAAACTTAAGGACAGCACCCAGGCCTGGAGTTCAAGCCCCAGCAATGAAGTAACAACCAAAAAATCATCATCACCCTGCTGTGCCCTCCAGTGCCAGAGAATTACAGCAGAAATGTACAAGGATGCCAGGCACTGGTGGCTCATGCCTGTAATTCTAGCTACTCAGGAGGCTGAGATCTGAGGATCGAGGTTCAAAGACAGCCTGGGCAGGAAAGTCCAGAGACTCCTATCTCCAATGAACCACCAGAAAACCAGAAATGGTGCTGTAGCTCAAGTGATAGAGCGCTAGCCTTGAGCTGAAGAGCTGAGGGACAGCGCCCAGGCCCAGAGTTCAAGCCCCACAACTGGAAAAAATAATGAACAAGGGCCTGCAGGGAGGGTGGCGCTTGTGCGTCTGCTCTGCACAGTCCCCAGCCGTGACCCATGGGGCCCATGGCTGCGGTAACTCCACCCTGTGCAGCACCAGGCCCTTGCGCTGGCTGGTGTGGGCCTAGGATTGACCTACCACCTCAGACTGGCGGTGAGCTTGGGGTTGGAGATCAGGTGCAGTTGCCAGGCGGCCGTCCTGAGGTCTGGGGGAGGACCGAATTCTCCGGCTCCTTGCTGCACCCCTGGTCTAGGAGCCGTGGAATTGGTGGCTGCCCCTCTATCCCCGATCCCCGGCCCAACCTCCAACTATGGCTGGGCCCAGAAAGCCTGAGGCTCCTCTACCACCTGGCGGTGCGCAGGGCCTGGCGCAGGGAGCAGCTAGGGCTGGGATGGGAGCGGCAGCGTGGCTCCAGCTCCCCTTGAGGCCTGACAAGTGCTGGGGAAGGGATCCCAGCTCAGCGAGCACCGGGTGCAGCCCCGGCCAGCGCCTGCAGGTGCATGGCTCAGCTCTGAGCACTGGACCTGGACCTCTCTTCCCTTCCAGGGACCCAAAGGAGAAAGGGGGGAGAAGGGCGAGGCCGGCCCCTCTGGTGCTGCTGGACCCCCTGGGCCCAAAGGCCCCCCCGGAGATGACGGCCCCAAAGGCAGCCCCGTGAGTAGCCTGCGGTGCTGTGGGTGCCCGTGGGGTGGGGGTGGGGGGGCACCGTGCTCTCAGTCCGATCTTACTAAGAAAAGACATGCATGACAGCTGTACATCCTGGGAAGTTTTATCTGGATGTTTCCACACCTGCTTCTGAGCTGAACTAGTAGAGATGGACAAGGAGAGCTATGGTGGTGGAACCCTGTGGAGGGTCAACCTTGTGGACACAGCCAGCCATGACCCATGGGGAGCGGCCCCTTCCTCTGTCTGCCCTGGTTTTGTAACAGGACAATTTCAAGGAGGCCTGATCCAGACTCCTGAAGGTCCAGGCTCTGGCCTTAGCTCAGGTCTGCAGGGTGGCTTGCGGGCCAGATACCTGCCCTCGCCCGTCCGGTGAGCAGGAGGCTGCTGGCCACTGCTTGCCCTCTGGGAGGGTTCTACCCGTGGACAGGGCACCATAGGATCAGCTGGCTGCAAGCTTCCAAGGCATCGACACTGCCCTGCATCCTGTGACCTGGGCAGGGGTGTGGTGGGCAGGGTGTGGTCAAGCTGCTGACTGCCCCGCCCCTCCCCCTCTCCTTTTCAGGGCCCAGTGGGTTTTCCTGGAGACCCTGGCCCTCCTGGGGAGCCTGGCCCCGCGGTGAGTACAGGCGGGCCCTGCATCACTCTGTGAGAGCCCCCCCCCCGTCTCCTTTCTCCCTGCTGATCTCTTTCTGGGGAGTTCACCTTGGGACCCAGCTTTCTCCACATCAAGAGAAGGACCACACCCTGAGTCAGTACCCGGATGCTCTGGGAAGGAACTGAGCACGGCCTGGCCTGGGGCTGGGGGGTGTTCGGGTGTCATCAAGGCAGCAGCTGGACCTTCCTCTGTTCTCACAGGGTCAGGATGGTCCCCCTGGTGACAAAGGAGACGATGGTGAGCCCGGACAGACGGTGAGTCCACCATCGCACAGGGTGTTTCTGGGTTCCGGGGACTTTGTAACTCAATCCGTTCTTTTCTGAGAAACCTAGCTCCAGTTCCCTGTGGCAGGCCCAGGAACCCCTGCGGTCCGTATAAAGCCCACACAATGCCAGGACAGACATGATTGCTTCTTCTTTTGGTCAGTTGTGGGGCTTGAACTCTGGGCCTGGGCGCTGTCCCTCAGCGCTTCAGCTCAAGGCTAGCGCTCTACCACTTGAACCACAGTGCTACTTCCGGCTTCTTCTGTTTATGTGGTACTGAGGAATTGAACCTAGGGCCTCATGCATTCGAGGCAAGCACTCTACCACTGAGCCACCTTCCAGCCCATGTTGGCTTCTTGTATGCTTCCATTGGCTGCCATTGCCTACTGCTTATATTGATCATTTCATGTGGCCTTTGAATGATGCTATCATTTCTGGGTAGAAAAATGTCTCCTGCCCCTGCCTTTCTGTGTGGGCCTCAGGAGCCCAAACACGAACCTTTTTCCAAAAGGAATTATACCCACCAGGGATTCTGAACTGGGGCCAGGGCTCCTCTCCCTCCCCCTTCCCCAGCTCCCTGTGAACACCAGGCTTCACCATGGCCACCTGACAAAGTGAGCACCAGGCAGGCCAAGGAGAGGCCTGAGTCTCTGGGCATTTCTCACATGGTCGGCATCAGCCTTGTGCCTAAGGCCACTCACCGTTGACTGTGAGCAGTTATCTGCTTCCAGCCTGCAAGCCAGTCTCTCTGGGATGGGACTAACCTCACTCGCCTCTAGGCAGGACTCTGCTTAGGAAAGACCTGATGCTCACCATCCCTCACCCCTGGGACTTCCATGTCCCGGCCCACACCTCCTGTGGCGTGACTCCTAGGAAGTGACAGATGTCTGGATCTGTTCTCTGATTCTGTGATAAAATGCCCCAGCCCAAGTTTATTGGGCTCAGATGCTGGAGTCGGGGAAGTTGAAGATGGAGGGACCTTGCCTGGCATCATGTGACGAGAGCACACAAGGAAGGGGAGAGAGAAAGGGAAAGAGAGGGAGAGAGAGTGGGTCGCAAGTAGACAGCCATCCCCCGTTGTACCCGAGGGAGTTACACAGTGATGGCCTCACCCTTCATCAGCCATCACACCCCTGCCCCGCAGTGGCAGCTAAATCTCAGCTGAGTGTTTGAAAGAGCCTTCAAACTATACATTTCCTCAATAGCAGAAGACACGTGTCACTAACTTGGCATGAATAGCAAAGGAAAGCAAGTCTCGCGGAGGTTCACAGGCCCTGGCAGACATCTCTGGCTCCCCACCCCCCATGGTTGCCCCGGCCCCTGGCTTAGTGCTCCTCTCCTCCTGCCACAACAAGATGGCTCTCTCCCAGAGTCCTGGCGGGGCCAGGGCCAACCTCTGTGTGTCCACTCTGAATGCCCATACAGTGCAGCGACCCTGCATGCTGGCGGAGGGGCTCCTGAGTCATAGCTAGAGCCCAGCCTTGCCCGGGACTTGCGGGGCTCACTGAATACTGGGCTGTCCTGGAGAGAGTGAATGTCCTTGGTGACCCACCCAATAGACCACCAATCCCTAACTTTCCCCGATCCCTAACTTCCCTGTTCTTTCTCCACACCAGGGATCCCCGGGCCCGACTGGCGAGCCTGGTCCCTCAGGGCCTCCAGGAAAGCGGGTGAGTCCTTCCTGAAGCTCATCCCCAATGCAGCTTCACTGCCGGAATCCCCTGGTACTCACCATAGCACTGAGGAGCGGACACGGTGTGCCAAGTGTGAGCCCCACCCAGCTTCCACCCGTCCTCGGATCTCAGGCCTGGGCTGGGTTAACAGCCTGCAACTCCCACCTTTCTGGCTGGGAGCCATCCTCTCTGAGCTGCTAGAGGAGGGCCAGGCATCGTTGTATCCCCTGGTCACTTCCTGGGGCTAATGTCCAACCAGGAGAGAGCCTCAGAAACTCAGGGTGGCCAGGGCGCCTCCCAGATCTGCCTGCCAAGTCCTGTGGTGACCTAGATGAGCTCTGCCCCTCAACCCCAGCTCTGAGGCCCGTGCATGCTCAGATCATCTCATTGCCTGTCTTGTTTGGCTTGTTCTAGGGTCCCCCGGGCCCCGCAGGCCCTGAAGGCAGACAGGGAGAGAAAGGGGCCAAGGTAAGTTGTTGCTTGGCTGGCTGGGTCCACACTGGAGCCTCTGGAGGGCAAGGGCTGGGGGAGGTGGAGATTCCTGAGGATGGGAGCTGTGGCAGCCGAAGGAAGCTGAGAAGGTGGTGTGAAGCCTGCACTGCCTTGGGCTTCTGGTGGAGGAAGGTAGAACTGTGCTGGGGCTCTGGGGCTGTGGGTGGCAGCCATCGCCTGCCCTGTGAGACTGGCAGAGACCCAGGGCCATTCTGAGGTGGCCTGGGGTGGCACCGTTTGCCTCTGTCTGGAGACCCCTTGTTAGGGTGTGAGCAAGCAGTGGGCACTCTGCAGCTCAGGCCTGCTGGATGGGTTGGCCTGGTGGGCAGGGCCAGGAGCCAGAGGGCTGCACAGTTAGGCGGATGGGCCGTGCCCAGGGCAGCTCTGGAGGAAGCTGGGGATGTGAGGCGGCATCCAGCGTTCTGAGCAGGAGCCTGGGCCAGCTCCCCAGGGCCTGCGAGCATCCTGACCCACCCCCTCTCCGCAGGGAGAAGCGGGCTTGGAAGGCCCTCCTGGGAAGACAGGTCCCATCGGCCCCCAGGGGGCTCCTGGGAAGCCCGGGCCTGACGGCCTGCGAGGGATCCCTGGCCCTGTGGTAAGTGTGCCGGGCACACTGGGAGGGGCAGGGGGCTGCTGGTGTGAGGCACGGGTTCATACCTGGGGTCTCTGTGTTTCAGGGTGAACAAGGTCTCCCAGGATCCCCAGGTCCAGATGGTCCGCCTGGCCCCATGGTGAGTAATGTCCCCTCAGTACCAAAGATGAGGGGTGCTGTCCTGAGACAAGGGAGCACCAAGGGTGAGGGGTGCTGTCCTGAGATGAGGGAGCACCAAGGGTGAGGGGTACTGTCCCGAGACAAGGGAGCACCAAGGGTGAGAGGTACTGTCCCGAGACAAGGGAGCACCAAGGGTGAGGGGTGCTGTCCCGAGACAAGGGAGCACCAAGGGTGAGGGGTACTGTCCCAAGACAAGGGAGCACCAAGGGTGAGGGGTGCTGTCCCGAGATGAGGGAGCACCAAGGGTGAGAGGTGCTGTCCCAGAGACCCCAAGACAAGGATTCTGACCCCTCTGCCTCCTGCACAGGGTCCCCCAGGACTCCCCGGCCTCAAAGGAGATTCTGGTCCCAAAGGTGAAAAGGTAAGCAGGAACTTTGTGGGGATTGTAGGGGACCTTGTGGTAGAGCTGATCTAACACAGTGAATTGGGAGGGACAAGCCAGCAGAGTGTGCCCCGGGCTGTGACAGGACCCGAGAGGTGGAAGACAAAGGGAAAATACTGCCGTGAAGCTGGGCTGTGGCCTTGCTTTGGGGCCCGCGGGGCCCCCACGGAACAGATAACCTTCCAGCCCGGCACAGTTCGTGGCCAAGGCCAGCCCGGCATCTGGGAGTGGGAGCCTCGTCCGCCCTAGGGTTCGGGGCAGCACTGCGGCCAGGCAGTTTTCACTAATTGGTGGTGACTTCATTTTACCTGCATCGATTTATTCACAACTATAAAACATAGCCACAAGCCTAGAGAAGGCAAAGAGGACCGTCTCTTCACCCTTCTGATAGCTCTCGCCAGCAGGCTCCCAAGCTCCAATGGAATAGAAGCTGGAGGAGTCCTTCCAGACCTTTCTATGGGCTCATACAAAACAGACAAAATAGATGGCATTCGTGTTTCTTTTATTCTTTTAATTTGGGGTGAGCAGGCAGTGCTGGAGTTTGAACTCAGAGCCTCGCACCTGCCGGGCAGGTGCTCTTCTACCTAAACCATACCTCTCACCCTTTTGGCTTTAGTTTGTTTTTCAGATAGGGCCTTGTGATTTTGCCTAGTCTGGCCTCTGACCACACAAGATCCTCTCACCTATCCCTCCCACATAGCTGAGATTGCTGGCGATGTATACAAGCCGTCACCCCCCGGCTTGTTTGTTGAGCTGGGATCTCACAAACATTCTTGCTTGAGCTGGCCTCAAACTGTCTCCACTTCCCACACAGCTGGTGTTACGGAAGCAGGCAGGATTTTTCTTTCAGAAGACATACAAATGAATGTCTTTAGCACTCTGCACCTTCCTTCCTAAACATTGGTGGGTGTATCAAGTAGAAAGACAGACAGACAGACAGACACAGACACACAGGCACACAAACACACACACAGACACACACATACACACACACACACACACACACACACAGACCACTGCTCAGGAGGTCCCTTGTGGCTCAGTGTCTGGGTCTGGAATTACCTGTGACTCTCCAGGCTTGGTCCTCACCTGCAAGAAGCCAGCGTGACTGTCTTATCACCTGGCCTGTCTTTCAAGCTGTCTCTAGTACTGGCGATGCTGACAGTAGTTCCTGCTGGGCTCCAGAGCCTAGCTGTGCATCGGGGTCACCCGACCTGTGGCGATGGCCTTGACTTGTCACTGCGAGTACAGCGGCCCCCACGCTTTCCTTCCCACAGGGTCATCCAGGCTTGATTGGACTCATCGGACCTCCAGGCGAGCAGGGTGAAAAGGGCGACCGCGGTCTCCCCGGCCCCCAAGGTTCATCTGGGCCCAAGGGAGAGCAGGTGAGTGTAGAGGCGCTCATGGCTGAGCCCAGGAGATGTTCCCGTCTACAGGGAGCTAGGCCCCTGCTTTGTCGATGGGAAAGCTGGAGGCTCGGGCCCCCACCTGGTTGTCTGGCTAGCTGGCAGAACCGTACCTAGCAGGTAGCCGTGGTGACCCTTGGAGCTAGAGGGACTCGGGAATCAGCCCTTCCTGCCTGTCCATGTTGATTTAGTTGTACCGTCCAGGAGATCACTGGAGATTGTGTGGCATCAAGAGCAGAGTGCTATCTGCCTCTGCCCCCACCTTGCCTCAGGCGTGAACATCTGACCCCCAACGTCCCACTGCAGCTAGTTAGCATGCAACCTCGGGGAGCCACGGGGAAGCAAACCCTAGCCCCCGCCGGCAGCTGCCACCACTGAGGTGGTTGCAGGAAAGCAGGGAGAGGAAGGGTCCAAGGCCTGAGAAGGACGAGCATGTGGAGAGGGAGGGAGGTGTTGCTCGAGGTTGGGCCCTCCCCTGCGGAAGGACCTGGGTCTTCATTCTAGCGGGACTCTCCACTTCCCAAGCACCATTTGACAGGGCCACGCCCAGCTGTTGGACTGCATGCAGCTCCAAACTCAGTGGGAAGTCTTGGCACCTTGTGGCCAACATGGCAAAGTCCAAGCTGGGCTTCAGGTTTGCGGGAAAGGCCTGTAAGGTGGGGCTGGCCGGAAGTCTTCAGCTCTGAGCATGTGCCCAGCACCTTCGGAGGCTGGAGGAAACAGAGCGCCCCCTACTCTCCCCGGGCCCTGCCCCGGGTCACTCTAGAAGAAAGACCAACCATGAGGATACCCAGGGACCGGAGACCATCTCTATGTTCTAGAAGCACGTGGCTCCTTGCAGTGTGGACAGGGCAGTGAGGTAGGGGCGTCAGTGTTCAGTGTTCGGTGTCAGTGTTCAGGCCAGCCAGGCACAGCAAAGGAAGGCGCTCCCTGCCACGTGTGCTTTGCCCAGTAGAGTCAGTGGCTGGACACGAGCTGTGGATGAGCTCCAGGGAGTCCAGGACAGGATGAGGGGACTGGGCGGTGTGGCCAGGGGGTAGAGTCACCTGCTCTGGGCCTCCTTGTCTGAAGGCTGACATAAAACCTTCTCTTTTCCAGGGTATCACTGGTCCTTCTGGCCCACTTGGCCCCCCAGGGCCCCCTGGTTTGCCGGTGGGTATCTGGGAGGGAGGGCTCCCCTGGGGGGCTCTGGGGAGGGTGGAAGGGGGGGTGATGTGGGCTGAGATTTACAGGGAGTGATAGAGATGGCTGGAATGGGATCCTGGGGTAGATTGGTCCGTATACCCCATGTTGGAGTTCTAAGGGGGAGGAGCAGGAAGTGGGGGCCCTGGGCCCTGGTTTCAGTTGGGGAAGCAGGAAGAAGAAAGCCTCTGTCTCTGAGCCCTGCCTGGGAGTGGAGGCTCATCTGTAGCTTTGGGGAGAGTGAGGCAAGTCATGGCTGGCCCTGCAGCACTGCCAATCAGTGCAGAGGGCCAGCCGGCCCTGGCACAGAGTTGGGGACTGTCCACCCAGCACCCAGCCCGGGGACTGTTTTCCCAGCACCAAGCCGGGGGACCGTCCTGCCAGCCACCCTCCTGTTCCCAGGAAAGCTGGCACCCCAGAGACACCCCCACAGCCTTGCATCTCTGCCGTCCCCAACCACTAGATCTATGTAGGCTGGGCCTCAAGTGGCCAAGATGGCCTTTCCCCTGGGCACTGTCTGCCAAGGCTTGGGGTGTGTGTGTCAGGAAGTCCAGTATACACTTGCTCTGCTTAGTGCCTGCCCAGTTGTTTCCCAACTGGGGAGGGTGGCAGGCTGACCTGGCAGGGGCTGCCCTCTGTCTCCTGTTGGGTTAGCAGTGGGCACAGAGGGGACTCCTGGGGAGGGAGGGCATGCGGTGGGCAGTGTGGGCTGGGCAGGATGGGGCCTGATGGTCCCTCTGCCCACTGACGTTCTGGCCGTTGGTTTCTACAGGGCCCACCAGGTCCAAAAGGTGCTAAAGGCTCTTCGGTAAGTGACCAGCCTCGATGGGCCCATGTTGCCTAGGGGCTCCTGAGGAGGTGGACAGGGCGAACACCCCCCACCCTGCCACCCATACTCCTCCTGTCTTTCTCCTTCCTTTTTTCCCTGTGTTACATTATGCTGTGTGTTATTGTTGTTCTTTAGTGTCATCTTTAGGTTTAAAAAACAGTATATTACTCCACTTACTTTGTTGGTCATGGGGGCTGAACTCTGGGCCTGGGCGCTGTCCCTCAGCTCTTCAGTTCAAGGCTAGCCACTCTACCACTTGAGCCACAGCATCATTTCCAACTTTTTCTGCTTATGTGGGGCTGAGGAATTAAACCCAGGGCCTCATGCATGCAAGGCAAGCACTCTACCACTGAGCCACCTTCCCAGCCCTACTTACCAGGGCTGTTTGTTTTTTATTAGTTTTTGATTGCACCTCTTTATGTGGTATACAGAAATAAATGGATCCCTGTCTACAACATGTGTAATAATCAAGCCAGGGCAGTTAGCAATGCCATCTTTTTAAACATTTAAGACAAGTGTTTTGAGGCAGTGGGGCTTGAGGTCAGGGCCTTGTGCTTTCTGGGCAGGTACTCTACCTCTTGAGCCATGCCTCCAGTCCCTTTGTGCCATGATTATTTTTGAGTTAGGGTCTCACATTGTGCCTGGGCTGTCCTGGGCTGAGATCCTCCTCCTTGGGTTTCCTCATGTCCTCCAGTCCCACCTAACTCCCCTTGCAAACTACAGGCTTTCATTCCTTTTCATGGCTGAGTAATACTCCCCTATGTGCACACGCACCCTCGTGTGGATAAACGATATTCTCCCTCCCTCCTCCAGCTGTGGACCTACTTGGTTCTGTGTCCCACGGTGGTGAACTCGCCTGACAGGCAGGGCCAGCAGGTGTTGCTCTGGCACATTGACTTCGTCCCCTGACAATCAGAGATGGTGGTGCTGGTTCTATGTTTTGAAAAACTTCCATACCGGTTCATTATTGGCTAGGCTGGGCAGATTTATGTTCCTTCCAACCATGTTTGAGTAGTTCTTTTCCCAGCATTCTTTTTTTTTTAATCTTTTTTTTCTCTTGAACACAGAACCTGGGCACTGTCCCTTAGCTTTTTCTTTCAAGGCTGGTGCTCCACCACTTGAGCCATACCTCCATTCCTGGCTTTTAGGTGGTTCATTGGAGATAAAAGTCACCCAGGCTTTCTTGCCCAGCTCGTTTATACCTCGATCCTCAGATCTCAGCCTCCTGAGTGGCTGTGATTATAGCTGTGACCATGTTTTGGATGACAGCCATTCTAATGGGTGAGATAGAATCTCATGGTCGCTTTGACTTGCACTTCCCGGATAACCAGGGGTTGCAGTTGATGGTTGTTTCTTTCCCCATAAATGTCTTTTCATCAGTGTCCTATGTGAAATGGGTTTCTCCGAGCTGGGCTCGCATGTCCAAGGCTCACTCCCTGCCTTGGAGGGTGCTGTCCCCACCCCTGGTCCTGCTTCTGGGCCTCTGAACAGTTGAGGCCCCGCCAGCCTTGCCCAGCCCACTCTGGATCTTATAAATGTCTCCATGACCACACTCTGGTTTTCTTCTCTTTCCCCAGGGTCCGACCGGCCCGAAGGGAGAAACAGGCCACCCCGGGCTCCCTGGTCCTCCCGTGAGTAGCCTGGGGAGCCGAGGGTGGGATGGGAGTGGAGGGAATGTCCATGGGGCTCACTTTCTGAGTCATCATGGCACCCAGGAGACGGGCCCAGGGCCTTGTCTCTGGACACAGAGGGGAAATGGGTCACACAGCCCCATCCACAGCAGCCTCCCTGGCTCACTTCTGGGAAGCCTCATTGACCAGAAGAGAGGGAGAGAATGTACTTCTGTCTATGTGCACATGTGTGGTATATAGATGTGTGGGTGTGTGGATATATGCACAGATCAGTACATGTGCATACGTGTGCTGAGTTATATGTGTGCCTGGGCATGTTTGTGAAAGTATGCATTTGTATGTGTGCACATGTGCTGGTTTATGTGTGCTTTGTATATGTGTGTGAGCATGCATTGTAGGCGTGTTCATATTAGGTGTGCATGTGCTTGGGTATGTGCATATGAGCACATGTGCATTGGTGCATGTATGCATGCATGGGATGCATACATGTGTGTTGAGTTGTGTGTTTGCTTACTTGTATGGGTTGTGCACCCATGCATTGTATGGCAGGGGTGATATGTGCATGTATGTGTATATGCACATAGGGGTTGTGCTTGTGTATGTATGGGGTGTATACCCATGGTGATTGCCTGTGTGTATAAGTGTGCATTTGTGTTTGTGTGCAGGTGTGCAAATGCATGTGTGTGCACATGTACCTGGGTTCAGGGAACACCAGAAAGGCCCTGACACACGTAGTGAGGCCGGCCTGTGGCCTGTGGCCTCTGGGCTCTGGACTGCACCTGCCCAGGTGGAGTCCCCGGAAGTGAATGGGTCTCTGCATGGATGGTGCTTAGGCAGCTCTGCGGACTGCAGAGCCACGAGGGGAGCCCTGAGCACTCTCCTCGAGGCTTCGCCTTCAGCCCATCTCAGCAGAGAGCAAGGGGCCCAGCATAAGCCCTGAAGCTGCTGGAGTTGGCTGAGGAGAAGAGGCCGGAGGGGCCAGGCCTGCAGCTCAGAGGAGGGAGGCGCTCAGGAGGAGGCGGGCAAGAACCTGGCAGACTGGATGGGCCCAGAATGCCCCAGAGACAGAGAAGAGGGAAGACAAAGAGGGCCGAGAGGGACCCGTGTCCTTCCTGCTGGCCCCTCGGGCCCGAGGGAGCCCTGACCCATCTTCTCCTGCCCACTTCTGCCCTCTCCCACCCCCAGGGCCCACCGGGTGAAGTCATCCAGCCGCTGCCCATGCAGGCCTCCAGGACTCGGCGGAACATCGACGCCAGCCAGCTGCTGGATGATGGGGCTGGGGAGAACTACATGGACTACGCGGACGGCATGGAGGAGATCTTCGGCTCACTCAACTCTCTGAAGCTGGAGATTGAGCAGATGAAGCGGCCGCTGGGCACCCAGCAGAACCCCGCCCGCACCTGCAAAGACCTGCAGCTCTGCCACCCCGACTTCCCGGACGGTGAGGGATGGGGCTGGGGTGGGGGGTGGGGCATGGCTTCCTGTCTGGGAGGAAGAAGGGGCAGTTCCCTTGTTAACTGGAGGAAGGTGATGTGCCAGGGAAGCTGGGCAGAGAGGCCAGGACCTAGAGGCTGGGCAGTCCTGGACTCCATCTTGTCTTAGAGATTTTCTGGTGGGTACCTGGCTTACTCTGAACCTTGTTGTTTCTGACCTGAAAACTGGGAACGGCCCACCACCCCCTCCTACCCAGGAGGACAAGCAAATCATCAGTGCAGAAAATGCCTTTGCCCAGCACACACCAGGCCGTGAAATGAGGGCTAGGTGTCTGGAATAACATCAAGACACTCATTGTGGCCACATCAAGCACAGGTCAGCATGAAGATGCTGTTAGCCCGTCCACCTAGGGCAGTGTGTGCATTCCTCCGGCAGCACTGAGCGACGGCAGTGGGTCCAGCAGGCTCTGGCCCCAGGGGGGTCTCTTCACCCATCGAGTTGGCCAGGAACGCTTCCCCCTGGTCATCAGACGCTGCCCCCATGCTGATGTGGATGAGTCCGGCTGTACCTCTTATGGGCTCGGTGGGAAAAGCAAAATGTAGCCAGAAAGACTGCAGGAGAGCCATGTGGGGGCTTTTATGGCCCTGCTGGTGCATTTAACTGCCAGCCTGCAATGCCGTGGTGGCTCCCGCAGCCATCTGGGGAGCCCGGCTCATGTGTTCGCCTCGCTTTCTCTGAAATCCAGGTGAATACTGGGTCGATCCCAACCAAGGGTGCTCCAGGGACTCCTTCAAAGTCTACTGCAACTTCACCGCCGGAGGGGCCACGTGTGTCTTCCCTGACAAGAAGTCGGAGGGGGTGAGTACCTGTCTCACATGCGGACGGATTGAAAGCTGAAAAGCTGAGGCTGATCTGCCTCAGAATGGAACATTCCTTCCACAGTAGCCTTTACATGGTGAGAAGAGCTCTTTCAGGGTCTGGCCAGGGCAGGTGAAGGGTGGCGGCCCCCAGTGCTTCCCCTGCAGCCTGACAGGGCACTGTGGCCTCGGTGGACCTCCTGACGGAGATCAGCCAAGTCCCGAAGGCCTGTGGGGCAGTTGTGATCAAGGGACCTGAGGTACCTTCTAGAAGCTGCTGTCTGAAGCTAGCTTATTTCGTGGGATTTTCCCCAGGCCTCCTGGGCGTCAGACATCGTTTGAAAGTCTGATAAGGGAAGAGGTTGAGGATGGAGAGCTGGGACTGGATTCACGCAGTCTCCACTGTGGCTGTCAGGACCCTGGCTCTGTGGTCAGGATCTGGTGGGGGGGGGCAGGGGAGAGGGGGCAGGGGGGACGTGGCTAGTGGCTGTGGATGTCAGGGCAGAGGTCACTTAGAGGACAAGCAGAGAGAACAAGACTTTGCCTGTCACCAAGCTGACAGCTACCCCTCCGGGCACATCTGAGTCTGGTGGCACAAGTCCCCTGGGGTGGCCCGTGGCTGTCACCGACTGTTTTCTGGAGGCTGATGTGCCTCAGGATCAAGAGCAGGTACAGCTGTGCTCCAGACCACAGCTTCCCAATTGCCTCAGTGTGGAGAACAAACAGGTTTGTGCTGCGGGGAGAGCCATTAGGATCTCCCCAGAGCCACCGTGCCCTTCCTTCCTAAATCACACTGTAAATGCTGTAAGCACCAGCGCCCGGTGGGTCAGCCCCGCCCGCGGCAGCAGGGGCCTGCAGGGAGGGGTCAGTGTGTTCTCCGCAGGGTCTGTCCCCCTCCCGCCCCAACCTGGTGTTTCATGTTCCGCCATCTGCGCTCCCAGCTATGGAGACTGGGCACAATGGCTTATTTCCGTAGTTCCAGTACTCAGCGATCTGGAGGATCATGGCTCAAGGCCAGGCCAACCTGAGCAAAACATAGTGAGACCTCCTCCCATCTCAGTCAGTAAAGCTGGGTATGGTGGTACATGCCCGTCCACTCAGCTAGGTGTGAAACGTAAAAAGGAGAACTGGCGGGTGCCTGTAATCCTAGCTACTCAGGAGGCTGGGATCTGAGGATCGCAGTTCAAAGCCAGCCTGGCATGAAAGGCCGTGAGACTCTTATTTCCAATAAACCATTCAGAAAAAGCTGGAAGTGGCGCTGTGGCTCCAGCGGAAGAAGTGCTAGCCTTGAGCAAAACAAGGGTCACGGGCTGGGAAGAGTGCTCGCCTAGCATGCATGAAGCCCTGGGTTCGATTTCCTCAGTACCACGTACACAGAAAAACCAGAAGTGGCGCTGTGGTTCAATTGGTAGGGTGCTAGCCTTGAGCAAAAGAAGCTCAGGGACAGTGCCCAGGCCCTGAATTCAAGTCCCTGGACTGGCAAATAAAAACAAAACAACAAAAGTGGGTCAGGAAGAGTGCCCAGGCCCAGAGTTCAAGCCCCAGGACAGACAGACACAAATAAAAAGGAGGACTGAGATCGAGACTTGCCTGGGCAACAATGAGAGGCCCTGTTAGAAAAATTAAAAGCAAAAAGGATTGTGGGTGTGGCTTGAGTGGTAGAGTGCCTTCCTGGCAAGCACCCTGCCCTGGGCTCAAAATCCAGTATCCCTGAGGTGGGGGAGGGGAGGAGACAGCCAGAGAGAGACAGAGAGACAGACCTGGAGCACAGGAGCTGTTCTGTGCTTCTCAGTTCCCTCTGGCCAGAGGTCCAGATTGGAACCCAGTTGTCAGCGATCTTCCTTCAACTCGAGCCTCCCTGTCCATCCTCCCTGCAGCTCTCCTTGCTCTCCCCGTGTGTAGACCAGCCCGGCCTCCACAGGCTGGGGCAGGGGCACATGCTCCCCGGTGTGCAGACACCTCCCTGAGAGCCCAGGCCTCCGTGGACCTGGAGGAGCAGGTGTGAGGAGGAGCCCAGGGCACAGCCCATGCCAGCCCCTCCCCAGGCCTCACCCACCAGGAATCCACCCCGTGGGGCTGGACTTGGCCTTCCAACAGAGTGAGGAGTGAAGGGCTCTGGGTAGGTGGCCAGGCACCCCATCCTCTCGTGGTCCCCTTTTCTGGCTCTCGTGACACCAGTCCAGCTGGGAGTCACAGAAGGGCCTAGCAGTGGATAGGGATTCAGACCTCTGTCTCCTCAGGAGCCCCTCTCCTGGGTCGCAGGCAGCTGTCTCCAGCAACCCTGTCAGTCCAGGCTGGGGCCAGGCTTTCCCTGGGGCTCTCTCCTTCCACACTTGCGGTGGTTCATTTCTGGAAAAGCCCTCGCACCGTGCATAGTAGCAGGGTGCTCAGTCACCCTTTCATTCCCCAGCACCCCTGACCCCACAGCTTGGCCTGCCCTGGGTGCCTGTCCCAGTGCCTTTGCCACTGTACACTTACACTATATATAAACACCACCCTCCATGTAAGCCCAGAGGCCACGTGCACATGCGCATGTACACACACACACACACACACACGCGCGCGGACTGTGCATATGTCATGCTAGCCAAGGGCTGTGAAGCCTGAGCTGGAGTCCACAGGGGTGAGGATGGGGCGGGTGGAGGCGGGGGTCACACCATGCATCCCCATCCAGCAGTGATACTATAGTCCCTCTCCCCTCCTGGCGGACTTTGCTTGTTGGTCTCTGGCACCCGGGGGCACTGCAGGCCTGGTACCCACATATCTGCTGCCTTGCCTGTGGCCACGTTGGCCCCTGCTTGATACCTAGACAGCCTGAAGTTGTCCTGACCCCCTGTGACCGGCTGGCCCTTTGTTCCCAGCAGGCCTTGAGCTCATGGGAAGGCTCTCATGGGGGTGGGGGGTGGGGGCAGGGCTGAGATGCTGGGGAAGGACAGTTCCAGGTCCTGCAGAGGCAGAAGTAACCGCCTTCGTTCTGTTTCTCTCCCTCCCCACCCCGGCCCCACGTGTAGGCCCGGATCACTTCTTGGCCCAAAGAGAACCCGGGTTCCTGGTTCAGTGAATTCAAGCGCGGGAAACTGGTAAGGTGGCCTCCGGGCCCTGGCGGCTGTCACTTCAATCCCGCCGTCTCCTATCTTGCAGAGTAAAATGGCCCGCTGGCCCAAAGAGCAGCCTTCCACCTGGTACAGTCAGTACAAACGAGGGGCCCTGGTAAGTGGCTGCCCGTGCGGCCTGCCCGCAGCTCGGCCTGGCGCTCGGCTGGCTCTGCATGGGACTAATCACCCTCCAGGGCCACTTCTGCTCCTCCACCCCCTCTGCCACGGCGCTCCATGTCTCGTGTCAGCAAGGCTCTGGTCAGCATGGCCTCCAGCCTTCCCATCCCCTCCTGCCTCCTGGCCAGCGTTCCTTCCAGGCCAGCAGTGGCAGGACGGCTGTCTAGATGTTCAGGGCCCCAGTGCACTGGTGAGGGCAGGGCCCAGCCATCCAGGCTGTGAGGTCAGATGGTCCAGTGTGCAGGGCTGAAGGTGGATCCCAGAGCACTTGAATGGGAGGAAGCTCCCTGGGGCAGCCCGGGAGCCGCCATACAGCTCATAGTTGTACCCACGGGGTTCTTCCGGTGTTCCCGGGGAGTGTGTCCCCGCAGCCCCTCCAGAAAACAGCAGCGGCGTCCCTGAAGCTCCCACAGAGGACGCCCTTCCCGCCAGGGCAGGTGCCCGGAGCGGGTCTGGTCCTCTCTGTGTGAGGCGGGGCTGGCATCCATGTGGGGAGGATCCCCTCGACCCCACGGGGCGCCCCTTTGGGCTCCTTTCTGGGAGCTGTGGGTGTTCCTGTCAAGATGAAGGGCTGAGCCTCCACACCAGGGCTGAGCTCTCGGCTCCTCATGATCACCTCTTTAGATCTAGTGGGCAGCCCTGTCCCTAAGGGTTCCGTGTCCACCAAGAAGCCAGCCTGTGGCTTCCATGACATCAGCCTGGCCCTTGGCCCCCAGCCCAGCACCAGCCCCGCCTCTCTGGGTAGGTCAGAGACCACACTTCCCCCACCCCCTTGCGGAATCGGAGCCTTGGCTGCCTCTGGGAGACTCGTCCCTTAACCTGGAGTCCTCATCAGTGTCTCGCACCCTCCCGCCCTGTCCAGCCACGCTGCAGGCCTGTGCTGTCTGTGCCCACGGCTCTGCAGCCTCCCTCTTCTGTCTCCTTGTCCCTTCCCTCACTGTTTCCCTTCCTCTGCCTCATCCTGCTCTCTTCAGAGGAGAGCCGCCGGCACACAGAAGGACCCGATCAACAGCTCTTGGGCAGGGAAAGCCACTGGGCAGGGTGGGATGGCCGGGGGTTGGGGACAGCGACCGCCCGGCAGGAGGCCGCCAGTTATGGCTGCCATCTTGGTAGTTACCACCCAGGCTTGGCCCCACCTCCTCCCCTCCGTGGTGGCTTCAGTCTTCTAGGAGGCCCCCACCCCATCCCACCCACCTCGCTCTGAGGAAAGGGTCAGAGAACGTGGGTCTCACGGAAAGTGGGCCCCTCTGTCTGCTTAGACAGTTCACAGGATGGAAGGTGCAGAGTTGATCAGAGACAGCACAACACCAAACCCCACCAAACCCACGAAAGACAAAAACCAACACCCAGCCTGTCTTCTTCAGCTCGTCCACTGCCGTGTTTCTAGTTCTCTGGAGCTCGGGGTGGATGAGCAGTGGCTGGAAGTCTTTTCTGTCTGGGCTTTCTGGGACACAGGCTCACTGCTGTGCTCCAGTCCCCGTCCCCCCTCAGGACAGGGGCTCCCCGGAGCCAGTTCAGGGTGCTGGAGCTTCCCCAGAGCGAGTCAGTACAGGGTGCTGGAGCTTCCCTGGAGTCAGTACAGGGTGCTGGAGCCTTGGGTCCTTCTGTGTCCAGCGCTGCCCGCTGCTGCCCTGGCACACATTCCTTCTCAAGTCAGTCGCATTTCCTCAGGAGCACCCGGTGGTCTGCGTTCTGGTTGGTACTACTTTCCTCCACAGGTCCGGTCATGGGCTTTGCTGCTGCTGGGTCTTGAGAACCTGGCGTGTGTCAGGTTCCTGGGTGTTCTCCTACCCTGGAGGGGGTGGGAGGGGGTGGGAGGGTCCCGATCCTCCCCTCCTTCTGCTCTAACGGTACTTACCGAAGGCTGGTTATGAAGTCATCATGGCCCCCTGCTCCTCCTCAGGCCAGACCCTCCTCGCAGGGTAGGCTCTCCTTCCTATGTCCTACAGTGTCTGTGTGGCCCCTGGCCAGAGCTGCAACCACCCTGGCAGGTGCTTTCCTTCTCCCCAGTGGGCCTTTCATGGAGCCAGGCCTGGGGAGTCTCGCCCCAGCAGGGAGAAGCCAGGCTTTGTCCGGCTAAGGTGCTTCAGGCCTCTGGCGACACGGAGTTCTTCAGAGAGCCTTCAGTGTGCAAAAGACATGTGCCAATTGAGATCTGTCTCTCAGGCCCCTGGGCTCGCCCTGCACCTGGTGCCCAGCCTTGGATGTGGGAGGTGTAGCACAAGGCCGTCCCCAAGTTTGTGGACAGTGGAGCCTTGCAGTGGGTGCCCTGTCACTGGAGTCTTGGGCTGCCCTCGGGAGTGGGGCTCTGTCACCAGGCTGCCCTTGGGCATGGGCAGTGGCCGAAAGGGAATGGGAGCCACGCCAAGTACCATTCCCAGATGCCCCTGTGCCTCCAAGGGGCACTGGGTTACCCCACCACGCTCAGTGCTGACCTTCCCTCAGCTGGCCCGAGTCATTCACCTCCATGTCCTGTGTGCCCTCTAACTCTGGGGTCCCGCGAACTCCCAGGCCAGGGGCTGGTACGTCCTTAGCACCCCGTCCATTCACGTGAACCTGTGAGCACCCTCCTTTGCCAGCCAGGCACAGTGACAGGGCCTCGGCTCCAACGAGTAAGCAGATGGGCACCAGGCCTCCGAGACTCAGGGTCAGCCTGTTGCACGGGACCCAGGGAAGTGAGGTCTGTGCACAGTGGGCATGCACGCTGCTGTAGGGCTGGAGGCAGGAACAGCCCATCTTCCCCAACAGCCTGAGACCCAAAGATGCCGGTCACTGCAGCTCCTGCCAGCCAACAGCACTCTGGGCCGAGGGAGGAAGAGAGAAGAGCAGAGGCTGGGCCTGAGGTGTACTCGGGACTGTCAGGGTGCAGAGCAGTGGCAGTCATCCAGACTGGGGATCCAGGCTCTGGAAATCCGTTGTGTGGCCCAGCTCCCAGACATTGATCAGGGGACACAGGGTCACCTGTTCCCAGCTCCCGATTCAATGATGGGGATTCAGAGCCTCCCCCTCCCCCCTGTCTTTAGAGAAGGCCCATCTGAATGTGACGCTCGTTTCTGAGCAAGAATGGTTCCCTGTTCTTTGAACACATTCAATGCAGGCAGATTCCACAGACTGCATTACTCTCAAGCTGGCACGGCACGCTGGGTGGCGGGGCTGGAGGAGGCCAGTGGGCCGCGTGAAGGACCAAGGGCCTTGATGGTACTGCCAGCAGCCAGAGGCTGCATCCCAGCCATGTGGCAAGCCTTGATTGAGCTCACCAGCACTGCTGTGGGCAGTGGACACAGGAGAGAGCAAGGGAGACGCTGGCCGGCCTGCCAGGCCCCATGTGGTGGGAAGAGTGCAGAGAGAGTGGGGGTGTGGGCACAGGGCTGGGGACAGGCTGCCCCTGACACCCCCACCTCAGCCTCCTGCAGAAGGAGGAAACGGCTCAGAGTATTGAGCCTGGCGCAGCAGGCTAGCCAGGCAAGGGGCAATGGACAGATTGAGCCCCTGAAGAGAACGGGGCATGGTTCAGGTTGCTCCCAAGAATCCCCCTTTCCCGCCTCCCCCTTCCCCCAAGAGCTCATACCCTGGCCTCCAGGTCTGCAGAAGCACATGTGTCTGGATATTTCCCTGGGGGGGAAACAGAGGTCGTGGGGTGGTTCTGTCATTATTGCTGTGCGTTCCTCCCTGCTGACCATCTCCCCTCCATCTCCAGCTTTCCTACGTGGATGCCGAGGGCAACCCCGTGGGCGTGGTGCAGATGACATTCCTGCGGCTGCTGAGCGCCTCCGCCCAGCAGAATGTCACCTACAACTGCTACCAGTCGGTGGCCTGGCAGGATGCAGCCACGGGCACTTATGACAAGGCCATCCGCTTCCTGGGCTCCAACGACGAGGAGATGTCCCATGACAACAGCCCCTACATCCGTGCCCTGGTGGACGGCTGCGCTGTGAGTGTCTATGCGCTTCGCCGGGCATCATCGCGCCCACCTCCCCGGGCCACTCGGTGCCACGCAGATCTGCGGGCACCTCCTGTGGGCTGGGCCCTGAGCTGCGGGCCCCCTGCCGGTGTCGGAGCGCAGCCAGTTCAGGCAGTCCCAGCTAGGATGCAAAGACCCCAGTCTTTAGACAGCACCTCTAGGTCCACCCAGAAGCAGGCGGGGCTTCTCTTAAGAACAGGGCCGTGCAGGGACTCCCTCTGCAGACCCCAGCAGCACCTGGGAGCCAACGTGGCCGCTGTTGGGCTGCCGAGGCCTGTGCTGCTCATCTCCAAAATTCCAACGTGAGAGGTGTGTCCAGGCACACGGCCAGGTGGGGACTGGCCCCGGGTTCCCAGGTTGACCCCTTCCTGTGGGCATGTTTGTGATTTTACAGCTAAGAATGGGCCGCTGGGGCCATGGAGGTCTGGTGCCCCAAGAGGTGTTTCGAGGTGGTTTCCAGGGCCTAGTCCTGTGGCAATTCCGACTTGTCCCTGGCCTGGCCTTCTTCAGGCTGGAGGGGGCGGGGCTCACCAGGAGCCCAGTGCCCTGTGCTCTGGTCACTTCCTGACACCACTTGTTCTTGGGAGAATCTTGCCAAAGCCTCCCACCCCACCAGCGTATAATGGCTGAGGCTGAGGCCAGCTGTACCCCACCTACCCTTTGCGCCGTGCCCAGCATGCAGGGCCTGTCCTGCAGTGCTCCCTGGGAGCCAGTGTCCACGGAGCAGCTCGTGGGTCAGACAGGCCGCATGTCCTGGCCCCCAGCATCGTGCAGAGCCTGTCCTGTAGATTCCCAGGTCAGGTGAGCCATCTGTGGTGCATTGTGGCTCTTGCTGTTGCCTGACCTCCACGCCCCCACTGCTTGTCGTAGCAGCTGGACATGGTCAAGCGCTGGGGCAGCATGTCCTAGCCCAGGAGGTCATCCTGAGCTCTGGCAGCCCAGGAGGAGTGTCATGCGCCATCCCTGTCCCTGTCCCCATCCCCATCTCTGTCTGGTCCTGGCGGAGCTAGCCTTAGAGCTCAGAGCTCTGAGGTGGGTTTGAGAGGCTTCCCGGCTGGCCGCGGGCTGAGGAAGGAGGTGTAGCTCCCTCCTCTTCACTTCTGGAAAGATCCTGTCTTTGAAAAAGTAGATGATGGCACAAAACAGAATCACCTGCTGACAGAAAAAATTGGTTCTGCAGGCAGCCCGCTGAGGTGATTCAGGTGGAGGGGAGGGGTAGGCAGGCGCTGTAGAGGTGGGGAGCAGGGGTGGCCTGGGGGAGCAGCCCTCCACAATGCAGGCCCGACCAGCCAGGGCTCCGCCGCCATCGGAATGCCTCAGCCCTCAGGCTTACTTACAGCTCCCCCGGGGGAGGCCCACAGCAGAGAGGCCTGTCTGGTCCTGGGAGGCCTGCTTAGTCCATTGTGGAATTAACAGCCTCTGAAATCAGAATCCCAATGGGACCTGCGGGGGCATAGGCCAACTGGTGGAGCCCGCAGGTCAGCCCGGCCTGTGGAGGGGCACAGATCACTGGGCACGAGGGCCAAGGAGCCACTCAGCATAAATCCTGTTGTTTGTGCAGTTTTGTGTGCCCCTGGGGGCCCATTGCTAACCTGTAATGCTTATTTATGTCTCTTGAATAACGGGGTAACAGAGCAGCGGCCTACTTTAAATATACCCCTCTCTAAGCACTGTGGTAATTGGAGCAAAGGGCCCCATAAATTCAGGCAAAATTGTCTGACAGCTCAATACACTGCCATCCCTTGGGTGGGAGAAAGATGGATGCCGGCTCTGCTTGGCCCTGTCGGCCCGCCTCCCCTCCGCCTCCCCGCCCCCCACGGAAGATTAGCACTGCCCTGGGGGCGCCTGATGCACAGCCTTTCAGAGCTCAGCCAGCTGGATTGTCGGGGTGCAGCCAGGTGAGGTGTGAGCTTGAGGCTTAGGAGCCCAGACGGCAAGGGGGTCTTCAGCCCCTCCTCCTTGGGCTGGCTATACCCGAAGTACCAAGAGGCTGTTTCCTCCCAGGGTAATGGAAGGGCATGCATGCCCAGCCCTTGCTAGCAGGTACCAGGCTGTCTGTGGTCCCTACGACCTTTTCCTTGGAAATAGAGAGCTGTGGCCATCTCTCTGGGCAGCGCCAAGGGGCTGAGGCGGTCCACTCAGGTTCTGCCTGGCCAGGCTGGCCACAGGCCTTGGACACTTGGCAGTGGTCAGTGCTCTGGTCACCACTGCGCTATAGGTTTCCCAGCTGCTCAAGTTCCCCAGGACAGGATTACTTTCTCCAAGGACAGGCAGAATATCGCCAGAGATGCCCATTTAACCAAAGCAGCTTCTGAATCCTGCCCAAAGCAACTAGGTCAGAGGTGGACAAGGTGTGTTGTGCTAAGGGTCCCCCTGGACGGTGCCACCTCCCCTGTAGCTGCAACCGGCTTTAAAGCTACCACCCCAGCCTCAAAAAGGCCAGAGGTCCTACCAGGGCAAGGCGGTGGGAGGAACGAGGCCTGGGCTTCCCATCCACACTCCACACCTATGAAGTCAGTACCGTTTCCATTTGCCGGTTGAGGATAGAGTTCTAGAGATTTAATTAGCAGGAACGCTAATTACTGGCAGCAGATTAGCAGCTCAGAACAAGAATTTGTCATACCATTGGGCCTGGTCAGACACCCAGGAGTGGCCCAGCTGAGCAGGTGCGCCTCTGTCGGCACCTGGTCACACAGCCATCTGAGCAGCTCTTCAGAACCAGCATTGACTGCTCTCAGTTCTGCAGCTGGAGGTTGAAGGTCAGGGCCAGATGTGGGGGGCCCAGGGAGGGCCTTCCTTGGGTTGCAGACTAATTGTCATGTCAGCAAGGAGCAGGGAGAGGGCAAGGGGTGTCCCTGGGGTCCCTGTGTCTGGGCACTGGGAGGACTCTCACCCATAATATCACCTTAGGCATTGGGGTTCAAGCACAAGAATAGGGCACACACCGCGCACCGCAAAGGAGAGGGGATAAGGCCCTCGGGTCTGGGCCACTGCTTGCAGCCAGGTGCTGGAGGAGCAGAGCTGGGTCTGCTGTTGGACCTCTGGCCTCAAGGTCCTGCTGGGTCCCCCTGCTGTGTGGTGCTAGCCAGATCCAGGCTGCAGCCGCTGTCCAGGAGAGGCGGCTCCCAAGTGCCCTGAGGACCATGGGAGTCCTGCAGGCTTCCGGACCGCTTGTCCAGGGGGAAGTGTCCAGCATGGCGGGGTCAGTCTGGCACACTTCAGAGTTGACTACGTGTCTGTAGGAACCAGAGCAATCTTGTCCCTTCCTTCCTGCATTGTGGGATGTGGTGGGAGACGAGAGCCAGGCCCCTCTCTGGGAAGTCCTCCTTGCTCTTCCTCAGAACGTCCCCTGTTCCAACCCCCTGGGCTGTGCTGGTGTGAGCGCAGGATGGACAGGCCCCGGTCACCACGCCGTTGTAGCTCCTCTGTGCCTTCTTTCACCAGGGCTCGCCCGGCTCCAGGGCCCCCAGCTCTGGCCCCGCACGAAGAGCTCGGGGCTGGGTTTACCAGCACGGGGTCCAGGCGCTCACTGTGACGGCGCTCTTCCGAGGCTCCCACACTCTGCTTGATTGCACACTATAATTCTCCATTTGGGAGCCAGGGGCCCCTCGTGTTAATTCTGTGCAGACCCTGCACGCTCTGTGGTCTGTCTTGGTGGAGCGACAGAACTGCCATCTGCCTCCTGCAAGTGTGCAGTCCGGGGAGAATTCTCTTGCCTCTCCGGTGCCCAGTCTCTACCATCCCAGAATAGGAAGGGGTTTGTGGGGTGCGGGTGAGGTGTAAGCACTCTCTGCTCAGCCAGTGCCCCTCTCCGACACTTGCAGAGCACCATGGCCATAGCTGCTGCCTGTGTGCTCTTCCTGAGTGAGCGGGAGCCTGGGATGGAGGGACATGTACCGGGTCTGGGAGCTTGGGCAGGACTCGGCAGGTGGTGGGTTTGCCCTGCCAGGCCCTGCCCCGGCTCTCACCTCCTCTGCCTGCTCCCCCTCTCCAGACCAAGAAAGGCTATCAGAAGACGGTACTGGAGATCGACACCCCCAAGGTGGAGCAAGTGCCCATCGTGGACATCATGTTCAACGACTTTGGCGAAGCGTCACAGAAATTTGGATTTGAAGTGGGGCCGGCTTGCTTCCTGGGCTAGGAGCCGCCGCACCCCGGTCTCCCCAGCAACCTCGTGACCTCAGCACGCCGCTTATGAGTGTCCTGCGCACGGCCATCCCAGGCAGCCACAGCCTGATCCTGCGCCCAGAGGCACCGCGCAGCGCTGGACCCCACGCCCAGAGAGCAGAGGGAAAGAGCCGCGTCCCCCCCGAGCCGAATCACATGACCTAGCCACAGCACAGCCTCTTGGTGACGCCCCACAACCCATCAATCTGTCTACACCCCATGCCATCAGGAAGGGAGCGGGCCCCACACCCTCTCTGCCTCCCCCAGCCAGCATCATTGACCACTGACCGACGGTGTGCACGGACCCTTTGCAGGGGGCAGGGGTGGGGCTGCGGTATTTGAATATCCCTTTTATAAAATCCAACTTGAAGATGTGCATTTCCCCTGACCTTCAAGAGATGTTCCGAGGCAGGCTGGTAAAGGTCGCCCGAGCCTCTGATCTAACAACCCTCAACACAATCCATTTCGAGGCCAAATGTCATTCTGCGTGTGCCTTTCCGATGGATTAAAGGTGCTTATGTTTTGTGTGTGTGTGTGTGTATGTGCGTGTGAGTTTTAAGTAAATATTTGTATTGTATTGTTATAAATGTTAAGTGTGCCTGACTTTCGATCATCACGCGTGGAAACCCCGCCGCAGGCCCACTGGGAGGATGGACGGGTGGGGACGAGGCGGGGTCTGAACGTCTCCCCACGAGGCCCGTCAGGAACGTGCAATAAATTGGAAATTTGCCTGGGTCAGCAAGAAGCCAGGCTGCCTCTGAAAGGTGCCAGGGCCCCTCTTCCCAGTCTCTCTTTTTCATCAGCTTTGGATACTCTTTTTTTTTTTTTTTTAAGGGGAGGAAAAAGAATTTGGTACTCCGCTTGCCTTAGGTGCACTTAGATTAAAACACAGCTTAATTGAATGCTGCTGACTGCTTCCTTTTTGAGCTTCTTGTTCAGCCTGATAGAGAGTGGCCAGGCAGGGAAACCACCTTCCATGGGTGATCATTATGACCATTGGTGCTGATGTTTTTTTTACCCTCCTCTTCTCTTGTGGTGCTATGTGTTCTTCAGCCTCCTGGAAGGCAGCACTGGGGTACCGCGCTTCCTCCCGTCCTCCTCCATTACCCTGGTCATTGGTCCATAATCCCATTGTTGTCAAAGACCTTAAAATTAGTGCCTGCTACCTTCTTCCCCGAGGCTTGTCCCACACACTCACTGGTGGTGAGTCCCTCCGGAGGCCTGTCACCAGCACTACGCTGTGCCTACTTGATTGGAAAACACACACGCAACATGAAGACTTCCTTCCTCAGACAGACGCGGTGTACGGCGGCGGGTCGTGTCAGTTGCCAGAATGGCTGTGGTGCTAACGTTTTCTGTTTGTCCCAAGGACCGAATCAAAGCTTGCTGTGCCCTCCCACCCAAGCTGCCTTGCACGGGGCCGGGCAGACGAAAAATGTGCAATGAGCTTGGCGTCTCCGGGGCGGGCACAGCACCTCTGGTCCCTGGAAGCAGTGTGGGCTTCACATGTAGGTATCCTGGGCGTGGGCTCCTGGGGCTCTGGCCTGGTTCCCGCTGGGGGTTAGTCCTTCCCTCGCTCTCCTGGACAAGGGGGGCGAGGGCTGCGTTCTCTGTGGGGAGGCCGCCCCTGGCCAGCAAGGAGGACAGCCCTTTACTGTGAACATTGTTCTGCGGTGCCCCCTGCCTCCACCGTGGGGGAGGCTCAGGCCTTGGAAGTGAGCCGTGGCCCTCTGGTGCTCCCCCCCCCCAGCTGTGGTTGTTCTGGGAGAAGTCAGAACAGCACCCGGGAGTGGCAGAATGCCACCAATGCCGGTGCCCAAAGACCCTGGCAAACAAGTCCCATTCTTGCCAAAGAAAAGTCTGGCTTGGAGATTGTCCCTAGGCCAGGATGCCAACACACGTCCGCCACCGCCGAGCTTGCCACTGCACAGAAGACCACTCTGGAAGGTAGCCATGGGATGCCTGTGGACTCTGTCTAGGTCATGTGATTCTGTTTCAGCCCCTCACCCCATGCAGTTTGTCCGCTCACTCGTCATTGACTTTTTTTTCTGTTGGTCCCCTCCAAGTTGTTGTAATTTGTACGGAAGTCCAAAATATGTCCTGTCCTCCTCAGACCACTTTAGCTACAATATATTGCAATAAAATTACTTCTTATATTTGCAGCTATTCTCCTGGTGTCATTTTAATTTATTTGTTTTTCTCACATATGCAATTGGGCAACTAATGTTGGTGGAAAATTACCAAATATCATACCCGTGAGGAAGACTTTGGGATATACCGCAAGTCCAACGGCCATGCTGAGTGTAGGCGGCTTCTGGGAAAGGATGTTGGAAACTGTTTTAAACCTGTACGATCATGTCCTGTAAAGGCTTCCCAGTGAGCCGCCTCTCCCCACTTGAGCGGGTGTGGCTGCCGCCCTCCTGAGGTGGCCCGGCCTCCTCAGAAGCAGGAACTGTGCGCTAAGCAGCGGTGCCACCGAGGCAGGCAGGTGGCCTGGACAGGGGCGGCTTTGGTGCAGCCTGCTCAGCTTCCTGGGTGAGTTCCAGCAGCTCCTGCTGTGCAGAACCAGACAGCCCTCGGGCTTGTGGTCCTCCCTCTTCACCCTGGGTAGCAGGTCCCTTGAAGGCGTCCTGAGGCGCGATTGGGCTTCCTGGCCCCTTGTGGGTGGAGGTGAGGGCTGTGCTTAGCTGGTGACCTGGAGCACGGGTGACCAGGCTTCCTCCCAAGGGCTGGCTTCCTCTGGCAGGTCTCCAGCTTTGTTCCATGAGGGCCCGCCCCAGGCCCCCCTCTGCCCCTGCCAGCCTGCCGTGAACGTGAATGTGAAGGTAGAGCATGCTTTCAGGAAACCCATTTTCTTGTTTTAAGCCACTGCCAGTGGGGATTGTTTGTTACTGCAGATAACCCAAGCCAGTGGGTCTCACGGTGTTGTCTGTAGAGCCGTACACGGCCTGTGAGCCCAGCTGTACGGGAGGCCGTAGGTGGAAGGATCTCTGTTTCAGGCTGGCATGGGCAAAGCCACAAAACCCTACTAGGAAAACAGCTGAGGGAAAAGAGTGCTGGAGGGTGCATGGCCCACATGGTAGAGCACCTGCCTAGTAAGCATGGGGCTCTGAGTTCAAATCTCAGTCACACACACACACACACACACACACACACACACACACACACAGATGTAACCATGGATCAGAAGCAGGTCCACACCTAGCTAGAAGTCCAAGTTCCTGGGCCCACCTGGACGTGCTATGAGGGGAGGTCATGGCCACCAGGCAGGGCCAGCCTTGAGAACACTACCCCGGCCAGCTTCGATTGGGAAAGGCACAGGGCCTCTTACAGCACACTGCTGTGCCAGGGCGGACTCTGGCTTTCAGCCGCCATGCCTGGAAACACAGCATCAGGGCCGCCGGGCGCATGGCAGGAGGCATGTACGTGATGGCCCAAGGGAAGAGATTGGAGGCTGGCTGAGGTCTTCAGGGAGCCGCTGGGGCAGACAGAAAACAGTCCACATACTTGAGGATCTGGGAGAGGCGACGGTTTCTCCTTTGGCAGCAACAGCTTAGAGATCATATTGGGACTTAGAAATCAATTGCTCCCATCAATCAGAACTTGGCCGTCACCATCTGAGCAGCACATCTAGTTCTGGAAACCTCCAAATGGGTTCGGGTGGCACCTGATAAATGCGTGTGAGTCAGAGAGAATGGCTCGGGGAAGGGATGCGAACAGTGTGACCCGGCCGAAGCCTTGCAGGAGAATGAAGAAGGGGAGACAGGACAGGTTGGCCATGGGACAGGAAACGTGGGTTCAGGAAGCCTGGCTTGGGAATGGCCGGAGCCCCCATGACAGGCCTTTGAGAAGTGTGACCTTCAGGAAGAGCCCTGGCTAGGTGAGGCCATGGGTGACCTGCACCTGCTCTGTCCCTCAACCTGGGGCCTACCGGAGGCCCTGGACAGTGGGAAGCCTGCCTGGCCCTCGGGGCTAGAAGGAGCCTCACCCAGAAGTGGAGGATCGAACTGCTGGCTTGGCCGTGGACCCCGAGACCTGACAGAGCAGGAGGCCGGAGGCGGGGGGCAGAGGCACCTACTGGAGTCTCCCCACCATGCCTGGCCCTAGTGCTGGACGGGACAATTTCCAACCATTGAGTCAACATATTATTTATTTATTTATATACTTGTAAAAGAAATCTTCAAGTAGTTGTACAAAGAGGTTTCAATTCAACCTGTCTGTGACTACAGTGCCTCTTGATCAATGTTTGTTCTCCCCCTCCCTCCCCGTCTGCCCCCCACCCAGGGAAGACTTGGATACAGGACCACATACACAGACCCAAGGGACCACCGAGGCCGTTCAGATCTGGCCCTGGTGGACATTTATCTGGATTCTCTCAGGAAGACAGCCAGAGAGACAGGAAGGTGGGTGGGCTGCCCTCCTCCCCAGGTGCACGTGTCTGGATACAGCTCTGCCAGCAGGATGGCGTCCTCCTTTGGGGCGCCAGGCTGTGTCCCCAGTGTGGCTGCATCTCCATGAGACTGGGAACACATTGGATGCTAGCTCAGCCTGCAAGGCCTTCCTGTCCCTTTCTCAGTCTAAGGAAGTGGCAGGTGCCGGGGAACCGGGCCTGGGTCCCCCTGCTCCCGGCACCCTGCACAGGCGCTGCACCATCTGCCAGCTGCCTGCTCTCCTCTCTCGTGGGCTAGTGATGAGCAGAGCGCCTCTCCGGGCACCAGGTCTGTTTCGTGTGCCCCTTCCCAGCCATGTCCCAGGAGTGATGCGCTAGGGGAAGCCACATGCCAGTCCTGCACCAAACTTCCTGCTTGTCCTCTTCCAGACTGACAAGTGGAAATCAGCCGGTCTGGGAGAAGTCTGATCCCTAGACATATGTTGAGAGCTGGCATATTCTGCGGTGTAAGAATATCCCTGCTCTCTGGAGCCCCGCAAATCCATTTAGACCTAGATGCAGGGTGGAGAGCCCCTTGTGGGGTCACACGTCTCCCAATCCCTGGGGCTCCAGACAGCTTGCAGTAGCTCACAGCCTCAGGGGGCGATGGGATCCAGGATATCTGCTCTGTGTGCTCTGACTGCAGCTCAGGTGCTGGAGACGGGATGCCACTGGAACAGCCGGCCATGTTTCTCCCGCGCCCCCCCCCCAGTCATTGGCTCTTGCCTCACGGTGCTGGGGGGGGGGGAGGAAGGCGGGGGGGCGGTCCTGAGACTTTGCATTTCTGGAAGGTTCCTGCTGGTTGGAAAACACTGGGTGGACAGATTTCCAGGCTTTTGCCCTAAACCCAGCCTGGTCATACCCCAAGGGTGATACCTCTTAAATACACTTCTGGGAAGCCCCAGAGCCACCCCACGCTCCAGGCCCCCCGGGGCTGAAGCTCTGTGCCAGCCAGCAGCCTTTGCTCTTCAGCAGAAAGTGTGGGGCCCCATGAAGGTACCAGTGTGAGACAGAGCGTTCTCCTGCCCAGAGCAGCGAGGCCTGACACACAGGGGTGTGATGGCTGTTTACCCAGCACCCGTGTCTTGGAATTAGGTCAC